CATTGTGATTCTCTGCCTGCTGGTAAAGTAGGAGAGAGCCCCCTGTGTTGCCAGAGACGACACAGGCAAGCCAGGCCAAGGATGCTTTACCTCCTCAAACTCTATGTCCAAGTCCATCTGTGAACCATGAGCCACAGGCTCAGGCTCCACCAGAGAAAGATTTGTGTATCTTCACTTTCCTTGTACTTTTTGCTCTCTTTCAGAAAAGGTGCTAGAGTGCAGGGTGGGGTCAGGGAGTCCCCATTAGGGAAAAATCTAGCTATGCTTTGTACTATTAGCCATTCACACAGTAAGCCACCATAAGGACAAGTTGAGGCTTGGAAGTCATGAGGGTAAGGAGGAGAATTATCTGTCAGTCTAGAAACTTGCCGATGGCCTCAAGGCTGCTGAGCCGTCCTGGCAGCATTGCCAAGTAAGCCCAGTGCTGTGCCCACGCGATCTGGTGGATCCCATCCAAACCTCAGCAGATAAGTGCAGGCTTGTCCTGTGATCCCTGAGAATAGGCATGAGGGGAGGACAGGGCTGACTCTGTGTGAGAAATGTCCTCATGGGTAGAAGGCACATCTTTAGCATGCAGCCCGACTCGTGGAGAGGAGGCTATTGTAAATGCATTCAGCCTCCAGCCAAAGGTGCTGTCTTACCTGATTTCTTAAACAGAATTGAGCTTTGCTGCCAATAGGAGGGCTTAGGGAGGAAAGGGTCAAATGAGGAAAGCCTTTGAAAATGATTGTTAGGTTTATGGATTACATTGGGGGCATTTTGCTGAGCTACAGTGCACCCAGTCTATGAGAGTCTATGAAAATTGGAGGGGCATGAGCCTCCAATTATTTTTTGACAATTTTGTCTTATGAGAATGAATAAACATAAACCAAATATTGTAATTTAATCCATAGCTCTCCTGAACCTTTTATTAAATAAAGGATCAAGGCTAGAAAGTGATGAGAAGGAAATTCAAAAGCAGCTCAAGATAAAACTTGTCAATTTGTAATTTCACATATGATCCTGGTGATGGCAGCCACACCCACATGCCTCTATAAGTCTTTATTTGCCTTCTTTTTTCTTCAGCCAAGAGGGTGGGTGCCTGATGAGGAAACAGAGCACTTTACATGATTTATGTCTGAACAAATCCCTGCCATCTGTATCCGAGGGCCCTGTGGAAAGGATATATCAGAAGATACATGTTCCCTTAAGAAAGTGAGTGGTTGGGAGTGGTTGGGAATCAGGCAAAAGTCTGTGTGCAGCCTGGAGTGTTATATGCTTTCTCAAAAAGCACAGAGTTCTGTGACAAATAAAGGAGGTCAGTAAACTCAGTTGGCTCCGAAGATCAGGGCTTCTGACCTGCTGGGAGCTGAGGAAAAAAGAGTGGGCCTACTGGCATTTGATTAGTGGGAGTAAGTTAATAAAATAGCTGGAAGAATGCACAAAGAGAGGATCCAAAAGAGGGGTCTGAGGGAAGGTAAGAGGATTAAAACTGCAAAAACATTCCTCTAATGGATTTCCCAAACACACAGGCCAACAGGCAAGGGCAGGTGTCTTGTCAAACCATTTCCCCATGAAACCTGATCCATCATCCCGCAGAAGAGGCCTGCTAACCCCGTTTGTAACGGAGGGTCCTGCCCCATATTCCCAGTGAGGCACTCTGATCAGCCCAGAGACTCGCCAGGAAACCAGCTTTGCAGACAAAGGGGCCTGGTAACAGGCTGGTTTCCTTCATATTCAGCCAAGTAGATCTCTTTGCATCTGCACAGTCTGGTGGCTGATTAGCCTGTTATTGATCATGAAGTCTCCACCCCCTCGCTGGCCTCCTTCCTGCCCAAAAACACTAGAAAAGGAGGTACTCTGACTTCCCTATCATTTATCACTTCATTGCTCTGCCTTTGATCCCATAGTGAAACTCAACTTCTGCTCTAGCAGCCAAATCGGGAGTATTTGTCTGGTGAGGCAACAGCTAAGGCTTAAACTTCGGAGGCACAGGAAGGGAACGGGGCCCAGGACCAAACTGCTATTTATTTGTTCTGGAGCCAGGAAAGCTCGCCTGCCGGTCGGCCCCTGGGAAGGGGAGCTGGATGCCCAGCTGGGGTGTCCTTGGTCCTGCCTGCATGGGCTGTTGTGCACATGTTGGCATCAGAATAGAAGGGTGGTCTGGTCACATGGCTGACCAGTGCCCAGCTTCCTGCCTCCCCTGCTGCACAGCCTTCTGTCTCCAACCGAGCAGTCGGCAGAGGGTGCAGAGGCAGCCAAGAGGGGCTTAAGGGGAAATAGTGTTTTCTTGTATTCAGTGTGCAAGGTGGGAGCAGGGAGGAGGAGCGCATGCTCAGTTACAATGGGGCAGGAGCCCAGGGCCATTGAAATGGAGATGACATTCTGCTGCCAAACTCCTTTCTGTTGTTCACATCTTTTTGTAAAATGATCTTCTACTAGGTTTAACTATATTGTCTTGCTTGGGGCAGATTTGCTTGGAATGAGGTAAAGAAAGGTGTGGGGGCGGGGAGGGGTGATGCAACAACTCTTGGTGGAGTAGTTTTAGATTTATTAGACCATGGAAAAGCATGCCTCTCAGTGACTGAGGAATTTTGTAGGTGCCCCTGAGCTCACAGTCTCTTGCAGCTTGTTTTGTGGGGACCTCCTGGCTTGGTAGGTGCAGTGCTGAGGGAGAATTAAGGCCTCTGCATTGTTTAGGCACATTTCTTTAGAAAAGCGTCTTTTGAAAAGCGTCTAACAATATTTATCTGGAACACAGTGAACACAGACCATCCATCCTTTTCCATAGCCCGTATATTTCTCCTCAAGAAAATATACCCAGTGTCTTGGCTGAGAGGTGTAGCCAGCTACATAATTTGTGGGACCCAATACAAAGTGAAAATGTGGGGTGCCTGGTCGACAAACATCACAAGTTTCAGGATCGTGCCAGCAGAGCTTAACCGTCCCAAGTGCAGGGCCAGTGCAAGCACACAGGTTGCACACCCTGGCCTTGGGCTTAGCCTTCCAAACTATTTAGCCACTCAGCAAAGATTGGAGCTCATCTGGGTGTTCTGAATGCTATGCACTGGGGTTGGAGTGCAGAGTAGAGAACCAGTAGGCTGCCCACAAAGAATTTATATGTTAGTTCAGGTCAGACATCACATACACAAAACTGAATAGTGGTAGATGATTCCTCAACAGCCCAGAAGGTCCTGCACCCACCCAAAGGAGCACTCACGTTGACCTGCTGGCATGGTGTCCAACCTGGAGAGCAGGCTGGGGTACGATAGAAATGAAACAGGTGGTTACTGTCCTTGCCATGTGACTCTGTGAACAGCATGTATTTTTTACTCCACTTTTATTAGATCTACTTTATCTCTTTCCTATGACCCAGAAGTAATTTCTCAAGAAATGTTCTGTTTTCAAAACAGCCACATTTAGGTAAGAAGGTTTCATACGAAATGTGCTGTGCCTGGGCCCTTATGTGTGAGCTCACGGCATAGACCAAACTTGGCTCAGAATTTTGCATTCAGAGGCAACATAAATGTGCATCTCATACCTGACTTGAGGGCCCAGCTTCCAGGACAATTCAGTCAGTCATTCTACATTTGCTGAGCATCTCCTTGGGCTAGGCTTGGGATTAGGTCCAGAGGACACAAGACTTGGTCCCTACTCGTAGTAGTGTAATCAAAGGAACAATGACCCTTTTGTCAAAACTTAAGGACTTCCCTGGGTTGGTTTGATTGAGAGCTTCTGGAAAGTTCCATTAAGTGGCAAACCTCCTGACCTCACTCACTGAGTGACCCTTTTTTGGTGACAATAGTTTGGTTTTGATAATTATCTCTTGTCTTCTGTGAGAAACCTGATGCCCACCTGTCCTGTTGCCTTCTTCAGGACTCCAGTGGAAAAAACAACATGGGCAGGTGGAATCTTGCAGTGGAACTGCAGTAAACTCTGATGGTATCTGTTGACAGAATTTGGTGTGGTCCGCATTCAGAGAGGATACCCCCAGGGCTTTTGAGTACGTTTTATAAAAAGAATATCTGGGTAATTTTTTTTTATCTCCCTTATCTTATTCATTAGTTTTATTTACTCCTTTAAATTCAGCTAAAATCCTGAAAACTGAATTTTGAATGTGGTTTTATTATATAAATGGCCCGTTTTGTTCAGCAGTGTGATTTGGTTCATGCAAAGACTTTTGTTGTTCAGACCATTGGATTGTTTAGAAAATATCCTGTTCTGGATGGATCTCCATCCTCTCCTAATTTAGATCCCCGTCTTTTACCACCAAGCCAAGCCACCAGGTTGTCAGGGATTGGTGTCAGCACCTTCTGCTCCCCCACATCCCACTGCCATTAAGCCACGCTGAGAAGTTTCCTCTTCACCTTAGAAAACACTTAGGGTGTCCACAGAACCCCACCCAGTGCTGAGAAAGGGTTAGCTGTCAGAGTACAGCTCCTGGGTAGCAGAAGTCAGTCTTCTGGTCTGACATTGGTTGGCAATTGAGCAGAACCTCAGGCCTATCACTTTTTACTGTGGATGTCTGAGAAGAACCTGGATGGGACAGCTGTTCTTGACTGAACTAGAGAGAAGACATCATCATTCTCTTTCATTGTTCCCTTTAGTCTCCATTAGTTGAACTGTGCCAGGACCTTTGTGCTTTGACCAGGACCCACTTCCAGCAGGTTCACTTTGGTTAGTGGGCCTGGCCAAACTTGCCCCCATGTCTTGATGTAACAAAAGAGGCTGGTTGGCATCACGGTCCCCACCTGACAATTTTTACATCCTTCTGCACCCCAGTTTATGTATAGCAACCTGAACTCTCCCATGCAGTGATGAGGCCATCCTATAACTCCTAGAGCCAGCAAGAGGCCAACGAGGACTTACAGCAGCACCCCTCTCCCCATGACAGCTCCCCGTGAGTGCTTAGCTGCTATAGCTGCTTATTGTGACTAAAACACAAGGTGCACACCGCCTGAAATATTGCTTTGTCTCTCTCCTCCATCGAGGCCCACTGACATCTTGCCTTCTCTCCACAGATCTCCAGGACTTCAAGTTAGATGTGCAGCACGTGATTGAAGTAGACGAGGGAAACACAGCAGTCATTGCCTGCCATCTTCCTGAGAGCCACCCAAAAGCCCAGGTCCGATACAGCGTCAAGCAAGAGTGGCTGGAGGCCTCCAGGGGTAAGTGAGCAAGCAGGAACCCAGGGGCCCAGGCCAGGAGGGAAGATGGCCACCAGGGAAGACTGCCTCCCAAGCCCCATAGGCACACCTGTCATCCTCCTTATGTTAGTCAGCTGTGTTTTGGCTTGATTTTTAGCCCTGTGGGATCCCCAAGGGATTGGCTACTGTTATTAGGGTCCTCTACTTTGTCATGAGGAATTTCTTCATGTATTGAGGCCCTGGAAGCTGCTGCCATTTGCTCGGGCCTCTCAGCACAGGGTGGCTCCCTATCACCAAGCACACAAGGCTGCCCACCCATCCCAGCTCTCCTGGAGCTTCAGGCGTCCCTGGTAGGAGGTAGAGCTCTTCGCCACACAACAGAGCAATCATTTTAGTGGAACTTCAGTTTTCCCTCTCTCCAATGTCCTGGTAACACAGCTGTTTCAACCATGACAGCTTCCCATGCAGGCCACAGTGGACATCACAGCTGGTGGAGGGGAGGCCAAGCTTTGCCCACGGAGTGCCAGTGGGGATATGGGTTATCCCTCAAAATGAGGCCAGCTCCTACCCACAACTGACCCCTCACTCATGCCAAGTAGTCCCAACTTCTCTGAACCCCGTAGCTCAAAATGTATACCTTTTAAGCTACCCTATAGAATTTAAAATAATTTCATTAATTTCTTTTGGTTGTGAAAGGAATGCATATTCATTGTAAAAAAATCCAGAAAACTAATTTTTGAAAGGTGAACCCTAAGTCTACCATTCAGAAGTAACTAGAAACTGAGAGGAGAGGGCATTCATCCTTACTCTCCTGGCAGTAGCCCATAGGGGAGGCCCAGCCGTCCCAGAGCCAAGGGCCTTTCCTGTCTGGCATTTGCCCAAGCAGCTCACACCTGCGGCAGCAGCCCAGTGGCAGGAGGGTATCAGCCAGCTTGTGGAACCTAGAGTATAGCAATGCCGTGACTTCTAGAGCAGGCCACCAGAGAGCTCCGGGCTACAGTCTGGGTGTCTAGAAGTTTAAAGAACAGTTTAAAGAACCTGAATATAGTAGAGAAAGGCTTCAATGGCATTCATGGGGAGGGAAGTGGCGTGAGGTTTAGAATATTCCTCTCTGATTTCAGAAATTCAGTTGTGAGGTGGCTCAGAGCTGTGACCAGGATGGAGACTAATAGGCTGTTCTAAAGTCAGTTCCCTCCATCTTGTGGCTGACAGGAGTGATCTCCCGAATGTGTAACGAAGACCCTCAATCCTTAACAGTGGCTCAGAGGCAGCATATGTTCCACCAGTTTACAAATAAGAGGATCAGAGAGGTTTATTAATTAATCTAAAGTCACACAGGGACTGCAGTTCCAGAGCTTGATACGGGTCTGGCTGACCCCAAATCCTTTTGCTTCCTTTCACTTTACCATCCAGCCCTTGAAAATGTCCTCCCACAGACCTATATATTAATTTGGGGAGAGGGGTGGGTCTGCTAGTTTTTTAGCTGATTGGTTGGTTAATTTCTCTCCCTGGCACTTTTGTTCCACATGATGCAAGGTTTTACGGATTTTTGATTTGGGCCCGTTGGGATTCAAGCGTCTAGCTCCTGCCTACCTGCCCCATCTGCGTCCCCTGCCCCCAGCCTTTGTGGGAACTGCTGAGTGCAATATTCTGGGCCCAAACATCCCATTTCCCTTTGCTCTGCTCTCCCCTCAGGTAACTATTTGATCATGCCATCGGGGAACCTCCAGATTGTGAATGCCAGCCAGGAGGATGAGGGCATGTACAAGTGCGCTGCCTACAACCCAGTCACACAGGAAGTGAAAACCTCCGGCTCCAGTGACAGGCTGCGTGTGCGCCGTAAGGAGGGGATAGCCAGGCTGTGAAGGGTGGGGAGCCCAGGGCCACAACAGTCCTCGCTCCAGGTCTGTGTTCCCTGAGGAGGAAGCCAGATGTGAGGCTCAGGCCAGTTGGACATCAGGAGTCTTGGGGGGGGGGGCGGTCCACAGACTCCTGAAAGCCAGCCTTTCACAGCACATAGCCATGGTCTGGCTTGGCGGGTGGCTATGCTTGCTGATGACATCAGGACACTGTGGACGGCACACCCTTTCTCCTGCCTGTTGCAGACTGTGTTACTTTCACAGGGGAAGGTTGGCTGGCTGTGTGTGCTGAGGTAGAATGTGTGCTCAGCAGCTGATACATATGCATGGAAAACATGCCCGTGCATTTGTAATCAGATGTGAGACCACCAGGCCTGCCTTGCATGGTTCATATTCCATCTGCACTGCCCAGGTGTGCCCAGCCCCTCCTCTGGTGAAAGTGCATGGAAACCCACATGCTCCCCCACTTATAGGAAAACTACAGCTACCTTTCTAAGCACCTCCTAGCTGCCAACACTGATAGGCGCCTGCATCCTCTGGAACATCTTACCTGGAGTTAGGTTTTAGAGATGGCTCCAGAGGCAGATTTACTGTGAAGCTAACAAAGCAAAACTTCAATGGTCCTTCCCTTTCTTAATTTTGTACCTCTCAATTTGTATTCCTTTTCTTTAAGAGGGCATCCCAAGCTATGGAAATTTCAGATCTTATAAAACTTGGATCTGCCCCCGCATGACAGTAAAAGCAAAGTTGCACACAGTCAACAGGGTCCTTAAAGGTCTCCAAGGGCCCTCAGTAAGGGTGTTTCTCCCCATTGTTAAAAATATATATCACTCTTCCTTCCACCCAGTTAAACAGTGGATTTGCTTTTGGGAACGTCGAAATAAGAGAAATGCATATATGTAAACCATGGGTCTCACTTAGCTCAGCAAGACACTCCTGTGAGATGCTCGTGTTGTGTGGACCACTTGGGAGCTGAGCCATGCATTTGGGAGCCATGTCAGGCCCTTGTCTCCCATCTGGTCCTCGGTCTCAGAGTGCACTTGCCGAGCAGAAAAAGCCACCTGTGCTGTCTCTCTGTCTGCCCCTCCTCTTTCACTTTGCTAGTTTGACAGTCACCCCTGTAGAGTGACGACAACCATACAAACATTGTGATGCTGCTGCCCCACTGTATTATCTCATTTCTTCCTCACAACAGCTCTCTGCAGAAGGAGCTCCTTGTTTCCTAAAAGGGAACCAAGACCCAGGGGAATTAAGCCACTTGCCCCACTTACTGTAGGTCATAAACCCTTGAAGAGCTGTTTGATTCCAAGTCCGCACCCTGAGATCGCCTCCTGGGGTTGGGCCACCCAAGGTGGGACAGAGAGGACCCTCTGCAGGAGCCCTGGCCTCACACACTGCCCTGCCCTCCTGCCCTTGCAGGCTCCACTGCCGAGGCTGCCCGCATCATCTACCCCCCAGAGGCCCAGACCATCATCGTTACCAAAGGCCAGAGTCTCATCCTGGAATGTGTGGCCAGTGGGATCCCACCCCCACGGGTCACTTGGGCCAAAGATGGGTCCAGTGTCTCTGGCTACAACAAAACGCGCTTTCTGTTGAGCAACCTCCTCATCGACACCACCAGCGAGGAAGATTCAGGGACCTACCGCTGCATGGCTGATAATGGGGTCGGGGAGCCAGGGGCAGCAGTCATCCTCTACAATGTCCAAGTGTTTGGTGAGTGTCTCCTGGAGGCCACCTTGGCCTTCTCTTTGGTCTGAGTGACCTTTCTAGAAGCTCATTGCCTGAGGCTCAGGCTGGATCAGGGCCTGGTGAGTGATAGAAGAGTAGTGGAGTCGGAGAGCCTTGGATCGCAGAGACTAGGGTGTGCTGGCCTGGCAGGCCTCTTTTGTTCCTTTCCTGTGGTGGCTCTGATGGAGAAGATATGGGACCTTTCCTTCCCTCCGCTGACAGCCATGTGACAGGAGAGAGCCATGGCTGACTCTAGTCCCCTCCCCAGCCTGTCTGACCCCTGCTCCGGTCTCCCTGCAGAGCCCCCAGAGGTCACCATGGAGTTGTCCCAGTTGGTCATCCCGAGGGGCCAGAGTGCCAAGCTGACGTGTGAGGTGCGTGGGAACCCCCCGCCTTCTGTGCTGTGGCTAAGGAACGCTGTGCCCCTCACCTCCAGCCAGCGCCTTCGACTGACCCGTAGAGCCCTGCGGGTGGTCAGCATGGGGCCTGAAGACGAGGGTGTGTACCAGTGCATGGCTGAGAATGAAGTCGGAAGTGCCCACGCTGTGGTCCAGCTGAGGACCGCAAGGCCCGGTGAGTGTGCGGCCCGAGGGTCTGAGACACCAGCTCAGTGTTCACAGAAACCTTTTCTCAAATGAACTCCAACTTAGAATCCTGATATATAAATTTTTTTAAAAGTTTATAATCATGTGTTCCAATTTAACTTTATTAAAATGTCAGAAGCACAGATTTGAGAAACATGCAGCAAAGAAAAACAAAATTGTTGCACAGCATCGGCCAGTGCTGACCTCCTGTGGGACGGGAGGTCAGGTAGGGTTGGCAGAGTGTGTGGAGGTTTCCTGGAGTGTTGTCTTTCCTGGCCTCTCAGATTATTCTCTGAGGACATTTCAAGTTGGCTTCATGTCTAACATTTCCAGGTCATGGCAGTGGAGGGAAAGACCCTGTTGTGCCACAGTGTTAAGATCCCTTGGTGAAGGGACCTGCCCCACCCCCAGCCTGGACATGAGAAGGAGGGCCCTGGCTGGCTCCTGCACCTCTGGAGCAAATCAAGATTGTTCACTTAGCAAGGCTCTTGAGGGCGCAGGAAGACAAGCAGGTGGCGGAGATGCTGTTGACAAGAAGCCTGGGCGAGGGGCACCAGCTGCCCTTCCCTCCTGGCAGGGCAGGGCCGCAGCCCTCTCTCTTCCCAGAGCCTGGCTGTCTCCATCAGGCAGTCGGTCACCTCAGGTCCTGGGCTTAGGGCTCTTCCTGCCCCAGTGCATCTGCTCCCCACTGACCTCTCCATTTTGTCTCGGGGCAGGGGTGGGGTGGGGGGTATCAGCTTGGCAAGTAGCCAGGGGAACTAACACACACCTCTTCTTTCCCTGCTCTTCCCTGGTCGGTCTTCAGGCACAACCCTAAGGCCACGGCTAGACACTGCCACACCTCCTGTGCCAGCCTTCAGGCCCGGAGATCCTGACCAGATGCTGAGGGGGCGCTCAGGGCCCCCAACATCAGTGCAGCCAGCCTCCCCGCAGTGCCCTGGAGAGAAGGGACCAGTGGCCCCTGCCGAGGCACCTGTTATTCTCAGCTCACCACGCACCTCCAAGACAGACTCCTACGAGCTGGTGTGGCGGCCTCGGCATGAGGGTGGCAGCCGGGCACCAGTTCTCTACTATGTAGTGAAGCACCGCAAGGTATGGCACCTCCCTGGGCACGGCCCCTCTCTTGAGGCTGGAGGGGTCTCTGCCTCCTGCCAACTCCCCCAGAGCGCCCGAAGCCTGGAGCAGTAATCCCCACCACTGAACACCACCTCTGTCTCCTCTGGTGTAGACTTTCCAACCGCCTCCCAGGAAGCTAGTTGAGAGTTGGGTATTTGGGATCCTAGAGGTCTTGGACAAAGCCATGTGTGTGCCTTTAGGTCTGAGCTCTCTGCGCACCTTTTCCAGAAGCCAACACCACCGGCTTCTAGTCCCAGAGGAGTGAACTGCCTCCCTGGTAACCATCACCTGTCTTCCCTCTGTCATTTGTTGTTGATGTTGCTCGGTTTTGTTTTTAACCAAAATAAGCTCCGTCGGTACATACCTGTGGGAACTCTGGCATGGCAAGCCAGCCCTAAAGCCAGGAAAACAAATATTTGTGAACAAGTGTTTTCTCTGAGGGTGACAAAATGCCCCTTCAGTTCCCAGCGGCTCTGGTATGGCAAGGAGACATTTGAGCTAAAGGCATGTCGTGCTACTCAGACCGCAGCTATTTCTCCTGGGTAGAAGGAAGTCTGTCCAGATAGATGTTTCCAGAGCTGTCAGGAAGGGATTCTCTGCTCTGGTAGGGTGTAGACAGAGCCAAGCCAACCCATCCTCATGGATACCACACCCTAAGAGACAAGACAGGGCCCCCAGGCTGGAACCTTGTGCAAGGCCTATTCTCACACTGTCACCCCACAGGGGGAGAAGACATGAAATTCCTTTTAAGAAAATGTCCTTGAAAACATCCCTTCCTCCCTGGTGCATACTGTTACCTTTCTAAGCCATTAGACAGTAGAGAATTCTTAAAAGGATTTACTTTTTAAATTGAAGTAACATTGATTTGCAGCATCGTATATGAGGTATAGGATCAAAACCTTCAGATACAGGTTACACCACACCCCACCAAGGCACCCACCGCCCTCCACCACAGTCCATTGCTCACAGTCCCCTCCACCTTGCTCTCCTGCTCTGGTAACCTGAGTCCTGCAGTTAGATTTCTAGGATTTGCTATTGGTTTTATGTGACCCTTTGCTTTGTTACTCTATATTCCACACTTAAGTGATTCCACCCGACATTTGTCTCTTCTGACTTACTTTGTTTAGCATAATCCCCTCCATTTTCATCTATGTTGTTGAAAAAGTCAGGTTTTTTGTTTTTTATAGCTGAATAGTATTCCACTGTGTGTATATAACACATCTTCCTAATCCACTCATCTTTGTGCACTTAGGTTCCGTAGCTTGGCTATTGTAGATAGTGCTGCAGTGAACAGTGCATACAGCCCTTCACACTGGTGCTTTGTATTCCTTGGGTAGACACCTGGAGGTAGAATTGATGGTAGATCTGTTTTTAATATTTTTTGAGAAATCTCCATACAGTTTTCTATAGGACTGAACCAGTCTACATTCCCACCAGCCGTGTAGGAGGCTTCTTTATTCTCCACATCCTTGCCAGCACTGATTTCTGGTCTTTTTTGGAAAAAAGATTTATTTATGTATGCATACAAGAACCGAGGTACAGGCCAGAGGTGTGGAGGGTGAGAGGATTCACCAGAGACAGAGTGGGGAACAGAACAGGCAGATTGACTGAAATACACTGCTGAGGGGAGCAGGAGGCGAGTCAGGAGAGGTTTGCTGTGCCACGTGGGTAGCCCCCTGGCAGGGGATCGAACTCAGGTTGCAATGGCTACAGATTGCTTCATAGGTTGTGTCTCAACCCCTTGTGCCACCAGGGAGGCCCTCTTTTTGATATGGGCTGTTCTCATAGATGTGAGATAATTAAGGGGATTTTTAAAAATCTTATTTCATAAGTAATAATGCATCATGTTTAAGTTTACTCTATATTCTACTTACAAGAGTTCTGTGTGCACTGGATAAAAAATATGACAGTAGAACTAGTCAAGTATTGATCATTTCTCCTCCTTCCTCCCAAAACAAACAAAACCAGCCCTGCAGGGTGGAAGATGGTTGACGTGCAGAAGCAGGCCCCCCGCCCAGCTGTGGGCTCCGCTGGCCCCTCTCATTCTGTTCTTTCTCTTTACATGTTCACCTCTGAGACCTTGGGCCAGGACAGGTCCACAGAGACACCACAGGGTGGTGAAAGAAGCACTTAAGGCAGAGCTTTCTCCTGGGCGGGGGAGGGGGCTCAGGCTGCTGGTCTCTCCTTTAAAGGGCAGCAAAGGGAGTCGGGGGAAGGAGTGTTTAACAGAAAGCAGCATTGTTTAGCCCAGGTTCTAGGGCAGGACTGGTCCTGATCCTTGTTTCTCCATGTAACTGGACACCCCCATCTCAGAGTTGTAGGCAAAGATCAGGCAGGCCAAATGCTCATGGTCCCCAGGAGACAAGAACCAGCATGAGAGCAAGAATAATATTTTTCAGGCCAATAGGTGGCCACAAAACTGCCTCAGCAAGAGGCAAGCTGGCAAAGGCCAGCGTGGCGATCCGGAAATGCCAGGCTGCAGCCACATTCACCCCCTCGGTGTGTGTGACAGTGACTGATGACCATGCCGTTTCTTATTTTCATTTCTGAGTCCGGGGGAAGTGGAAGTGAGGCCAGGGCTGGGAGGGCCAAGGGAAAAGCGGGTGGAGGGGAAGCCAGAGGCCAATACCCCCACCACGTCTGGCTTCTGTTAGGCTCCAGCCATGGGGGCGCATGGAGCTGTCCTGGGGACATCGCCAAGGCAGGAGTCATGTCTTGAAAGCAGTCCTTTCCTGAGGACGAACACGGCTTGAAGATTAGCACCCAAGAAAGGGTTTTGAAATAAAAAAATCTGCACTTGGGCTGCTTTTTCAGCCCCCTTCTTTTGCTGGAGACTGGGGGATCCGTCAGCTCATTCTCACTTTTTCACATGCATGAAGCAAGTTTCGTTTCCTGGTGCATCTGCAGACCCGGGGCTACTGTGTTTGGGTTTCTAGCACCACTGGGGATTCTCAGTTTGTAAAAACTTCTCCCCGTGGAACAAATCCTGGAATCTGGACATGAATGAACCCAGACCATCCCTGTCCCTTGAATAGTAGGTTTTGTTCTGCTTTGGAATATTCTGCTCAGGGATAGATAAGAGCCTTTCTGACCAGCTGTGTCATTCCTTCGGCCAACCACAGCCTCAGGTTGAGCAGGCACTGAGCTCACACAGCCGGCATCGTCTCCTGGGGGACCTGGAGCTCCTTTCTGCTTTTCCTTTAGATTTAAAGAGCTAGGAATGGGGAGCCGTTAAAGAGTATTCCTTAGTAGTTACAGTTAATCCAGAGTTTTAAAGTTCTAAACAAGGACTGAGGGCAGGAGCAGAGAAAGGACTGAAAGGGCAGAAACCTCATGAGGGGAGGAGGTGGGAAAATTGGGAAGGGCCTGGCATTTGTCGGAAACCTACCTCGTGCCCATTTCAGTGCTCAGCACTTTACATACATCGTCTAACTCAATTTCAGAAGAACCTGAGAGCTTTTATTTGCCTCGTTTTAGAACTGAAAAACTGAGAATTGGAGAGGTTGAGAATGCGCTCGGGGCTACACAGCCGGTAGGAGACACAGTCCGAGTTTGACCCCAGGAGTTCCCAGCTCCCCCACATTTTGTTCTCTCTGTGCTCTCTGGAGTCAAGTCATGGTTTCTGCCCTCACGGGTGATGTGGCCTCGGGCACGTTACTCATCTCTCTGAGCCTCAGTCTCCTCGTTTGTGAAATGGGAACGTGTTAACACCCGCGCAGTGTTCAGGCCCATGCCTCGCCCCCAGCGAGCTCTCCGCCAGCATCACCTTTTTCAGCGAAGCTGTTTCGATCATCTTCCTCTTGTTAGAATATAAGCCGATGGAATTAGGTTTGTTTGGTTTAAATAGACCCAAGGAGAGAAAGCTTTAAATGTAGAGGGTCTTGGAAATACAGAAAAGGGGTCTTTGGAGAAATTTGCAGCAATGTCAGTCAAGCGTTTTGCCTCAGTTTTCTTCGGTGGGATCACTAGGTGAGGTGTCAGGGAGCCGGATTTCACTGTCCCAGTGAGAACAGAGGCCCCAGAGCCAGCAGGTACCACCCTTCCCCAGCCTGGCCTGGTTTCCTTGGCTGCCTCCTGACCGTGGAGCTCAGTCCTGCTCCCCTTGCAAGCCACAGCCCCCTGCAGCTCCCGGCTGTGGCGCTGGCCCTCACACCAGCCGCCTTCTCCAGCAGGTCACAAACTCCTCTGATGACTGGACCATCTCTGGCATTCCGGCCAGCCAGCACCGCTTGACCTTCACCAGACTCGACCCTGGGAGCTTGTATGAAGTGGAGATGGCTGCTTACAATTGTGCGGGGGAAGGCCAGACAGCTATGGTCACCTTCCGAACCGGTAAGGGCCAGACATTGCTTGGGGTTTCTCTGGGCCTAAGCGACTCCTACCAGACCCAGGTGGGAAGTCCTGCTCACCTGGCCCGCCCTGTTCTTGCCCTGGACTTACCCACCTTTCAACTACCGCCTCCCTCACTTGTGCTTCAAGGCTGCAGCCCCACCTCTCGTCAGGAAAGCCACCCGCTAGCCGGTTCTCTCGCATCTCCTTGTCCTCCTCTCACTCTGGGGCCAGGGGCAAAACCCCCCAGGCGGAGCTGGGACTCAGACCACACTTCCATCACCTGTGTTATTTGTACCACTTTGTTAATCCTTCGGGCAGAAAGGACTGTGTGGACAGGAAGAGCTAATGCGTGTTTCCTCCCTTGCTCATCTCAACCCACTTCCACACAGGACGCCGGCCCAAGCCTGAAATCATAGCCAGCAAGGAGCAGCAGGTCCAGAGAGATGACCCTGGAGCCAGCCCCCAGAGCAGCAGCCAGCCGGACCATGGCCGCCTCTCCCGTAAGCCCACACCCCGGGGGCTGAGGTGATGAGCAGGCCCAGCTGGGTCCAGGTCCACCGCCTCAGGGGCTCACTGCTGCAGGTGGAGTGGGCACTTGCTTCCATGGGTCTAGGAATCCTCGGGGCATTTCCCCATTAACCACAAAGGGGAAATGTAGATTGGAACTTTTCAAATAAAACTCTGGAGTCTGACGTTGAGCTTGCCGACCCCCTGGGTCCAGGGAGCAGTGGCGGGGAGAGCCACCGGCCCTTGTCCCTCAACCCTCTGATGTTGCTGACCTATAGCTTTTAGGGGCCTTAGTTCAAAGCCACCTCCTGGGGGATGGTGGCCCCGGGAGTCCAGAGGTAGACGGCTGTGGGAGGAACAGGCCCCCATCTGGATAGGCCCAGAGGTCGCACAGCCATCTTGTCACCGTGTTCCCCCTCCTGCTTCCCTCCTCATGCATGGTTTCCCCCAGCTCCGGAAGCGCCAGACAGGCCCACTATCTCCATGGCCTCTGAGACATCAGTGTATGTGACCTGGATTCCCCGCGGGAATGGTGGCTTCCCCATCCAGTCCTTCCGTGTGGAGTACAAGAAGCTGAAGAAAGTGGGGGACTGGATCCTGGCCACCAGTGCCATCCCTCCCTCCCGGCTCTCAGTGGAGATCACAGGCTTAGAGAAAGGTAGGGGCTTGCCTCTGCCCCGGTATCCCAGCTGCCCCCAGCCACCTGGAGGACAGTGGGCGATCTGGAGGCTCCCCCTCCTCACCCTGCACTGCCCGCATGCTCCTGGTGGTGGTGCCTCAGCCCCAGAAACCTCACTTCTCCATCTCTCCCTGACGTCCATAATGGGTCTAGAGTCAGCAGCTCCCGTGTGGTTCTCTTCTCATGGGGCTGGGATTAATGCCTGTCCCTCGAGGACTAGCTTTGGCAAACAGCTAACCAAAAGATCCCTCTGGGTCTTAGGCATGCTGTGGGGGGATCAGGTGTTCCCCAGCACCTAGGTCCAGTGAGTGTCCCTCTCACCAGGCACCTCCTACAAGTTCCGAGTCCGGGCCCTGAACATGCTGGGGGAGAGTGAGCCCAGCGCCCCCTCCCGGCCATACGTGGTGTCAGGCTACAGTGGCCGCGTGTATGAGAGGCCCGTGGCAGGCCCCTACATCACCTTCACCGATGCGGTCAATGACACCACCATCATGCTCAAGTGGATGGTAAGGACGCTGCACAGACAGCAGCGGGTTGGGGTGCGGGCGGGGCTGGACTTCATATTGGGCAGGAACCAATCGCTTTGCTGCCTCAACCTTCTAAGATGCCTCACCTGATGTGTTCCTGGGAGTTGGGTCAGAGGCTCACCCTCAAAGTACCCAGCAGAGTTCAGAGGGCACTGAAGTCTTCAGAGAAATGAGAAATGGCACTTTGGTTTCATGTCCCCAAAAGCTTGGGGAACTCTGGGCTAAATGACAGCAACTCAAAGAACCCTGGGGGTGGGGGTTGGGGGGTACCATCTAACGTATTTGCCAGGACCCCAGTGGATTTTAGACCCTAGGCTAGGGTAAGATTTCCACACACCAGTGGTTTTGCTCAAATGATTTCTCTGCTCCATTGTCAATGTGTTTCCTCTTCGTTCCCTATAGTACATTCCAGCAAGTAACAACAACACCCCAATCCATGGCTTTTATATCTATTATCGACCTACAGACAGTGACAATGACAGTGACTACAAGAAGGATATGGTGGAAGGTGAGATATACTTTGCGTGGTAGTTTTTTCTGGTTGGGGGTGGTAGCATTGGGGGGCTGTGTCTTAACTGTAAGTGTTAACACCTGGGCTGGTGTGCCTGTGTCCCCGACTCACTCATGACACACTGGTTAGCAGTTCACAAAGCCGCCTGCCACTGTCCTGTGCTGCTGGGACAGGAACCTGGGTGGGCACTCAGGACATTCCCCGCAGTGTTTCTCCACCATGTGGCCCCCGCCCAGACACACAGACCTGTCTGGGGGGCAGGCAGGTATCTACGCGTCACACGTGCGACGCTTGCTCTTTCCCAGGGGACAGGTACTGGCACTCCATCAGCCACCTGCAGCCAGAGACCTCCTATGACATTAAGATGCAGTGCTTCAACGAGGGCGGGGAGAGCGAGTTCAGCAACGTGATGATCTGTGAAACCAAAGGTGAGTCTGTGCGGGTCTCTGCACTACTTCCAGCAAGTTAGGGCCTCTCTCCCCTTAGAAAGACTTATTTTCTAAGTGCGCCCAAATTTTGTCAAGTTTTACCTCTCTGTTCATTCACCTGCGCCTCATTAAGAATGAATGGGCTGCCATCAGGCTGGCCTCCAGGAGCTTGGGGATTAACTCCTACGTGCACTCATGGAATAGAGACCCATGCTTAAATTGGGAATTTTCCCTCAACACTTTATTCCCATGATAACATTTGGTATTCACAGTGCTTGGTTTCTTTAATTTAACTCCAATCCCATAAGATAGGAAAACAGCTGAGCATCAGGAAATGACACACTTGGCCAAGGGCACACAGCCATTATCCAGGTTCATCTGACGACAAGCCTTGACTCTTTCTCTGCCCTGAAACTTGAACATATACTCACTTGATATTCGCACATTGGTGACGTGGATAGATATCATTATCTCCATGTTGCAAATGCAGAGAGTAGCTGAAGCAGGCATATTGTGAAGATCATAAGGGATAGGAAGGGTGACAAGAAAACATGTTTTTCTGTCATTGGCAAGAACATTTTCTCCCTGGCTTTGGCCTGCTTTCTGTCATTCAAAAGTACTCCTGCGGGCCTCCAGTGTGCACTTCCTGCCCTCTTCTGCCCTGTACAGCGAAGTGAGGAGGTAGGTGTGTCACACTAGACTTCTTGAATCTTCAGGCCAGACTGAGGAGGAAGTGACCTGGGCATCAGGCCAAGCCTGGATGTTTCCAGATGGTTGGCGTGAATGCGCCCATGAGGAGCTTGAGAGGAGTGCTCGGGGAAGAAGCCAGGGACACTAGCCAGTGCTGGGCTCAGAGGTGGCGGAGGGTGATCATTGGTGACTAGATAGGAAAGGGCAGAGGGCATGATCTGGGCTGTGAAGCCATAGCAAAGAGAAGGGCTGGCTTTGAGTCCCTTCTCTGAGGAAGTAAGGTGGGAACAGAGATTGAGAGCAAGGAGTTCAAGGTAAGCTTGAGGTACCTAGCATGGAGCCCCACACAGGTGCTGTTGCCACTTACCGAAAGAGGGAAAGCCAGAGGGAACAGGCTTCCAGGAGCAAGGAACAAGGTGACACACCAAAATGCAGCTGTGCTTGAGGAGAAGCAGGGCTCATGCCAGGGAAGGGGTGATTTGGCAGTCGTTAGGGTGTAAATTGAAATTACAGGAACAGAGGAGATTACAGAGGGAATATAGAGGAAGAGGGAGGCCAGAAACTGCCCCCCATGTTTGAGAAGCTAAAGAGCAGGAAATGTAAGCAGCAGCCGTCAGAGGTCAGGACTTACGTGGGAAAGTCCAGGGCTGCCGCTTGGACAGGAGTGAATGAGATACATGGGACAGCCAAACCCAGACCGTGAGCTTACTGTTCTAACTTGTCACCTTGCACTGGTGTTTTGTTCCAAGAGGCCTGGAACATCCGTGTCCCTGGGACTACACATTTCTTATTCCACTAGCAAATTCCTGGGTAATTTCTTCATTCCCATTCACTTCTAGTTTCACGCATTTGTTTATATTTTCTTTCAGAAGTTCACTAGCTGTGCTTTCAGAAAACTCCTTTACAACTTTTTCCCCAAAAGCCCAGTCTGATTCTGGAGCTAGGCTCACGAACATCTAGGGTTGTGCTTTGAAATGCAAGGTTCGGTTCTCAGCAGCAGCGGGTTCCACACAAGGAGCCAATTTCAATCTGAGCTTGGACTCCACACTCATCTCATGGGTGGCGAGGTCTCCTGGTGAGACCGACCCCCTGCTCCACACCCAGGGAATCAAGGTGGTTGGTTTTTCTCTATTCGTTGTGAATGAAATGTCAAAGGACTAGACCCTCAAGTGAGTTTTGTCCACAATTACAGCTCGGAAGTCATCTGGTCAGCCTGGTCGACTCCCACCTCCAACGCTGGCCCCACCCCAGCTGCCACCCCCTGAAACCATAGAGCGGCCGATGGGCACCGGGGCTATGGTGGCACGCTCCAGCGACCTGCCCTATCTGATTGTCGGGGTCGTCCTGGGCTCTATCGTCCTCCTCATCGTCTCCTTTATCCCTTTCTGCTTGTGGCGGGCCTGGTCTAAGCAGAGTGAGTAAATGACCTTCCTCAGCACTGAGATGGAGTCTCGGGAGGGGAGGGGACCCCGCTAGTTCCCTAGGCACCCTCCACCCCTGCCAGATTGGAGATGTCCCCCTTCACATTCACTGGAGCTCAACCAGGTGGCCCAGAGGGCGGGGAGACAGAATAGGCCAAGAATAGGCCCTTCCTCCCAGCTCACCAACCTGGGCAGATGGAGAAATAGCAGTTTGGTCTGTCTCAGGACATAGTGATTAAGTGGCTCCAGCTCCTATTCCTGTCTGGCCACCCTTTCCTACTTAGAATCCACATGGCCTCTCCACTGGGTCTGGATGCCATGAGCTTTCTCCCTTATCCTGGATTGAGCTGTTATTCCATTAATTTCTGAGTCAAATGGCAACACATCTGGTTAATTTGCCTCATTTAAATATTGCGCCTTCACTTCACTCAAAACCTCCTTTCCCCCAACCCTTTTCCCCACACAATAAGTCTAGACGTTGGGGGAAAAAAAATGGGTGACAGGAGGAAAATTCTGAGAATGTTCTCCCATTCCTGAGGTAATGTCATTTCTCTGCCTACCTTAGGAGTTTTCTGAGGTTCATGTAGAACTTTTCCAAACTGCCCCAGGCCTCCTTACCTAAGCATACTTCTGTCCTTCCAGAACATACAACAGACTTGGGTTTTCCTCGAAGTGCCCTTCTGTCTTCGTCCTGCCAATACACCATGGTACCACTGGGAGGACTCCCAGGCCATCGAGCCAGTGGCCAGCCCTACCTCACTGGTGCCAATGGACGCACCTGTGCCAGTGGGGTACATGTGAACAGGGGCTGCCCTGCAGCAGCCATAGGCTACCCAGGCATGAAACCTCAGCAGCACTGCCCAGGGGAGCTTCAGCAGGTAAAGTGGTCCTAGGAAAGTAGGCAAGCAGGTACAGGCCACCTCCTGGGGCTTCCCCCTTTGCAGCATCTAATCCTGGGCTGTGGCTGGGTGGGGCTCTCTCTAATCAGTAACAGCTCGTCCTGTTCAGTGAATAGGAGAGTTACCTGGATTCAAATGTAACTTTTTCATTGCTATTTTCCTGAGCAGCGGGATGACACCAACAACCTGCTGAGGCAGACCGTTCTTGGTGATGGATATGACCCCCAGAGTCACCAGATTCCCAGGTAACCAGGGCCCTCTCCTTCCACCTGAGCATCAGACTTCACTTGCTCTTTAGCTCCTCAAATCTAATAGTCACGCATGTGACAGCTAGTGCTTTGCTTAGGGACCCCACGTCAGATAACCTGCTGTGCCAAACTCTTTCCTTAAGGGGTATCTGTTGTGTTTCCAGTTAAGAATGCCTCTTCCACTCCAGGGTCTGGGTTAGCCTTCCAGAATCCTCCCCTCACCTGGCAGACCAGGCAGCCACATACAGGGGCTGTAATCACAGGCCCTGGGACGCCACATCCTCTCATATACGCTACTCGGGACTTGCCGGCAATGAAATGGAAATGGATTAGAATTACCTGTGGAAATGTTGGCATGGCACTACTTGATCCACAGTGGGGGAACAGCCCCTGCTGAGCTTTGCTCAGTCATGCCCACAAACAGTGCATCAGCAGGGATAGGGGGTGTGTGGGCCCACTCTGTTCTTACCTCAGCATCCCATCTGGTCTTTCACACACAGGGGTCCCAAGTCTAACCTGGATGAGGACTCTTTCTTATACACGCTGCCCGATGACTCTACTCACCAGCTGCTCCAGCCCCGCCGGGACTGCCTCCACCTCCAGGAGCAGCCTGTGGCTGCCGGCCAGTCAGGAACGAGAAGTGTACCCCAGAATCCTGGGGTGGAAGTGACGTGGGACCCGCTTTTTCACCCAGGTCTTTGCCAGGGCAAGGAGGGAAACTGAACAAGTTGGAGGTCACCCAGGAGTGACTTGGAGGAGGGGAGAGGACAGTTCTCAGAGGTAGCACTTGGGAAGGAGTCCCCACTGCTTGATGCAGAAGAGAGAGGAGGGCAAGGAAGCCCCCACCGCTCTGTCCTCAAAGGTTGAGAGAAAGGACACTTCTCCAGTTCAAAGAGAGAAGTCCTTTTGGTCTCCCCTGCATTTCAAGACCATTCACAAATTCCTACTACAGCCTCTCATCACTTCAGAGGCGTTCGCTAATCACGCCAAAATAGCTTGCTTTGTTGGGTCTTGTCCCTTAATTAAGGGCGGAGGGTGTATCAGTTGTTACAGAGCCAAGTTCTTACAAATACTGCAATGCTCTGTGCGTCCACAGAACTCTTCCTCTCAGGGACTCAGTGCACCCCTTACCCCACTTTTTTTCATGCCAGTCTCTTGGAAGTCAGTAGATACCTGGTTGGGGTGGAGGCTGGTTCAGAGGGTTGGCTGACGTTTCTGAGCCTCCATGGCATGTATATGGGCCCATACACCAAGCTTGGGCCCTGTCTCTGGGAGATAAAATTCTAAAAGACAGGCACCCCCCTAGATTCAGGCCAATACCATTAAAACTGAACAACTCGATCTGGGCAGGCGATGACGTGCACAGGAATATCTAGCGACCATAGCACAGTGGTGGACTAGCAGCTTCAGAGTAAGTAGGGGTTTAAAAAAAAAAAAGTAGGGCTTTCTTCCAAGGCTCAGTGCTGAGATTCTGTGGTCCCCCTCTGTACAGCACAGGTAGGACACGGCTAATAGGGCCAGCCCAGATCTGTGGGGGACATCAGAGGCAGTGCAGCCGTCCTGGTGCTAGGTTTCTCTCCTCCAGGGCAGACACGCCACTCCCGTCACCTAAGGGGTGACCCAGAACCACGGGGCATGGCTTCCCAGTCAGCCTGGATTTTAATATTTCCACTTTTCTCTCCCCTCAGGCCCCCCTTGCTGCTTGGGCCTGGTACCAGTTGAAGAGGTTGACAGCCTGGACTCCTGCCAAATGGGCGGAGGAGACTGGTGTCTCCAGCACCCCACCGGGGCCTATGCTGGGCAAGAACGCGGGAAGCGGCTCTCCCCCGGCCCACCAGTGCACGTGACTTTTGAAACGCCACCGCCCACAATTTAGACAGAAGCCAGTATCCCAGAAAGACTATATATTATTTTAAAAAAAGACAGAAAATTGGTATTTATTTTTCTATAATAGCCATATTTATATATTTATGCACTTGTAAATAAATGTATGTTTTTTATAATTCTGGAGAGAGCAAGGGAATCCTACCCATGGAGGTATGAGAAGGAAAACAAGCTGCAACCGAACACGAGTCAGCCAAGAAAGAGGAACAGCTCTTCACTCAGAATTCCTGCCACTGCCTGGAGGCCCACAGAGAAGCCGCCACGACCAAGAGGGCAAAGCAGGGACCGCACGTGACCGGCTGGAGATCCCCACGCACAAGGACGGAGCTGCTGCTACAGGACATGTTTTCAGAAGAGGCCGGTGAGAATGGACTTTGTTGTGTACTAGAAGCATTATAAGTACTATAAGCATTAACAAACCTTCCAGAATCAATAATCTGTGGCAACATATCGCTGTAAAAACAAACACTGTAACTTCTAAATAAATGTTTAGTCTTCCCCGTAGCCTTCAACTTAGTCACTTATGACTCAGCAGTCTCTTTCCATGTTAGGCTTCAGTTTGAGTATTTGAAGAAAATACCCACTTGTGCTGTTCCCAGATTTATCAAGAGAGGAGATAGGGAAAAGGAAGGTAGCAAATGTCTTTAACTGTTGAATGTCAATGAAACTAAGCTTTTCTACCTCAGTGTGTGTCGAAGACCAAATATTTTCCCCAAAATGTTGGTAATTGCTTAAATGCTGTGCTACACGCATGAACATGTTGTGCCTGATAAAACTCATTTCCCTTTTTTCCAAAAATCTACCAACATAGCCAGAGGAGTTCACTCACTGGTTGTTTCAAAACAACATTGCTTACTGCTGTCCAACCACAGATCAATCTTGATATAACTAGATGAAGGCTGAAGTTTGCAGGGAAAGCCCTAACACAATTTAAGTGTTCTCAGAAGGAAAACATTTTCTAGATTTCAGTAAAGTGGAGTAACAGATGAACTGCCACACTCTAGTCACAAATTTGAGAAACAAGATCTTTGGAAAGCTCAGGAGTAACGGACTGTCTAGGACAAGCGCGCCCTCTGCTGGCCAGAGCAAACACAGCACCTGCTCTCTAGGTTTCCTGTATCTTTTCCATCAAACAGCTGAAGTGGAAAAAGAACTAAGACAACATGACTTTCAGAAAAGCAGTATTTTTAAAATGTTAAGAAATAAATTGAAGGCCTATAAAGAACATTTAAATGGGAAGAAGACGTGACTTCAGACAACCTGGTACTAAGGGTAAGTGTGGGGCAGGACCAGTGCTCTCGCTCTTCACTCAGTTAATCCAGGGACTCTCAAATTTGAGCGCTAACATTATCTATCCCATTGTCTTAAAATTTTTTATCTCCAAAGTGAAGATGGTGAACTTCTGTGATGAGTGACATTGTTTACTGCCCAGCATTGGTACCACAACAGTAGTGCTTTTAATGCATGTTAAAGGACAGAGATAATTGCAGGAAAGAATGGAACCATTAGGCTTTCAAATTTCAGCCTAGAAAGTGAAATTACTCCGTTTTCATTCAGTTCATTGAATGAGCATTCGAAGCTTTGGGAAGTTCTGAATATTTAATTTCATTGCTTTTCTTTAGATTCATTTTAAAATTTAGATTTAACTCGGCCAACAGAGGCTTCTAAATTACTAAGGGGTAGCGTAAGGCCAAGTGGGCAGGACCTGGTGGGGGACACAGAGCTCAGCTCAAGACCTCTCTGAGAGGGCAGCCTTCCCACGTGGGACAGGCCGCCTTGGTGTCAATAATCACGCTCTTTACTGTGAAGTTGTGACAGAAAGTTTGGACTCCACAGTTGTCTTTTTTTCTTTCAAGTTATATTAACAGTAGATCCACAAGTAACTTAATTCAAACTGATTTCTGGCCTTTCCAGGTGAGGCTGCCTTCTGTCAGGGCAGAGAACTCCTTGATGTGGGAAGCAGGATAGTTTTCCATCCCCCCAGCCCAAGCTGTATACTGGGTGTCTCCTGTTTGAACTTTCCAAAGCTTTGAATGCTCATTAAAATTATCGAGTCAAGACTGAATCTGGATTCAAGCAGACATGAAACTAAAGCAGACATGAAACTAAAGTTATCCATCTAATCCAAAAAAATAGAATTCCAAACATTATGGATGAAGGCACAAGTGTTGTGGTGACTGCATGGTTCTTGTTGTTTGAAACTATGCAGCAGTAAATAAGTAAAACAGCTGTGACTAGAACATTTTCCTAAAAGATTCAAAGACACACATAGTTTAGAGCATATAGTAGAAAAGGTGCTAAAAATGTATTCTCTCTAGTAGAGACGCTACTACACCAGAGATTTATGGTGATAGGCACAAACTATTCAGACTTCTTAAACAGGAATATGAAAGAATCTTAGAGATCAAGTGTCCAGCTCTCACATACACATATATTGTAACATACAAAGCAAGTTAATCCTCTTTATAATTTGGGGCGGGCAGCTCAGCAAGCTAGCCACGGGTTAGGGATACTTGACATTGCTGAGTCCCTGTCTACATTAAAGCAGTATTGCCTTCTTCACCTTTCCATCTCAGTGACCAACTTTATATTCTGAGACAGCTCCAATGGAATAAGTCCTTGAGGTCTGAATCAAAGTGCTCCATTGTGTTACCAACAGCGATCCAAATATCAGTGAGCTCATTCCAAGATCCCAGTGGCCACTTACCCCCAAATCAAAAAGACACTCCCAAATTAGTTTAAAATGCCATATACCTTCCAAAGTGATTGTTAGAGATGTTCCTTCAGAATGATTTTGATCTTGCCTCATTACTTCTATATCAAAAACAGCAAATGACTCAAGTAGAACCTGAGAGAAAGCGGCGTAAGACTTGAGAAACCATGGGAATACTTAGAAGACAGGTAGAGTCATAAACATCTTCAGAGGGGGGGAAAAAAAAAACCTTTTTTTGGCCATTCTGGAAAACATATCCTGCTATTCCTGTCAGAGCTGAGTTTGCTAAAACTGTGGGTGATTCAGGAAGCTGGTTATTTGCCTGCTTTCTGCTAACCCAAAGCAGACTGCTCTGGTACATCTCTGCATTGCCTGAATCCTCAAATAATTGTTTCATGACGTTAACAATGTCGGAATTCTAAATTGCATTTCTTATTCTGTGATGATGTTGGCAAAATAAGTTTGTTTTTTTCTCATGTCCTCTCAGAAAACTTATCGTCAAAGTTTATTTTCCAAGGATCAAAAAAAAAAGGATGGATTGCTGAATGATAGCTTTTCTTGCCAACAGCTAAAATGTCAGAAAACCAAATACAAACTTCCCTAAAACACATGCTTTGTTGCAGTTTTGAGGTGCAGCCTTTTGTTTAGACTTGGTTCTAAACAAATCTAAAATGGTTCAGTTCATTAATAAATAGATGTTAAGTGCTACAGTCTGTTCTAAAATAACCAAATGAGAGAAATTATTAAAACTACATGACTAAGATCTGGATTTAGACTTTTAGATAAGTTCACTTTAAAATAAGATTGTAGTACGTGACCAAAAAAAACAGACCTTCTGGTGAAGCACATGTCCAAAAGGCAAACCTCGAGCCCCGTGGACTTTATCTAGTTCTGCTGTGGAGACCGAATGGGTGGGAGGGTGAGACCTCCTTTCTTACGCAGAAGAGCAATCTCTTCCTTTAAGGCCACAATTCTTTGTGCTTGGATTTGGATCAATTTAGTGACCTTCTCTTTTGCCACAATATCTGCTTTCCGAGGAGCCTGGAAGGCATTGCCCTGTGGGAAGAAAACACGACCCTCCTCTAAGCATCATTTCGAATGGAACAACCTCTCTGTCCTTCTGCCTCGAGTCAATTTCAATGGCTATTGCGCCTCCTTTTAAGGGCTTTCAAGTCCTCCACTGAAATCCCACCATTAAAAGGGGGCCTTTGAGCTAATGAACACATCTAAACATATAGATCCTTTAGGTGGGTAACAGGTTAAACCATCACTCATACCCCCAAGGATTCATCACTGGCATGGTAAAAGACAAGGTACATCCTTTTTCTATGCAGCTATATTTTGTTTTCTGCAAAGGAAATAACTCACTTCTTCATCCTATTTCCTCCCTTGTCTAGCCAGTTCCTGCTCAAACTCTCAGGGTGATGCTGATGCAGTGCTTCAGGGGATCACACTTTGAGAACCCCTGATTTGAGCATTTGCAGCATTCTTAATGAAATATATAAAGCAAAGAAACAAGAGAAACTGGAATTTTTTTCAGACGCTATTGTAAGATGATACATTGCTTAGGTTCCTATAGGGCAAGGCTTGACACCAATAAACCTAAATTAAAAAATAATATCCACCACATTCTATGTATTATATGCTAAGTTCAATAAATGTTATATAAGAGCAAACTTGAAAGCCATAAAATGCAACAACTGTTTCAATAAGATAACCTGAGATTCCACAATGCAAGATACCCACTTTAGGTCAAATGTATGTTCATGGCATCCAACGGGCATGCAGTAAAGTTAGTCCCTCAGGCTCACCATAAGGTAGGTCAACTCAGTGTCCTCGGGGACCCAGGTGGGCTGGAGCGGGTCAAGATCAGGGTTTGTTTGAAGGTCAGCACTTGATATTCTTGTGAACAGCTACTGTTAACAGAGCATCCCCAGTTCTGACAAAGGATCTGAAGGATAAGAACATACCTGCTGGTTCTGTAACGTATTCAGCCGAGAGTCCAGTTTCTTCTTTTCAACACATAAATCATTCATCTGATGAAGCTTTTTGGTGTGTTCTTTTGTCTTCATCATCAATTCCCATCGCATTTGAGCAATCTTTTCCTACCAGAGCAGGAAGATGCAAAAAGGATTAATAAGGAGAAAGAGAGAAAAATGTATGTCTGGGTTTGATAAACGTCAGGCAAATAGAGCACATGCACATGGGAAATGCGATCAAATACCAACATAGAAGCAACTGCATTGAGTCTGGTTTGGTTAAAAACAGGAAGACTGTAAAATGAGATAGATAACACTATTGTTAAGGAATGAAATTCGTATGCATGGTGAGTGAGAGTATTCATTACCTAAAAGGGAGAATGACAAACAGCAAACTTCTATACATCGCTCTATTCCCAGTCCTGGTCAAAATTCTCAAGGTAGTTTGAGTAGTCATAGATGGCTACTGGCTTTCCTTTGTTCTCATAATGCCAACACATTATTTTAGGCTGCCTCTCACTTCTAGCATGCCCATGATAGGCGCCACTCCCACACACATGTTCAGTGGCGACTATCGGAAAACAAAGGGAAAGCACAATAGCGCGAGGGACTTCTTCCCCACCTATTGATGAGGTAGGACAGAAAATGGGAGAAAGGATAATGACTTGCGGGCTTATAAAAACTTTATAAAAGTTCCCATCTTGGAGCCAAGGTGCAGCCGGGACACTGCCTCATCCCACTGCTCAGGGAACACCACAGGCATTAACAGCTGCTAAGACACCACTAGCCAAACAGTCCATACCTCACTACAGAAGTTACTACTTCAAGATGTTCTCTAATTTCTAGTTTGTAAGAGCATTCCGAAGCTCTGCAGAGTAACACAGGCACCTCAGAGCACAACAGTTCCACTCTTAACCCTGTTAGAGCACTTTCACATTGCCATCATAGTTATTTGCACCCTGGAATCCAAACCTAGTACTGGTGCTTTCACCCCAAGATAAACCCCTCCAGCTAAGTGAATGGTAAAACTGAGACAGGCTTAAGATCCTGGGGGTGACAGGGTCACAGACTCATCTCTAGCTGCACCGCAGAAACCACTTACAGTTCAACCCAGATTCAGCCAAAGTAGATCACTTGTCTTCTTGGCCTTACCTCCCACATCTTCATCTCCTTTGCATTCGATAGCTCCTTTCGAAGTTTTCTGATCTTCAGTTCTTCAAGTGTTGTGTTCACAGAGAGTGTCTGAAGGGCTTCCAGGTCTATCACACGGCCAAATTTGCTGATCATTAGTTGACGAACTGTCTCTTCCATTTCTAAGAAGACAGACACCATCGGGTAATGCAATAGCTCCCTTGTTATTAAATGAACAATACCAGTCATGAAACTAAGGAATAGCTTTGCAAGAGTGATAAAATTTTTAAAAAAAATTTTTTTAAAGATTTATTTATTTATTTATACAAGCACTGGGTACAGTCAGAAGCGTGGGAGGGTGAGAGAATTCACCAGAGGCAGAGTGGGGAACAGAACAGGCAGACTGTGAAATACACTGCTGAGGGTTGCAGCGGGCGCCAGGAGAGGTCTACACCATGTGGGACCCTCGCCCGGTGGTGGCCGGGGATTGAACCGGCCAGAGGCTGCAGGCAGCTTCTCAGCCCAGCGCTCAACCGCTGCGCCACCAGGGGAGACCCAAATTTTTAAAAATTTTAATTTGATAAAATTTAGAGTGATAAAACTTAAATAAAATTTTTTGAAGTGCATTTAATCAACAAAGACAAAGTAGAAAGAAATCCCAAAAGTCAGTAACAAAAAATAGAAGAGAAAAAGTAGCAAGGGATGTGACAGGCCTGTTACAGAAAAGGAAACATAAACAAATGAATGTGAAGGTGTTCAACCTCACCAGAATCAGGGAAAGTTAAAAACACAAAAACTGCAATGAAATACAACTTAACATCCAATCGGGGGGAGGCGTTTGGGGCCTGGGCAATTCTCACACGTGCAAGAAGGATAAAGTGGTCCTTTCCTCTCTTCCTTGTTTCCTCCTGATTCTGTGCTTACTTACTGCTTTCAGATTTGGAGATAGTCACCTGGTAGTTGTCTGTTATCAGTGAATATTACTAGATAACCCACGGGCTTAGGTACTTACTCTGGATAGTTTTTGCCATCTGTCTTTTTTCTCGGATAAGCTGTTTACGCCTCTCCCGGTATTCTTTGTTAAGTTTGCGCTGCTTGGCATTTTCCTCCTGAAGGTATACGATTCGCTCTTGCAGCAGACTCAAGGAGTGATTAGAAAAGACCAATGTTCCAGAAAGGTCATTAGGTATTTCTCCAAATATTACATACTCTATCTACAAAAACAAAATAGACAAAGATCAAACTCCGTATAAGGTCATAGACAGCACAAAAGCAGCACTTCCTTCTCGGCCCCCTGCTTAGGTCACTGCCTTCGGATGTCCATCTCTCTCAACACTGGGTAAGTGGAAAAGCAGGAGGTTGTCTTCAAATAGTTAACCACATCACGTCCCTCTGGGGATGATAAATCTCTCCCACAGACTATGCAGATCAACAATGATGGGCTGGTATATGGGGCAAAGTGCTCAAGGCAAAGTACCTGATCCAGTTTGGGTCGGGTGACACAAAGCACGTAAGGCTGGTCTTCCAAAATACAACTTTCTCTCCTGACAGCAAATAGGGTATGATGGGTCATTTCTCTTACTCATGCATCTCTATCTCAACATAAGTTGTAAGCCAAGTGGTGTGTGGAAATGAACAAAGAAAAGGAGAACCAGAAAAAAGATTTTCCTTTTTGTCTTGACCGCCATCACTGATGAGTAGAGTATAAGTGAAGATAATTCTTGCATCATGCCTTTGTCAATGGCTTAAAATAAGTGGCAGGGAAAGTAACACATGTGCAAGATCCAAGAATTCAACCTCTAAGTCCTAGGGTCCTCATTTCCCCAGACCTTAAATGACTCACACCTCACAGTGGTGATGACCCATAAGGAAATACATTTTTCGCTGTTAGCAATCTAAGAATGGGTAAGAAGAGTTTGGTTGTCATTATACAGGCAGAATTCTCAGCTACGGACTAATTCTCCCCGTGAGTAATGATGACTCTCTGGAACAGCCTGGGTGGTGGCGCTTCTGCTTAGAGGGGGTGGGGCACCCTCCCCAGACCCATCACCTGGTGGAGCTTGAGTGGAATCACAACCAGCAGTTCATTCAGCCGCTGCTGCTTCTCTCGTTGATAAGCCTCCAAGGCTGCCTCTGCTGCGTTCAGATTAGTTGCCACAATTTTTACCTGTGGAAAGTCCCACGTTTCAGTTTCAGTCGCAGCATCTAGAGGGAGGAAGGTTGGAGGAGGAGGAGGAACAAAGAGGGTTGTGGGCTAGGGGTGAGTCACTGGTGCACCAGGGGAGCAGTACCTGATTGGGGTATCCAAATAAGCTCAATTAAAAGTATACACATTTTTAAAATTTTTTAAAAATTGCATTAAAAAATAGAAACAAAGTCCCATGTACGAAATGTGGAGAAGATGCTATGAACATATACTCAAGGTGGGAAATGATGGCATCTTGGCAGGAAGTAACAGCATAGGCGGGGTCTGTCTTGTGGGAGTGGAATTAACTGGTGGAACCCAGGGATGTATATTATTTTCTTATAGCTAAGTCAAAATCCACCAACTTTTTCACTCATTCCTATGTCTCCTGAGTTGTAAAGATTTTTGTGAATGAGAATTCAAAAGACATTTGGTCCTCATCCTTTGTATTTCTTCATGAAAAACAGCTCTTAGCAGGGGATGCCTTTGTCAATGCCTTAAAATGAGGTCATTATGACCTCGATACGTTAAAGAAAAAGCTCAAAAAGCAACAAAAGTACTAACTACAGTATTTCTGAGACCCATCCATCATCTATGCAACTTGAATGCTTTCAAATCATTTCCTGTTTGCAAGAGGAAAAGCAAGCTATCCGCATTTCTAAATATCAGTCAAGTTCAGTAGATGTTGCTGTAGGAGAGAGTACCGAGAAGGAAAAAGGCGGAAACTATCCAACATAGTTATACCAGAAGTTTGACTGCCTAGTCCTGGTCTCCAACATGGGGTTGCATGCACCCAAGGGAAAACAAAGAGATCTACTGGGGTCCAGTAAGAAACTATCTGTTTCTATTTATTTTTATCTCATTCTTTTCTATTTGTTTTTACAAATGTTTAAAAATATGCAAAATATATTAATACAATAGTTGTGAATATAACATACAAAAATAGACATCTGTTGTAGGAATATGTGCTCCACAACTTTTCTACTGATATATGTAGGCAATGAAAACTATTTGGAGGCCAGTGATTGGGATAGAGTTTGATCATCAGAAGAGCAACAGCCCCACCAGGACTGTGCTTGGGGAGAGAAAATTGGATGTGACCATTGAAATGTTTCTGCTCTGGAGAGATGTTCTAACATGGTATTACTGTGACCTGGCACAATATAGCAGAGGCGGTGCAGCCTGTAGAGAGGGGATAAATAAGTAGGAGGTCACCTTACTTTTTTGGACAATGTGTCATATTCCTTTTTGAGGTTATCGACAATTTTCTTTTCTTCAACTAAGGCTTCTTCAATGTCCAGCCTCTTTTCTCTAAGTTGAAGGGCCAGTTCAAAAAGACTTACATTACAATCTGAAAAGACAAGCAAAATAAAAAAGAAGCCCAACTTGTTATAGGATGTAGTAATGCACCAAGTGTGGACTTTGCAGTTTCAAAATAATGTCCCATTTGTGGATCCTCTCTAGCAAGCTCTCACCACATTCAGGGCGCCAGTGTTTCAGGTATAAGTTACCGATACCAATAATGACGACAGTAATTATAACCCCAGTCTTGAAGCTCTGAGCTGTACTCTGAGCCAGGCTTTACACTCAGCTCTTTACATATATTATCTTACTCAAGGCTCAAACCTTGAGTACCTGCAAAGGAGAAACTATTGAATATTCCCATTTTTTTAAAGATTTATTTATTTATGAATACAAGAGCTGGGGTATAGCCAGAGGTGTGGGAGGGTGAGAGGATTCACCAGAGAGTGGGAAGCAGAACAGGCGGATCTACTGAAATACACTGCTGAGGGGAGCAGTGGACAAGACAGAAGAGGTCTGCTGTGCCATGTGAGTTAGCTCCATGGCCGGGGATCAAACTCGTGCTGCAGTGGCTATGGATAGCTTCATAGTGCTGAGACTTAAACCCCTGCGCCACCAGGGAGGCCCCCTGAATATTCCCATTTTATGGGTGGGACCTTAATCTCACAGAGGTCATGCAACTTACAGGATGTATGGGCTTCAAGTATAATATCTCTATATTAATTTCTATTACCTCACACTTAAAGTCACATTTATCCACCAAGTAATTGATAAAATAAAAATATAATGGAGTTCTGCAGTGGAATTCAGGAACCTGAGTTGTAGCCCTAGTATTACCACTAAACTAGCTAAAGGACTTAAAGTCCTTCAATCTCGCTATAAAATAATGAGTGACATTACAAGTGAGTTCCTTTCCTCTCTTCCACATATGTATGGTTCTAAAGAAGACTCTATTTTCAAAATCAAAACAAGATTTAAATTTTTTTGTAAATTAAACCTTATGTCAGCCCAAAAGGAAATAATTTTTTTCTCTGTTGAACCGTTCCTCTATCGCAAGTATATGAATATTGGTCTGGCTGCATCAGCCTGGTTTCACCAGTGAAAACAGTGAATGTAAATTGCCAAGCATTTTCAGGAAAATGGTACAAATTGCCCTTACAAAACATATTTGGAATATGAAAATAAGCTTGTTAAAAAGAGAGCACTTCATAAAAAATAAAGTAGATAAGCAGATACAGAGTACAATCTGTTGCTTCTATAGAAAATGAAGTGTGTATAATTTATGACACTCAACTGCAGGTTGTATGCAGATTTTTCACTCATAAATGGCAGCCTAAGGGAACACAAAATAAATCATCCAAGAGCCCCCAAAGCTGTATCTCATATATTTTATGCCACGCTCCCCTTAAATTTTATTCTGAGAGAACGGAAAAGGAAAACAAAAAAAGGATCCCTTTGGTAGAGGTCAAACCATATTCACACGCAACAGAAAACACAAGCTTTTATCCAGCTTACTTGAGGGGCAGATGGAGTCATCAAAAACATCATCTTCAGATCCAGACTCATCCTCATCACTCTCCAAGCTTGATTCTTCTTCACTTGATTCTTCACTTTCTTCATCTTCATCTAAACACAAAGATATTATTAAAGAGAGTTCAGTTTCTATGTTAAACTAAATCCCAGACTTTTAAAAAATAAAATCTTTCTCAAACAGTCACTAGAAGAACAGGAGACATAAAGCAGAAAATTACAGGTGGATCTACTGAAATACACTGCTGAGGGGAGCAGAGGGCGAGACAGGCGAAGTCTGCTGCGCCATGTGGGTCAGCTCCCAGGCTGGGGATAGAACTCCTGCCACAATGGCCGCAGATAGCTTGATAGTGCTAAGACTTTAACCCCTGCACCACCAGGGAGGCCCAAGAATCCAATTTTCCTTTAACAACATTGAATAAAATATCTTTTAAGAAAATATAAATTGTTGAAAACTGAAACACATCTGTCCCCAAGTGCTTCTGATAAGTGACTGGAGACCTCACCCACACAACTGTGCAGCTCCATATTCTTTTTAAACATGTCTGAGCCACAGGTTGCCAACTGGCTATTTTTTTTTTCTTTTTTTTTCCCCAGCCTCCCCCACACCCCCGCCCAGGCTATTTCTATTTTATGAAACTTCAAACTAGAAAAAAATAGAGATGGTGTGAATCCTCTCCAGATTTCTTTGAAAGATCTGTTAAGCGGTCTGAACCACCTTATGAAATAAACTGACAAAGTTTAAAATCAGACTTTAAAATTCTTACATAAACTCCTGTTTTCCGGAAGATGATGAAGACCTACTTTTTCTATTCCTCCCATTAAATTCAATTAAAAATCCTGGATAGTCCATGTAAAGCAATTACAGGAGGACTCTGAAACGTGCAAAGATGGCAAATCAAATATGCACCTCAGAACCTGAGGGCCAGCCCTGCGGTGATTTCCTCGGGTCTTTTTTCTCCCGTATCTCAGACTTGGCGATAAGGAAGACTGTGACCTGGAAACACTAACAAAGGCAGACATGGGATGGCCCAGCGAGAGCCTGATTTCTCTAGCAAGGAGACCAGGAAAGACATACCCTAGCAAGACAGAATGGTTTAGACCTTATTCCAACAAACCACCACAGAAAAAACCATTGTCCCACTCTGTGACCCACTGCAGCAAAGACCAAGTGGGGTGCCCAGATACCCAGGTGTGTAAAGCTGTAATGAAGTACCCCAACACTCTCACAAGGAAGGTGTCAGAGAAGGCCAAGGAGGGAACCCACATATTTATTCCTGCAGACCTATAACCAGCCCCGATAACTATGTCTATGCAGACCCCAGGGGAAGCCTGGATGACCACTGCTACCTCACCTGGCAGCAACGGGCCCCATTCTCCCTCCCTGCAGAGGCAGTATCAGAACAGCCGTCACAAAGCAGTAGGACTTCCATCATTGCCCAGAGGCGCCAAGCTGCTGCCATCGTGTTGTCAGCAGGGATTACGTGAGGAGCTGGAATTCCCACCCCTCATAGCAGTCACAGATCTCTCCTCTGTTACAGATCTCTCCTCAGTGAAGGCTGAGCCCTTCCAGCCAGCAGTGCCAAGTGGCTCCCACCCCTTTCTCTGGCACAGCAGTGTTCTTAGAGAAAACCAAGTGAAATAGAAGGTTTTGATAAGATACAAACCCACATAACATGAAAGTTTCCAGGTTTCAATTGAAAAAGCACTCATCATACTGAGAACCATAAGATTTTCCAACTGACTGAGAAAAGACAACTAATAAATGCCAACACTGAGATGACCAAAATGTTAGAATCATCTGAGAAGTAAACCATATTGATAAAATTACTACAGTGACCAATTATAAACATACTTGAAGCAAATGGGGGAAAAAAACGCAAGGCCTCAGCAAGGAAATAAAAAGTCTCAGCAGAAATCTATCTATGTATCTCTCTGTCTCTCTCTCTCTCCCTGCCCCCCACCCTCAGTTAGAGAACTAAAGGTTTTTGTCCTCTCCTCTTTAACCCTCACAATGCCTCTACACTGTCAATGATGTAGTGGAAATAGGTGTCAAAAACGTCCCTTTCACTGATCACAAAGACATACAAAGAACACACAATAAAAACAAAGTTAACAATCCAGTCAAGAAATGGGCAGAACTTAAAAGACACTTCTCCAAAGAGGAAATGCAAATGGCCAACAGGCATATGAAAAAATGTTCAACATCCCTTATAATCAGGGAAATGCAAATCAAAACCACAATGACATACTATAACCTTACATCAGTTAAGGATGGCACATATCAAAAAAAACAGCAACAACAAATGCTGGCGAGGATGTAGTGAAAAAGGAACTCTCCTACATTGCTAGTGGGGGTGCAAACTGGTCCAACCACCATGGAAAGCTGTCTGGAGGTTCCTCAGCCTACTAAAAGTGGAGCTACCATATGACCCAGCAATTCCACTCCTAAGGATCTTCCCAAAGGACACAAAAATATCAATACAAAAGAATACATGTACCCCTATGTTTACTGCAACACTTGAAATCAACCCAAATGCCCCAAAATAGATGACTGAATCAAGAAGATGTGGTATATATACACAATGGAATACTATTCAGCAATCAAGATAAACACATGCCATTTGCAGCAATGTGGCTAGCGCTAGAAGGGATTGTGCTCAGTGAAATAATTCAGAAGGAAAAAAAAAATATCGGATGGTTTCACTTATAGGAGGAAGATAGGGTAACCAAATAAAACATCAGGGTAAAAAAATAATAGCAATACAAAACACAACACAACAAAACAAAAACAATTATAAACCAGAGATCCTGCAGGGGACGGGAAAGGGGAGGGATCCGAGGGAGGGAGGGAGGAGCAAAGGGGACTGTGGTGATGGAGCAGGGGTGCGCTGGTGGTGGAAATTCTTTAGGGACTACACCTGAGAAAAGAAGTAAAATATATATAATTTTTTTAAAATGTCCCGTAGTTATTTCTCTATTTCATGCTACCAAGAGAAAATAGGATCACATATAAGAAAGAAATACAAACCAGCATCTCCTTCAACTTCCTTTTTCTTCACCCTCTTAATCCTCTTCTTTAGGACCTTCATGAGGAAGTTAGCAAATTTATTGTTTTCTCCCAGGGCTGCTTGGAAACTAGCATAGAGTGCCTTTTCTTGTTCTTGGAGCTTTGCAATTTCAATCTTTTTCTCTTCCATCTCTTTAAGAGTTTCATTTATTTTCCACTACATGAACAAAAAACAATAAAATTTTCCTGATAAACCAGGTTCAGAGAGCATTATACATTACTATAATGTAAGGTTATGGTTTAGAATATCTTTTTAAAGCTTCTTAATACAAGTTTATATTTCTGATATTTGCAGCACCATCCACTTACTTGATTAAATTTTGTCATTCTTTCAGTAAGTTAGAATCAGATAAGATCAGCTTTTTAATGTTTAACTCTTTCAAAAATTAAATAAACTGAAATTTTACTGATAGGTAGATGTCAATTATCTTTGCATTATCATCTTGAAAGCAGATTTTTTTCATATCAGTAACTGAAAAAAATTTCATAGTGAAACTGATGTAGCTAGAAACTGATGTCATTATTTAATATGTAATATCTACTGAATAGAATTCTTCCTTTAAGACAAATAGTATATCACTAAAATTTGCATGTAAATAACAATTTCCTGTGATATTCAACGATGTTACTTTAAAGCTAGCAAAAATATTTAAGAAACTCACCAACTTCTTTTTCCAGGTATATTCATATGGATAACAATCAAAACTCACCTTCATATGATAGCTAGTGACAAGCAAAATATAGCCTTTTGCAATTCCATAAACTAAGATTTATATGTGAGATTTTATTCTCCAAACTTGCAAAATATCAGATCAAATTTATTTTAAAAATCTGATTCTTTTTTTTGTGACCAAGGATACCAAAAACAGCAATCAAGGGGAGAAGACAAAAAAGAAAAGAGGACTAGAATGAGGGAATAAAGAAGAAAAAAAAAAAAAACACCCAGTTGCCTCCATAACCAAGGGTGCAGGCAGCCAGCGTGCTCCTGCCAGTTCATACTTGCATGTCCTGTTCCTCTTGGTCTAATGAATTAACACGCTCTTGAAGTATATTCTCCTGCTTTTCAAAATTCTTGAGGAGAAGCATTTCTTGAAACAATGTGAGATGGTGCAAGTCAGATAATTTCATCTGAGTATCCAGTTTCAGTTTCTGATGTCTCAGGAGACGAAGTTCTGCATCAAAAGTGACAATAAGTTCTCTGACCTGAGGTAGAAAAAGATTTGAGGATATATGAGAAATTAACAATATGTAAACTTTTTAAAACTAATATAACTTGAATAAAAGTATATTCTTCTTATACCTTTATTATGGATGGAGAAGTGTGTGTGTAGTCATAGAAATCAGTTCATTAGTGGCATTAACTTTTTAAATGGTAGGAATTCTATAACTCCAGTCCTTCCAGTTATTCATCATTAAGCCATCAGTCTAGAATGCCCTTCTATCTGTACTGTGTGATTTAAATAAAAGACTATGCATTCTTCATGGATAGTTGTCGGGGCCCAGACCTGGGGCCCAGACCTGAACATCCGGGTTCTTGCCTGAAGCAGGTACTGAATGTTAGCTCCAGGGAAGGTTTCAAGTTTCCTATTGTGACGACTGACCCCTTCCCCTGCTTGTTCCTTGTGGCTTGTTTGCATTGGTGGTCTCTCCTTGTTCTTCGAGATAACGAGAGACCTCCCCCTCTGAACCCTATATAACCTTGTACACGTTCCTGAATAAATGAGACTGGCGATGATCCTGGCTTTGTCTCCACTCCTCGCGTACCCCTGTCCCATACCAAGCCCCTGCTTCCTCCCCCGGGTACCATGTTGATCTGCCCGGCTGGCCCGGACAGATAGTGTTTATATTGCCTCCACTTTTTCTCCTCACTAAATCTCTAAATTGCTACTTCAAAAAGTAGCACTAAATATTTCTCTCAAGTTCTTTTTCGAAAACTTTCAAGCATGCAGAAGAGTAAATTTTTAAAGTGGATAAATATAATCATGGAGCTGCACGAAGCCTGTTCAATCCTGTTTTACAGATGAAGAATTGAGGTCAAAGGTGATTTTTCTGAGATTAAAACAAACTTGTTACAGAGCAGGGACAGGAACATAAATATCCCAAGTCCTGATCTGGACCTTATTCCACTGACACCCTAATGATTTTAAATCCTCAGTTTTACCCCAATGTTGGCACAGCCCTAGAGAACACAGTGGAGATCAAGAGAAAGCCCTAAGGGCTGAGTCTCCTGGGGAAACTAAAACAATAGGAAGAAGGCAAACCACCCCTGTTTTTCATTAGGCTCTATATGATGGGGAGCCTCAGTGGTCCAGTGCCTGGAATGAGTGAGGGCCCAATTGCAGCTGGAGAACTTCAGAGTTAAAGAGGGGCAGGGAAGGAAAAGAAAAACTTTACATCTTAAAAAAGGGTTGTGGTAGACCATAGGTGCTTCTCTGCTGTATTCAACAAATGTGAATTATTTCTAAATTTTCTTTAGTGCAACGCCACTGTGAACGGTACCACACAGGTGTCCATGTTTGCAAGGTTTACACTTGTTTCATTCTCTCACCCAATAGCCTGTGTGAAGTTTGTGAGGATGGAGAGTATGTCTGTCTTGAGGGTTGTTGCTTCCCTCCTACAGCATGAGGAGGAAGTCAAGCCATCGGTAAATTGTGGTCTGACTAGAGTTTGGGGAAAGTTGATACAGAGACATTTTAATTACTAAGAAACTAGATCTTATTCTTCCAGACTCTCCTTTTTTCTCAGCTTTCAATGAACACATCCTCCCCCCTTACCCTGTTGGCCAAATACTGCTGCATGTACACGTGTTTAACTTCTTCCCGCTTCATAATCTCCAGCTCCATGTCGGTTGGCTCTGTTTTTTCAAATTCTACTGGCTTTGGAATATCTGTAAGGTGGGTTGATGCCTTTGATGATCTAGACAGTGAATCGCGCGTCGTCACATCCCCTTCCCTTACAATAGAGGGTCTGAGGAATCCTCCGATTAAGTTTTCAGGCGCTGCCTGCTCCATTGGGAGGCACTTTTCATCCTCACTTTTTATCTTCTCTCGCTGAAAAGTTAGGAGAGTTTCCTCATCATAATGAAATCTCTTTTCTGGAACTTCTTCTGGATATATCTGAGGGATATCGGGGATGGGAATGTGCTTGGATACGTGAAGAACTGACTGGATGTTCTTCAGTTCTTGTACCAGACACTGTATCTCCTCTACGACAGCCACTTTAAGGTCTCGGAGGGAGATGATGCACTTGTTCATGTGCCTTTTCTTTGAATAAGCCTGATAAAAAGAACACGAGAAAGCAAAATAACAATCCGTTCACCAAAGACTGTTTGAAATATGGTTTGCTTTTGTCCTTGACTAGCAAAAATTCAAGATGAAAATTAATATGATCATTCTGCTTACTGCAAAGTTGCTGTTCTCTAGGGCTTAGGTTTTTCCCATTTAGCCTCTCCAAAAGTGGGTTATAGCTTGGATTTATCTCTGGCATCCATCAGCTGGCTCACAGGGCTGAGCTTCCCAAATCCTCCCTCAAGCCTTGAAATTAAACCAAATCTGAGGAGAAAATGGCCACTCTTCGGTCAAGAAACTTCAAGTAATGTATCGTCCCTGAGGGAAACCCAAATCCTGTTAATTTAGACTCATCTAGGGTTGCCCACCTTCAGCCAAACTCCAAATGAGCAAACGTTCTTTCTGAATTTTAGCCAGCCATATTATTACTGTTACACCTTGTGTGGGCAAAGGCATGGGTCTGAACTTCAGCATAATGTCACACCAAGAGATTCCAGAACCCTTCCTTGATTCCTTATCCATTTATCTAAGCCAAGCTGAGGGGGGGGGGGCGGTCTCTGTCTCCAGCCACAGGTGCCATGTGTGCCCAGCAGTTCCTCATTGCCAGCTCTCTTCCCAGTCTGTTTCCTAAATGCCCTTACTAGGGCCTATAGGCACACGCAGCCCCATGTCTGTGTACAATTAGGCAGCTTGATGGTCCAAAGGCTATTTAAAGTTAATTGCACTGGAAGGAGGGATATGTGATACACTGTTTTTTTCAAATGCTTGATACTTTTCAATAATTTTTAATTTAACCATGACAACAATGGCCATTTATTCACTTTGACCATTATGTTAGCTCTATGAGGTAAACTAAATATTTACTCTATATTTTTTATACTGCCATTTTAATAAGAGAGTTTAGTGTAATGCAATTCAGAGCAATACATCACACCTGTCCATCATCTCTAGATAGACTATGAAGTTTCAAATTGGGTGACTGGAAAATTTTGTTAAAAGATCTTTGGTGAAATAGCAAAAGTCACTTTCCTCAAGATACTTTATTTCCATTGGTCAGAAAATTATAAAATATTCAAAGTTACTGTTTCTGTGGTGTGATTAGCACGCTTCCCAGTGTGATGCTTTGAAATGTGAGCCTGCCCAGCCATTATAGGTGCTATGTACCAAATTCTAAAATTGGCCACTTCTGAGCCTCTGATTGTGAAAAGTCCCTGATCAGTTCATATTAAGGTATCATTATGACAAGAAGAGGAAACTTCATTAAGAAAATGGGAAGAAAAAATCAGGACAGTTGGTGGGCCTCTCCAGTGGCACAGTGGTTGAGCACTGGGTTGCAAAGCTGCCCGCAGCCTCTGCAGCACTGGTTCGATCCCCGGCTGCCGGGCAAGGGTCCCACATGGCGTGCAGACTTCTCCTGCCCTCCGCTGCTCCCCTCAGCAGTGTACTTCATCAAGTTTGCCTGTTCTGTTCCCAGCTCTAGCTCTGGTGAATTCTCTCACCCTCCCGCGCTTCTGACTGTACTCAGTGCTTGTAAAAATAAATAAATAAATCTTTTTTTTTAGAAAGAAATCAGGACAGTTGGAAACAGTTTGAGAGAATGCAGAGAGAATCAAAACAGAATATGTTGGGCCTCCCCAGTGGCGCAGTGGTTGAGCACTGGGTTGCAAAGCTGCCAGCAGCTTCTGCAGCGCCTGTTCGATCCCCGGCTGCTCCCCGGCCACCGGAGGAGGGTCCCACATGGCGCGCAGACCTCTCCTGCCGCCCGCTGCTCCCCTCAGCAGTGTACTTCGGTCCTTCTGCCTGCTCTGCTCCATGCTCTGGCGAATTCTCTCACCCTCCCGCACGTCTGACTGTACCCAATGCTTGTATAAATAAATAAATCTTTAAAAAAACAAACAAAAAAACCAGAATATGTTAACTGACTAGTAGTGAGTCACCTACCAAAGTTTGCAAAGAAAGTCCTGAAAGGTCAGAAAATGACCCTCTCCCTATGTCTTTGGGGCTTCATGGCAGTCAAAACTATATATTTCCAACAAGGAAGTGTTTGAATTTCAGAGTTTCACATTCTATAAAACAATGTTTTCACCTATAAAACTGGTATTGAGACAAGTAATTAACTTGAAGGCTGATTCTACCATTTTAACTAAATAATCACAGATAACTCTCCTGTCCTCTCTGGGCCTCAGTTTCCTCATTTGTAAAAAGGGGCATTCTTCTAGGTAATCCCTACAGGTCTTCTCCAGTCGAAAGTTTATGGCTAAATTTTTGGACAAGAGAGCAAAAATGGGTAGCTTTAGCAGAATTCCAGTAAAAGCTAATGCTAGTAAAAATTGCCCGTAAATACCAAAGCATCTAGTTGGCCCAGCTCCTCTTCCTTCTTGGCAGCATTCATTCTCATGTGCTCTGGTATCTTATAGTCTGAGGCTGTCTTCAGGTTGAAGTCTCCCATGTACAGCTGGGCCTCTTTGATGGCCTGAACATCTTTGGGGTCTTCAAAGTCATCATCAGGCTTACTCTTGTAGCTATCAAAAAAAAAAAAAAAAAAAAATGGAAAACTCAGCCACAAAATAAAGTGAAATGTGAGCCTGCCCAGCCATTATAGGTGCTATGTACCAAATTCTAAAATTGGCCACTTCTGAGCCTCTGATTGTGAAAAGTCCCTGATCAGTTCATATTAAGGAATCATTATGACAAGGACAGGAAACGTCAGTAAGAAAATGGGAAGAAGAAATCAGGACAGTTGGTGGGCCTCTCCGGTGGCGCAGTGACTGAGCGCTGGGTTGCAAAGCTGCCCGCAGCCTCTGCAACGCTGGTTCAATCCCCAGCTGCTGGGCAAGGGTCCCACATGGCGCGCAGACCTCTCCTGCCATCCGCTGCTCCCCTCAGCAGTGTACTTCATCAAGTCTGCCTGTTCTGCTCCCCGTTCTGTTCCTCTAATTTGTCTACTTCACTATAGCTATATATTCAAAAACCAATCCTGAACAAAAGCACAATCCTGAGTCTATGATACATTTTTATCTATAGAACCCAAGAGTTTATTTTTAAGTTAATGGCATCCCAAGTCAGATAAATCATGAAATAAAAACCAAATGGTTTTTAACCAATGGTGATAAAATAATCTAACTCATTCTTAGGCTTTGGTTACTACTGTGTAGTAATTTATTACATCAACATTGTCATTTATTCCCTTAATAGATATTAAGCCTTGAGATGGAGTTTTTGAAAAGGTCAGCTGAAACTTTTTTGATTATATAAGTGATTATCATAAACTTTGTCATAACACTTTCCAAAAGGCACCTAGTACAAGATGACAAGTAAATACATGTACTTGTCCCTTCTCTCATCTCCCCAATAGCCATACGAATGATATTAAAGAGAATAAAGTGTTAGGAATGCTGACAATAAGATAAATAGCTATGAACAAACTAGGGAGCATGATATATTTCTGGAAGAGAAAGAATATGAAATCATATGAATGAGCAAGCTATGCCAGAGAAAACTATACACCAGAAACCCTCAGGAGAAGACAACAAAAGAATTGAAAGTGGTTTTCCAGATAATTCCTAAGAGGGGGAATTAAGCACAGGGGCAGCAAGCATGAGGAGGAATGGAATGCTAGACATTACTTGACAAAATCAATGAAAGGACTGAAAAGGAATGCCTGAAAACAGGTGGGTCCTCCCAACTTTCCCATCGCCAACATATAAAATAGTAGCAACCTTTACATCTAGACTAGAACTGAACTAACCTCTATGGAAACTGACCACTCTGCTTGGGAAGTACTAAGGCATCTAGGTAAGGGTTGACACCCCGCTGTAGGGATCATCATTGGGAGACTTCAACCTAGATATCTAGTTCTTTAAAATGAAGCCAACAAGTCAACATAAATATGTGCCTATCACTTGCAATCAGGCCTTTAGGAAAACAAATGTATACAACAGCAGAGAAAATGCATGCCATCAAATGTATTGACAATCCTTCATTTGCATAACATTTACAATAGCATAAAAGGGAGGATTAATATTTTTCAAAGGAAAGGAAAGGAAAAGGAGAGAGAAAAGGAAAGGCAGGTAGGCAGTATGAAAACAGATACTTCTGTTCTGGCCATGTGAGAGTCAGGAGGTCCATAATCATGCCCATGTTGTAAGTTATTAGCGAACTGAACAAAACCCTTAAACAACTATGTCCAGACACTGAATGTGAGGGAGCAAGGATAGTAATTCCTGCAGCAGGTATAAGAAAATAAGTAAACTTTATATTAACTGCATAGAGGGAATTACCAGAATGTGGACTGGATTTGGGATTTCAAATATATAGTGCAAGAATCTCACTGTTTGAGAAAGAACTAAATAGAAAGAATTAAACATTAAAAGTAAAAATATGGACAAATTCATTTCACTCTATTGTCTATATTATGTTTGAAGACTGAAGAAAACACTTTAACACTGACCTGGTTCCAAAATATGTATAGGGGAAATATTTCTACCATTATATGAGGGGTAACCAGGAGGGACAGGTAAAAGGCAGGTAGGTTTCTACACTTCATTCAAGTTGATAAAATATTAGCACCTGTAGACTGCATATTCCCTACATTTCATCCATCTGTAAGCCTAAATTTCATCTATCTTAGTGAAATTTCAGTGTGTGCTTGAAAAGTATATGTATTTGCATTCTTGGGTGTCGTGTTCTATAGAGGTCAGTTAGGACAGGATAATAATATTGTTCACACATACTCACAGACATAAATGCATATTACACATGTGTATATAATGTATATTATATATAAGACCATATATATGACATTATATATATATATAATATATTAACTGAAGCAAACACTTAAACTACTCAAAGTGATATACTTAAAAACCCACTATAGATTACTGATACTAGAACTCTAAAACATTCAATATACTACAGGAAAAAGAAAAAAAATGGGGAACAAACAAGAAACAATACAAAATAATAGATACAAGCTCTAAATAACAATAATTGTTAACTGTAAATAGTCTAAATATACCAACAGAAGAATTGGGATTGACAGAATGGATTAAGGAACATAACCCAGCTATATCTTGTATATAAATACTAACTTTAAATATAGCGATAAAGGTAGGTTGAAGTACAAAGACGGAAACAGTTATACCATTCCAATACTGAATGTTTTCTCCTGAAGAACCGAAACAAGGTGTGGAAGACAGAACTATCAGTCCATTTTAACAACATAGTGGAAGTTCTAGGCAGTGCAATAGGAAGAACAGGCAAATAGATTGAATAGGAAGAAATAAAACTACCATAGACAGATGATGTGATTGTCTATACCAAAGATCCTGCCAAAAAGTCTCTCAGTAGTTCAGCAAGGTCACAGCTTAGCAGATAAACATAAAAATTAACTGTTTTATCTAGCAATGAACACAGAGACACCAAAATAAAAAAAACAATACCATTTTTGATTGCTCACCCAAATGAAATGTGTGTAATTCTAACAAAATGTGTACAGTATTTTTTCTTTTTTTTATTTTCTTTTATATATTTTTCACATTTTTCATTTTTGCACAATGTATGCATTTTCATCTTGGTTATAGTCCCCATACAATTCCCACCCCCCTTATTTTGACCCTAATCCCTTCTTCCCTTCCCCTCCCCACCCTCGTAGTGTGTCTCTGGTTTATAGTTGCTTGTTAATTTTGATTTTTTACTTTATTATAATTAGTCTTTTGCTGATCCCTTATTTAGTTTTTCTAAATTCCTGCTATGAATGAGACCATCTATAGCAGCACTATTTACAATAGCTAAGCTATGAAAACAACCCAAATGCCCAAAAATAGATGTGGTACATATACACAATGGAATATAATTCAGCAATCAAAAAAGATAAACTCATGCAATTTGCAGCAATATGGATGGAGCTTGAAGGGATCATGCTCAATGAAATAAGCCAGGAAAAAAAAAGAAAAATACCAGATGGTCTCACTCATGGCAGGAATGTACAATACTTTTATACTGAAAAGAACAGAATACTGATGAAAGGAATCAAAGACAATGTAAATAAATGAAATGGTATGATTATACCATGTCCACGGATTAGAAGATTCAACATAATAAATACATCAATTTCCCTAAAACTGACATATAGATTTAATATAATTCCTATCAGAAATTAAGCAATTTTTTTGGTATATATACACAAGATTATTCTAAAATGTAATCTTTCCTGTTACTTTGCCTTTCCATATAAAACAATTTTGAAATTTTTTTTTAAAAAAAATCAGTCTATCCAATTTCAAGACCTATTACATAGCTGTAATAGTAAAGACAGTGTGTCATTGCCAAGGGGACACAGATATCAAACATACATGAACAGAAAGTGAAGCCAGAACTAGACTCACACAAATATGCCCAAATGATTTTTTTTTAACCAAACTTCAAAAACAATTCAATGGAGGAAAGTCTTTTCAACACTGCTACAGCAATTGGACTCTTAGGCAAAACAATGAACTGAAACTAAATCTTACACCTTATACAAAAATGAATACCAAATGGATTGCAGACTTACTAGTAAAAGGTAAAACTAGAAAGCTCTTAGGAAAACAAGAGGAGAAAATCTTTAGGACTTAGAGTTAGGGAAAGAGTTCTTAGACTTGACAACAAAACAAGATTCATTGAAGGAAAAAATTAACTGGCTCCAGCAAAATTGAAGGCTTTTGCTCTACAAAAGGCCCTGTTAAAGAATGAAGAGACAAGTTTCATGCTGGGAAAAAAAAATATTGCAAACAACAGGCTAGGATGCAGAATATATAAGGAACTCTCAAAACTCAGCAGCATAAACAATCTCAGTTGATCATGTGAAAAACACATGAAAAGACATTTCACCAAATGATACATGGGTGGGAAATTAAATAGTTATCCTTAATAAATAAAAATACCTCTTATTTTAAAAAATCAGTCTATCCAATTTCAATACCTATTACATAGCTGTAATAATCAAGACAATGTAATAATGCATTTTTAAGTCAAATTCAGATGGTTACAGACCTCAAGGTGAAAGGCAAAATAAGATGTTAGAAGAATATAAAGGAGACTATCTTCTTTATGTTGGGATAGAATAGAATTTAACGCTTAAAAATCATTTTTAGTATATTAGTAAAAGGAAATTCCTAGAACTGAAATTCTAAGGATAACAGACATTCCACCAAGGTGCCACCACCCACCTTGAAAGATCTAGTTGATTTGTCTTCACTATCTTCATCCATGTTATTTCTTTCAACTGTTTATTTAAATAGCAATGTCAGTGTAACTATTTTTAAAGTATTTTAAAATATATTAAAATGAAAGACTGAGTAATAAACTTACAGTTCTTCCCATTCCTTCTTTCTCTGCTGAATCTTAAGTTGGGCCTTTTCAGCTTTTAATATAAGTTTCTTTGTTTTCTCGATTTGATTATTGACCATAATTTCACTTAAGGTTCTAGGCCTGTATTTATCCACTTTTCCTATCAATGATTCTTCTGGCATAACCAAACCCCCACCTGTACAGAAGAGTTAACATTTTAAAAAAATCTCTTTGAAACATCAGAGTAAAATTCTCAAATTTTTTAACCCACATTTTAAAAAATTCAAATATAATGAATCTATAAATCAAAGTATTTCTTTCAACAACTATAATGAATTCAATCCATAATAAGTATTTTAGAATATCAAAATAAAGAGATCTAAGTGACACTTTTTTTCTGTTAAGAACCTTATTAGAATTTGTCAAGATAAGCCATACATTAAAGAATTAGAGAATAGATACATAATGACGGACCATAGAAAGATATGATGAAGTCAGGAGGTGTGTTTGCAAAATGCTGGGGGAAGGGTAAGCAAGGGAGCTCTATTTCATACGTATAATTTGAGATGACATATGCTAACTGCAGTGGTCTGTGACCAAGTAAAAACTGGTCAAAACATAAAATCAAATCTGTGATTTAAAAATTATTTCTGGAGACTCCCTGGTGATGCAAGGGGTGAAGATACAACCTATAAAGCTACCCACAGCCACTGCAGCATGAGATCGATCCCTGGCCAGGGAGGTGACCCACATGGTGCAGCAGACCTCTCCTGTCTCGCCCGCTGCTCCCCTCAGTAGCACAAGGAGTTAAGCATCAGCACTGTGAAGCTATCCACAGCCACTGTAGCATGAGTTCCATCCCTGCTGGCCAGGGAGGTGGAAATCTTCCTTGGCAGCCCCACTTTTCAAAATATAAAGAAAAGGGTCTCCCCGGTGGCGCAGCAGTTGAGCGCTGGGCTGCAAAGCTGCCCGCAGCCTCTGAAGCGCCGGTTTGATCCCCAGCCGCTTGCGAGGGTTCCACATGGCGCGCAGACCTCTCCTGCTGTGCCCACTGCTCCCCTCAGCAGTGTATTTCATCGGTCTGCCTGTTCTGTTCCCCGCTCTGGTGAATTCGCTCACCCTCCCGCGCTTCTGACTGTACCTAGTGCTTGTATAAATAAATAAATAAATCTTTAAATAAAAAAAGAACACTTTGAAAAAAAATAAAGAAAAGCCTTTGTGTCATTTAGTCTTACCTGAATCTCTCGTGCTTTCCTTTCTTCCAACTCCATCTTTTTCAAGCCTCTCAAATTTGCTTATTTTTCTCTCTGGTTGACTTATCCGTTTGAATTTGGAGTATTTGGAGGGCTTCACAAGTCTATAGGAGGCTATCTTGTGATCACTTTGTATGGCATTAACCACAATAACATCACTTTCCAGTGAGTCACGAAATCTGAAAAAATAAAGAATATTTGCAGTAATCACCGTTTTAGTCAAATCAAAACAAATGTAAGATAAGATGAAACCAAAAACTCTAGAAATCTGGCCATAGAACTGAGGCTACCAGAGAGGGAGGTTGAAAGGCAAGAACAAAGTGGAGAAGCAGCACAAGACTATGGTGCAGGACTATGGCTCTAAGGCGGTGAGTTGGTGTGGTAACACCACCTGAGGGGGGATCCCGTACTGCTAAATCATAAACAACATGGTAAACCAATGCTACCTCAATGAGAAAATGTAAAAGTTAAAAAAAAAAAACAGCTTTGCCATATTATCCAGCAATTCCATTTCTAGATATCTAAACAGAGTGCAAACAATCAAATGTGAGGGGATGTATGCACTCCTGTATTCATTATAGCACTATTTACAATAGCAAAGTTATAGAAAGAACTTAAGTGCCCAAAGACACAAGAGTAGATTAAGAATCATGGCATATATACACAACGGAATTCTAGTCAGCTATAAAAAATAAACTCTTACATGTGTGACAATATATATATATATATGCAACTGCAGCTAAGCAAAATGTGTCAGAGGGAGAATGATCAGTACTGGGTGGTGTCACTCATGTAAGGAACATATAGAAACCAAAAGAGTCAGACAAGACCAAACCAGTAACAAACCCTAGGGGAGGAAAGGGTGGACAGCAAAGTGTAAAAGGGATCTTAAAATATCTAAAATGTGTAAGGCAGTCATACATCTCAATAGCAAGAAATACAATCTAATTTTAAAGTGGGCATTTGGATTTGCAATCCAGTTTCCCTTCACACTGGTTAGAATGGCTATTATGAGTAAGCCAAGAAATAGAAAGTGTTGCTGAGGATATAGGGTAAAAGGAACCCTCATGGACTGGCTCTGTGCAGCATGAAGGTTCCTCAAAAAATTAAAAGCACCATATGATCCAGTAATTCCACTTATATTTATCTGAATATGAACACACTAACTGAAAAATATATGTGCACCCTCTGTTCATTGCAGCAAGTGTCCACCAACAGATGATGTGATACATACACACACATGCACATACACACACACACACACAATGGAGTATTACTACTTGTCATCAGGGAAATGCAAATCAAAACTACCATGAGATACCATCTTACACCAGTGAGAATGGCACATATTAAAAAAACTAGCAACAACAAATGTTGGCGAGGGTGTGGAGAAAAAGGAACTCTTCTGCCCTGTTGGTGGGAGTGCAAACTGGTCCAACCACTGTGGAAAGCTGTGTGGAGATTTCTGGACCTACTAAACATAGAGCTCCCATATGATCCAGCAATTCCACTCCTAGGTATTTACCCAAAGGACACAGAAACATCAATTCCAAAGAACACCTGCACCCCTATGTTATAGCAGCAGCACTGTTTACAATAGCTAAGCTTTGGAAACAACCCAAATGCCCAAAAATAGATGACTGGATCAAGAAGATGTGGTACATATACACCATGGAATATTACTCAGCATTCAAAAAAGATAAACACATGCAATTTGCAGCAACATGGATGGCGCTGGAAGGGATCATGCTCAGCAAAATAAGCCAAAAAGAAAAAGAAAAATACCGGATGGTCTCACTCATAGCAGGAATCTAGAAAACTTAAATAAGGGACCAGGAAAATGAATAACTATAAGAAAGTGAAAATCAAAATCAACAAAAAACTATGAACCAGAGACACTTTTAGGGGGGCGGGGGCGGGAGGGGAGGGATTGGGGTCAGAATGGGGGGGCTGCAATTGTATGGGGAATATAACAATAAAATTTATTATTTAAAAAAAAAAGAAAAAAAAAGAGTTAAAAAAATAGAAAAGAAAAAAATCTTTATGACCTCAAAAAAAAAAAAAAAAAAGATGAAATGCTGCCATTTGCAGTAACATGAATGGACCTACAGGGTATTAGATTTAATGAAATCATCAGATAAGGCAACACATCATATGATTTCACTCATATGATTTTCACACATCATATGAAGATAGAAATAAAGCAAAAATAAGCTTTTAGACTATTAAGATCAAATTAGTAGTTACCAGAAGGGGAAGGGGGAGGAAGGCAAATAGGGTAAAAGGGGGCAATGGTGAAGCATGATGGGCTTTTAGTGGTGAACATAACGTAATGTACACAGATTTTGATTTATATGATACACAGTGGAAGTCTATATTTTTATAATCAATATATTATGTCGATGAAAAATTTTACATAGAAAAATGTTATAATTATTAAAGCTAAACATATGATATTAAGTTAAGGGGTTTTCCTGAGAAGAACTCTGACACACTTTATCTAGGTAGAATTCCAAATTCTGGGATTCAAATATTATCCAAGAATTCAAATATTCTGTGATTTCGTACCAGATAGTGCCATAATTCATGGGGCAGAGTATAGTGAGGAGCAGCTGCAGAGAGAGCTCTTCAGATCTAAGAGGTCTCCCTCCCTGCTTTCAAATGAGTGCTGAGCAGTGTATATATGTGAAGCATCTACCTAACGCCAGGGAAATAACTAGAAGGAAACAAGTAAAATCCCTAGACTCCACACAAAGGTTGGAATGGCTGTGTTGGAATGGCTTCATAATATATGGACATAGGGTAGAATGCTCAGAAGGATTTTGTCTAGGAGGGGGAAAACATTAGCTCTGGATTAAAAGCCATTTGATCAACCTAACAAAGATAAAAGCAATGCTTCCCTCCAAAAACAACAACAACAAAACCAACTATTCCAAGTAACTTAACTGAATTCCAGAGCAATAGTCAATATTTAAAAATACGTAAAACACAAAAAACAAAACCCAGTACTCACAACATAAAATTTTAATGCCTAACATCTAATAAAAAATTTTCATTCCTAAGATAAAGAGAATATTATTAATTAACATAAATATAACCAAAATTAATACCAGGGATACAGCTACCTGACAAGACTGTAAAGCAGTTATATTTTTTATGATCAGAAGGTAAAGTATGAGCATAGTAAGGTAAACAAAATCTTCACTTATAATTCCCTAAAGTCAATAAATAATGATTAATAAATTCATATACATGATTTAGATGTATGGTTATAACTATTAAAAATGTTAAAAGTAATCTTCAAAATATATCTTGTTTATGAATCAAAAGATAGTATTTGTTATGTCTAAGCTGATATGTAGATTAAATGTAATTTCAATCAAAATCTTAGAATTTTTGTGTGAATACTGACAAATTGATTCTATGCAAAGAACTTAAACAATATTGAAGATGAACAAAGCCAGATTACATGCACTATCAAATGTCAAGAATAATTTGATAGTCTGATACCAGCACAAAGATAAATAGGTCAGTAGTAGGATGATTCATGACAAAAATACCACTACTCTCTAGTGAGGAAAGGATGATCTTTTCAACGAAAGTTACTAAGTCAACTGGATATCCATACAGGAACCGATGACACTTGATCTCCATCTTACACGACCCACAAAAATTATTCAAGACAGATAGCAGCAAAACAATAGTTTGTAAAAGAAAACATATAGGAGACATAGTCCATGAATTGGGACTAGGCAAAGATTCTTTTACTTCAATATAAAAACACTAACCCAAAAAAAAAAACTTATAAGTTGAAACTTATCAAAACTAAAACTTTCTATTCAAAAAAAGACACCATTAATAGAATGAAAAGAGGGTCCTCCCTGGGGGCCTAAGGGTTAAGTCTCAGTGCTATGAGACCTACAGCCTGAATTCGATCCTGGGCCAAGGAGCTAACCCACATATGGAGCAGCACACTGCTCCTGCTACCCCATCTGTCTCTGGCGAATTCTCTCACCAGCCCCCAACCCCCGCACTTCTGGCCTACACCCCAGTTCTTTTACAAAATAAAATTAAAAAGAGTGAAAAGACAAGTCACAGACTAGAGAAAGATATTTTGCCTGACAGCATATGCATACATACGTGCCACATATATACATGTGTCTTGTATGACAAGTCATATATAGAAGATATAAATAACTCCAATAACCCAGTTATTCAGATGAACAAAAGATTTAATATTTTTTAATAAATAATAATGAACACTTAATAAAGGAGAATATACAAATAACCACCAATACAAGGAAAAAAGTTGGAATTCATGACTCATCAGGGAAATGCCCTTTAAATTACAAAGATACTATTAAAGAATGACCACATGAATGGTATAGCTTGAAACATGTGACCTAAAAAAGATATACTGAAGTCCTAATCCCCAGTACCTAAGAATGTGACCTTAGTTGGAAATGGGGTATTGACAGAGGTCATCAAGTTAAAATAAGAACCTCAGATTTGTGCCCTAACCCAACATGACTGTCCTCATACAAAGAGGGAATTTGGACATGCAGAGAGAAGATTACATGAAGAGACACAGAGAACACCATCTAAAGGCAGATTTATAAAGATGCATCTATAAGTCAACAAACACCAAAGACTGCCAGAAAACTCAGGGAAAGCCACGGAACAGATTCTCCAGCTCTCTGAAGAAACCAACTCAAGTAAACAACTTTGGTTATAGTCTTCTATCCTCCAGAAGTACCAGATGGTAAATGTCTGCTATTTTAAACCAACCTTTCTTTCAGAAACAATAGGATATTAATACAGTGGGGATTGATCAGAATGCTCATACATTAATAATCAGAGTATAACTGATTGGATCATTTTGGAAAACTGTTTGGCAGAGTCTAAGCTAAATGTTCATAAAACCTATCACCCACCAGTTCTACCTTGTTAGGTAACAAAAATGTTTATGCCTATCAAAAAACATGCACAAGAATGTTCATAGTAACCAAAAAAATAGAAAGTCCTCAAATATCCATCAATGGTTAAATTGTGGTATAACCAGGAAGTAGAACATTACAAAAGCAATGAACTACTATCTTCTTCAATAATGCAAATAATCTTAGCCATGATACTTAGCAAAAGGAGCCAGACACAAGAGCTCCTAGACAAAATGAATCCCTGGCGATAACTACTCACATTTGGAGAGTAAATGTTTACTGGAGGAGGCCGCAAGTGAACTTTCTAGAGTGCTATAAATGTCCTTAACCTAGGTAGTGTATATATGTGTTTATACACCTATAAAAATTTGAAAAGCTGTTCAGTTATGATGTATGCATTTTGCTGTAATAATCTCAAAAGGCCAAAAAAAAAAAAAAAAAAAAAAAAGGAGGGGGCAATTTCCTCTGGGAAGTCAAATTGGTCCATGAGAGAGAGAGGTTTTCTTTCATTATAAATCCTTTGCTTCAATTTTATTTTTTAATATGTACATGATCATATATTAATTAGATATGACACTTTTCCAAAAAGTAGAAAGTATATACTGCAGTTTGATTTGCTAAAAAGTCTACTAAACAACAACTATAAACCAGAGACACATGATGGGGCCGGGGGGAAGGATGGATTGGGGGTCAAAATAAGGGGGGTGCAATTGCATGGGGAATATAAAAATAAAAAAAAAATACAAAAAAAAAGTCTACCTAAACAAAATTCTCAGATTTAATCTAGGAACTAGCATGCATGAAAGTTCAAGAAGATTCAAGTAGTAGTGACATGAGGACTCACTGAGATTTCAAGACTTAGTGGCTACTGCAGGAGATTATTTTCAATTATGTCATTTTTATCATGGTAAAATTGCCTTACAATGTTTTATAGGACTCAGAGAGTCATCCCTTTTATACCACCAAATGTGGTATGTTACCATATCACACATACCACCAAAGCACCAATAATCCTTCAGGAGATTTATCTGATCACTTTGATTGACTACTTTGATTCATCCACTGTAAACTCTTTATTCAAATATATGTTCTCAAACATCTTAGCTTCCAGGAAATATGGATCCTACCTATTCTGTAGCTTCATTAGGCCAAGGTGATACTTCTCTTTTTCCCAAGCTAATTCGCTTTCCACTTTTTTAATTTTGTGAACTGTTTTTCTATCAATCGCAGCACGAATTTTGGAATCTACATCAAAATCCTGCAGATTACAAGGAGATATGCTCATCAAAACGGGCATTTTTGTCAATGTACACTTTCATTCCTATTTCATTCACAGATACAGATTTTTAAGTTTTGTCCTCAATTTTGTGCTGAATCATAATTCAAATAGCTCCAACTCTCTTTTCTAAAGAGTTTTGTCTTTTGACCTGACTTCCACAAAATATGAAAAGTTCTCAAAAATAATTAAAAATAATGCAAATAGTTACATATTAAAATTTTTCCCACAATAAAAATAACGTATGCTAACAGAATATTGGAGAGTGCACAAAGTTAAAAAATAAAAATATCTAGGGCTTCCCCCAGTGGCACAGCGGTTGAGCGCTGGGCTGCAAAGCTGTCCGCAGCCTCTGCAACACAGGTTCGAACCCCAGCCAACGGCGAGGGTCCCACATGGCACGGCAGACCTCCTGTCTCGCCCACTGCTCCCCTCAGTAGTGTATTTCATCGGTCTGCCTGCTCTGTTCCCCGCTCACAATGGAAAAAATACAGAATTAGCTTAACTAATTTGGTGATTGTTCTCATAGCTACAACTATACAAAATCATCTTTCAGAAATATTCATTAGGTGTGTTGGAAAGAATGAATTATAGAAATGGAATCAGAGACTTCAACAGTTAGATACCTTGAGTAGGTGTAAGTATTGATAAACAGGTTTAACATATTTATATTTTTAGCTTGTTACCAAAAAAAAAGCAAATTCACTATATCCAGAAGTAAACTTTGTATTATGTGCAGAGGTTCATCTCATCTGCAAACCAACCAAGTTGTGTGTAAAGGTCTACAGCAGTTTAGTCACTGCCAAAGGCACTTTTAAATGTTCCTACTTGTTGGCCAGATCCATAACAGCATATGATAAAATTAAAATCAAATTTATTTTGGGCTTACTGTCCGTTTAAACTGCATATGCTGTGGTAATTTTTCATTCATTTTCAGTAGTTTCCTAAATTCATTCCTCAAAGCTTTGAGTTTTTCTCTCTTCCCAGCTTTTATTTCTTCCACCTCTTTCATTAACTTATCATGTTCTCTTTTTCTCCTAGCATTCTCAATACTGAAAACAGAAATGTAAAAGGATAAAAGATTAGGATACAGAAATAGCCGAAGTGAAATACAGCACAGGATAATTTATAAGTTCAATTAGTTTGATCAATTGTAACTTGTTAGTTTTACAAAAGTTCAGACCTAGTCAGTTATTTATCAAGAATTCCCATACCTATAGGCTTTGGGGTCTTCAATATCTTGTGGAATTGGTTCTCTTTCAATTCCAAGCTGTAAGAAGGGGAGTAAAACATTAGTTCTTTAAAATAGCATGTGTCTCTTAAAATATCTAATAAGTAGTAAACTGAATTTTTTTCTCTCCTGTCAATTTCTAACAATTGTAAACATGGAAAATATTTTCACAATGTAAACTTGAAAAAAATTACAGTTGACTAAACTTGCTTATTTCTGCTTCATTTCAAGAGTCTTGAAAACTTAATCATAAGTATGCAGAATATTATATCATCATAACTCATACCACAAGATAAGAGTTACTAATATTCACCAGTTACTAAAAAGAATACATTCTTCTAGGTCGTTTACTTTAAAATGCTGATTTTTAGCATGCCCCTTTCAAATATGCATATTTCACCCAAAATATCTCCTGCGTGTAATAGGAAGATTTTCAGGGATATATGTTTCACTTGACCTTATCAAAAGAAGACCTACAGTGAGAAATACACAGACGATTCCTCCTCCTTGAGAAAGAAAGATAAAATTGGAAATATGAATCGCCCTTTAGAAATCAATTTAAATTAAGGAGCAGTATGAAGCAAATTTTAAAAGCACTTTGTTCATTCAGATACTGTGTGGTAAAATGTCTTAAGCTGTTAAGGGAATTATAATAATCCAGTGAACTAGCTAATCAGCTTTTAAGTAAAATTTAATTCATTTATTCTCTTTTCATTCATAACAGGTCTCTGTTTAGCAGTCTTTCAAAGACTCTCTTGTGGTCAAATTGTTTTATTACAATATTAGTCTACACACAAGAAAATTAAGTCTAATACATATTTTTAAGGAAGATAAGGTTTATGACATTAGTAAAAGTCAAGCCATAAAGCATGACCAAATTAAAAAACATATCAAATACACTACATTTACTTTTCACCACTTAGGATATGACTTTGTTGAGTTTTATTTATTTTTTCTTTTATTGTCCAGGGCTAAATCACTTGGTTCTCCAATATCAGAGATTTCTAGGATTTTATATGATAATCAACTATCTCCTGACCTCAGTGTCTCCCATCTGACCTCAGTATTTACCTTCAGTTGCAGTTAAACAAAGGTGCTTTCAACAGATTCAAAATGTATGCCAATTGCTCTCAATCCTGGCAGAACATTAAAATCACAAGGGTGGAGGGGAGATTGTGTATAAAATATGGGTAGGTGGGCCTCACCTTCAGAGACTCTAATTTAATTGCTCTTGGGTAGGCTTCAGGCATTTGGACCTTCAATGGCTCCCCAGCTGATTCTAAAGCAGAGTAAGTTTTATCCTTGGACCTATGCAGAGCTTAGTTTGTTTTGCTTTTTAAATTCTTTCTGATGTTGCCTTCTTAACAGCTGAATCTGCCCCCTCTGACTTCAGAAATATTTATTACAGTCATAAAAGTGGAATTTTTATAGTGTCCCATTATACTTTAATAAAAAAGTGGAATGAATTTTTTGTATTCAATGTAGGTTTCCATTGATTGAGTTGGCACCAGGTAGAAAGATAAAGATTTCTTCTTGTTCATCTACTTTCCCTTCTGTAATACCTGTCCTGAGTTGGGCCTCTCCAGACAACAAATTTGGAGAAGCTGATTCTCCAAATTTTGCTGTTATTAAGAGACATGAAAATTTTCCTTTTTATATCATCCCCACCTCCTTTGTATGTTCTTGTGAAGTTGTTTATCTGTTAAATGAGAAGACAGTGTCTTCACAGGAATTTTAACTATGATCTTTCTAAAATCATTTCTTACTCTTTAGGTACAATTGTAATGGTTATTAGTGATTGTGTCCAAAAGAATCACTTTGATAGTAGAAAATTCAGGTCCTATAATAGGGGAAAAGGATATAATTTGGGAACCTGAATCCTGAGTCTTTCATTACAAAACCAATAATCTATTCTGCCAATAAAGAGAATAACTTAACTAAATATTTGATTACAAATCACATTCCTATATTCTAATAATACTTTCACAATACCTTTCAAAAGCATAAATTAGAATTTTTATACAATAAAATAGATAAATCAAAAGCAAAATCTATATCTGGAAAAAGTGTGCATTTGGAAAACAAAGAAACTGATCAAGAAAGTAAATGACACAGAAAATTTGACAGCCTTTAATTTGAGGAATTCTACGCCTTTAGTAATAATGGGAATTTAGTGCCTTTACCTTTTGATAATAGAGGCACCAGAAAGTCAAAATTACAATACTGGTAGAAAAGATCAGACTACAAGATAATTGTGTCTATGAAATAGTTTTCCATTTTTAAAAGAATCTGAACAATTTAACATCACTATTTTAAAATAATTTTTTTATTAATTACATACCCTAGGAGAAGGCACTTTGGCTTTGAGGATTTCCTTTAACTCAAATTCAGAAAAAACGTTGAAAACAAAGATATTACTATCTGCTCCAGCAGTCACCAAGAAGCGGCCATCAAAGCTAGTCGCAAGGGCTTTCACGCAGCCGTAGTCATTGTCGTGAATGCTGCAGTGCCAGTAGTCCACCAGGGAGGTCAGTGAAGGATCGTTCTCTTTCAGGATATAGACTCGAATTGCTCCATTTCGCATTCCACAAAACATCATAACCTGGTCAGTACTAGGAAATAAAAAGCAATTTTTTCTTCATATTTATGTGAAAATGTGTTATTTTAAATAGGCAAATTTTAATAACAGGTATTATGAGACAGATTCTGCCCCTGCCCCCCCCCCAATTCACATGTTGATGCCCTAAAAAAGACATGCAGCCCTAGAAAATGATACAAAGGGGTAGATGGGAAAGAAATCAATTCAAAATTTGGGCTGTTATATCTCATCTTCAAAAGAATGACTGACATAGTCAATTCTCAATTATTTAAAAAATTATTCAAGAACTAATGATTCAATTTGTGATTTCTTCAGAATCATTGCAACTCTAAACTTTCATTGTCAGACCATGAGGTAACATCCTCAGTAACAAAATAAATTCATACAATTCAAATACAGAAATAATTGAGAGGGGACTGAAATACATTTTCAAGTTTTGCTTTGATTACATTTATACATTTACTTTGTTTGAAAACCTCTCCACTTAGACATTTAAAAATTGACAATATTCACAGTAGACAAAACCAGACTATGGGATATAATTTGTTTAAGGTTTCTGGAAATTATGTTTACCTGAAAGTAATAGTTTGGACAGGATTATCCTCTGTATCCTCAAGAAGACGGAAATCAATAGCCTCATCTTTCCTTTCTGTGATATTAATGCTTGTGTCATGTGGGAGGAATACACAGTGATACAGAAAACCAGAATCATAGCCACCCTGGAAAAGAAAAACAATACAGAAGGTGGTACTTCAATATAAGACACATATGACCACATGAGAGATTTTATTTCAAATTTTTTGAAAATGGTGTAAACAGTCATGATTTCTATGATTACAGACAGCATTTCCATTGTTTATACGTAACTATACAATTACATAATAATTATACCTTACAAAGATTTGTCCCCACTTACAAGTCAATACAAGAGACTATCACCTCTGACTGCCCACTTGATTCCACTGTAAGTATTACTCTGAACAGTACAATAGCACTTTTAAAAAGAAGTGGCTGGGTTTTGTTTTTGTTTTGTTTTTTTTGAAAACACAAAAAACAAAGGGTAAAGGCACAAACAAATGCAGTGCTAAGGTGCTTCCATCACTACTTTCCATCTCTCCTGCTGCTTACCTCCTTAGAAGATGCTATCAAAGAAATAGTAACAGAAAAAGTTGAAGTGGGTTGCAGTTAACTGTCATCATTCCTTGTAGCTACAGTCCTTAGCTATGGAGTGTCCTGACCAAACACCTGGTGTCAGTTGAGTTAGTGAAGTTTTTTGTTTGTATTTCCACACCAATTATTTTTGGTGAGAGGAACAGACATTTGCAACAAATTTATAATGAAGGAAATGTTATTTTGCAATAGAAAATACTTTATAATACAAATACACAGTATAAAATTGGAGTATATGATTGTCACATCATTGTGAATCTCCAGTATTTGTCTCTCCATTTTTACTTTTCTTTCTTATTAAAGTATCAACTTTGTTCAGGGTGGCAATATTTTGGGGGTCTAGTTTTTTTAACTTTTTTGAGGTAACATTGATTTACAACACTGTATGTGATTTAGGGGGACAGGTTCACATCTCTTTAGCATGTTACCACATCACACCCACCACCAAAGCACCTATAATCCTCCACCAGAAAGCACTAGGTCCCCTCCATGCTCAAATTAGTGTTTTTGCAGGACCATATGGTAGATTTATTTATTTATTTATTTTTGGTAGATTTATTTTTAATATTTTGAGAATCCCCCCACTGTTTTCCATAGGAACTATATTTCCAGTAGTCCATGAAGGTTCCTTTTCCTTCACGTCCTTGCCAGCACTTGTTTCCGGTGGTTTTGATATGGGCCACTCTCAAGGTGTGAGGTCATCTCTCACTGTGGTTTTGATTTGCATTTCCCTGATGGTAAATGATGTCAACACTCTCTCATGTGCCTGTTGGCCATTTGGTTATCTTCTTGGGAGAAGTGTCTATCTCTTCTAGCCACTTTTTGATGAGTTGTTTCCTTTTTGTTGAGTTGTATGAGTTCTTTACAGACTGGGATATTAGCCCATTGTCAGCTGTATGATATACAAGTAATAAAATGTTGATCTTTCCAGAATTCCATGAGGTCACATGGCAGAGTTGTGGGTAACAAATGTAAGCAAAGGTCTGTTTGACAGTCCTGTCATTATTCTCAAAATTTAAAAACAGATCAGCTGAAAACCCCTTAGTCATTGGCCTTTCTACCTTTAATTCTTCTCCCCTTTAACCTCCCAGAACATGCATGACTGTGATAACAGATATACTTATGTTATTTAGATAAAGGTTATTTTGTAATTGCTGTAATGTTTTATTTCTTTCCTTACATCTTTAATTTTGGGATAGTATTTGATGCCCTCCAGAGTGGTCACCACCACAGCATCTATGATCCATCACCACAGCTCCTTGTTATCTTTCCTCCCCTCTTTTGGCTCCTCTCCCTTGCCCTCCCCTGCTGTATGCCTCAGGTCTATGATCAGCTTGCAAGTCTTGTCTTATTTTTCCTGACACTTTGTTTGAGTTCTCTATATTCCACCTGATTTCTCTATATTCTCCTGACTTGTTTTGCTGGTGTAATCCCTTCCAGCTTCATCCATGTTGTCACAAATGGCTTCAGTTCATCTTATAAAGACTATTTAGATGCTACAAAACCAACTGTAACTCACATGCATTCATCCTTCTATAGCCATTAATAAATGAAGTCTTATCTTAATGGGCAGAAAAAGATGGTGCTAGGAAATATAGGCAAAACACTACATGACATACACCTCAGCAACATCTTTAAAGACTCATCACCCAAAGCAGTGGTAGCAAAGGCAAAGATAAACAACTGGGATTACATCAAATTAAAGAGCTTCTGTACAGCAAAAGAGACAGTAACCAAAACAAACAGACATCCTACCAATTAGGAGAAAATTTTTTCACACAACACTAATGATAAATGAATGATCACAAAAATTTACAAAGGGCTGATGAGACTCAACAAAAACAAAGTACTATTTACAATAGCTAAGCTATGGAAACAATCCAAATGCCCAAAAATAGATGCCTGGATCAAGAAGATGTGGTACATATACACAATGGAATATTACTCAGCAATCAAAAAAGATAAACACATGCAGTTTGCAGCAACATGGATGGCGCTGGAAGGGATCATGCTCAGCAAAATAAGCCAGAAAGAAAAAGAAAAATACCGGATGGTCTCACTCATAGCAGAAATCTAGAAAACCTAAATAAGGGACCAGAAAAAAGACTAACACAAAGTAAAAATCAAAATTAACAAGCAACTATAAACCAGAGACACACTATGGTGGGGGAGTGCAGGGAGAGGAAGGATTAGGGTCAAAATAAGGGGGGATGCAATTGTATGGGGAATATAACCAAAATGAAAATGCATACGTTGTGCAAAAATGAAAAATGATGTAAGAATTATATAAAATATTAAAAAAAAAAATTTGAACCATGGATGGAATAAACTAAGATTCATGACTTTCCATTAAAAAAAAAAATGGGCAGAAGAGCTAAAAAGAAACTTCTCCAAAGAGGAAATACAAATGGCCAACAGGCATATGAAAAAATGTTCAGCATCACTTGTAATCAGGGAAATGCAAATTAAAACTACAATGAGATACCATCTTACACCAGTGAGAATGGCACATATTAAAAAAAACTAGCAACAACAAATGTTGGTGAGGATGTGGAGAAAAAGGAACTTTCCTGCACTGCTGGTGAGAGTGCAAACTGGTTCAACCACTATGCAGAGCTGTGTGGAGATTCCTCAGTTTGCTGAAGAAGGAGCTTCCATATGATCCAGCAATTCCACTCCTAGGTATTTACCCAAAGGACAGAGACCCATTAATTCCAAAGAGCACCTGCACCCCTATGTTTATAGCAGCACTATTTACAATAGGTAAGCTATGGAAACAACGCAAATGCCCAAAAATAGATGACTGGATCAAGAAGATGTGGTACATATACACCATGGAATATTACTCCGCAATCAAAAAGATAAATTCATGCCATTTGCAGCAACATGGATGGAGCTGGAAGGGATCATGTTCAGTGAAATAAGCCAGAAAGAAGAAGAAAAATACCGGATGGTCTCACTCATAGCAGGAATTTAGAAAACCTAAATAAGGGACCAGAAAAAAGACTAATTATAATAAAGTGAAAATCAAAATCAACAAGCAACTTTAGACCAGAGACACACTACAGTGGGGGGAGGAGGGAGTAGGATCAAAACAAGGGGGGTGGGAATTGTGTGGGGACTATAACCAAGATGAAAATGCATACATTGTGCAAAAGTGAAAAATGATGTAAAAAATATATAAAAAATAAATAAAAAATAATTAAAAACATTACATTATTACTTACCAAAGAAACCCAGAACTTCCCTGGTTCAGAATAAAATCCACAGAGGATGTGACAAGGGGTTGGTGGAACAAAGATCTCAGGTAATGGCTGCTCCTCCTCCTCCTCCTCCTCTTCCTCCACTTCCTCTTCGCCACGCTCTGCGGCGAGCTGCCTCCTTTCTTCCCTTTCCTTCTCTTTCAACTCCTTCAGTGCCTTTCTCTTTTCAATTTCTATAAACCTCTTTTGCAAGAAGAGATTCAAAGATATTGTAAAAGATGTTTAAAAGACATAGAAGCAACTGCATTTCCTCAAGTGTAACTCATACACTTGGGGATGATTAAGAACGTAGAAAAAAGGCAGGACCCTAGAAACACTCACAGCTCTGATGTCAAACTATGTCATTTAAAAATAATTATCAATTGAGGATATATTTTTATCATTAAGCTTTTCAAATCATTGTAATGACTTCATTGCTGTATTACTCCCATCAACCTTGGATTTGAAGAATTTGTCATTTTTTTTTTCTTTCTAATAGAGAAAATTTCCTGAGCCTAATGCAATCAGCCTGTGATTGAGATTGTCCATGAGGAAAGTGGTTTCTATGTTTCCATCTTCAGTAATACTGTGATTTAGGGCGCTCACCATCTATCAGCCTGACTATTGCAAAAGCCCCCAAACACGGGGTCCCCACCTCCCATCTCTTACCTCAATTGTATTGTTTATGCATCAGAATTATCTTCCTAATTTATATGATCCCATCACATCAATCCTCTCCTTAAAAACTCACTATGGGTGCAAATATTTTAGGAATTGCATTGAAACATCTTGGCTGTTATTTTAGGAGTCACAGTAGCTAGTCATAGTCTTCTAACTACCTCCCCTCCGCCAATCGCATTCCTCTGGTTCACCATTCTGCCTTTTCTGAAAACACCAAAACCTCTTTACAACTCTGACTTCACTCAGGAAGTTTTTGTTGTCTTCCTCCCCATTTCATTCTCTCAAAATCCTGTCTGTTCTTTAAGGTGACTAAATTTCACTTCCATGCAGTCATCTTTGATTTCCCTTTACCCCCTTCATCAAAATACTATATTCTTTCCCCTGAAGTTATTTATTTGTGCTTTTAATTTTATATTCATGAGTGCCTTTGAACACAGTTAGCTACTTTCTACCAGATTAACAGTTCCTTAAAGTGAGGGTCTACGTATTTCCCCTATACTTGAGACAGAATACTTTATACTCTAAGAAAAAGTATTGAAAGATTATGCTGGATCTCTCATACCAGGATCTTAGATTTGACACTTGAGAAATGGAAGTATTTTATGGGCATGTCTTTGATTTCATAGGAGACGATGTCGCGATCCTCCCCGTCCTCCTTTATGGCTGGACATGGAGCTTCAAGAACATAGCCATTCTCACATAGCACCAGTAACGTACTTTCAGGCTAAAAAGGAAATATTAAACATCATTTACATTTAGGCAAAATTTTAGGGGCATGATCCAAAAAGGTTATAAACCAGGGAAAATATAATTGCCATGTGTATTAACCATTTTAAAAAGAGACTCAAACTGCAACAAGTGCTGCAAAAGGATTGTACAAGAGAGCATGAGAGCAAGAGGATTGTACAAGGCTTCCGGTGGGAGGTGAAGCTTCAAGGTGAAGGATAAGTAGACAATTACATCATGAGTTAGAGGGTTTAAGGGACCATTTTTTTTTTTTTAGAGGAACTACAATTGCAAATAACCTTCGCACATTTGAACTTATGAGGAAGTTGCAGGCTTGAACTGTATCTATCATCTATATCAAGAGAAAAAAGTGAGGCGAGAGATTTGAATACAGCAGTTAACTTAATACTTAATTGCTAGGTGAAGGAGACTGAGAAGGAATGACAAGGTATAGGAAAGCATACTGTCCTAAAAGTCAAAGGAAAATGGTATTTCAAAGAGGAAGGAATATTTTTCCAAACATGAAAATCATGGGCAGAAGCTTAATGTGCTCAGGAAGTGAGGAGACCAGACCATTGGGCTGGTGGGGGCTTAGTTACTGCCATTTGGACAACTGAATTATGCAGCATGTCAGTTACATACAGGACACTCCCTTTTTCCCCATCATTATTGAAATATAATTGACATCTAACACTGTAACTTTTTTTTTAAGATTAATTTATACAAGAACTGGGGTATAGGCCAGAGGCGCAGGCGGGTGAGAGACTTCACCAGAGACACAGCGGGGAGCAGAACAGGCAGATGGGTGGAAAGCACTGCTGAGGGGAGCAGCGGGCAAGACAGGAAAGGTCTGCCACACACCATGTGGGAATCTCCCTGGCTGGCCGGGATTCGAACCCGCGCTGCAGAGGCTGCGGACAGCTTCACAGTGCTGCACTCAACCCACTGCACCACCAGGGAGGCCCTGTGTAACTTTTAAGTATACAACATGATGATTTGCTACATATATAGTGAAATGGGGATAATTTACTGTGACATTAGAATTTTCAAATATTCAAAATATAAATGCTAATTGGCAGCACTACCTGATATGGCTTTTGAGTTAATTTGAGGATTTTTGGTATCTCTTGCCTACCTTTTTTTAAACAACTTCTTTTGAAATAATTGAATCACAGGAAGTTGCGAAAGATAGTACAGAAAGATGACATGAGCCCTTCAACTAATTTCTCTAAGGTTACCTCTTAGGCAACAATATCAAAACCAGGAAACTGACATTAAAATACAAGTGTGTATAGCTCATTGTTATCTTAATGCATGTGTAGATTTGTGTAACCACCATAGCAATCAAGATACATAATTATCCCATCACCACAAAAATCTTTCTTGAGATACCCTTTTAGAGTCACGTCCATACCCTTCCAATCCACCATTCCTAAACCCTAGAAAATACGGATTTCTTTTCTAAGCCTGTGTCTAAGGAAATAGTTGCAGGATGCATGTAATATTATATATTGTTACATAAGCATAGGGCTTTCTTTGCAGTATACATTCTCTTTGCCCAAACAATGTGTGCCTATCTCTTCCCCATCCACATATCCCACCAAGTCAAGATTAAGGCACGGTATTACAAAATAAAGGCTAATGTTAATTTCTCCCTTTCTTGCTATTTCCCTGATCTGTATTCACAGTGCATATGCACACCACTGATACTTTAGTCACCAATTCCCTTGTGAAACTCTGTAGTTCTGCAGTATTTAACTTCTTAAATGTGTCTTTTTCTCCTTCAGAAGAGATTGTTTTGTATCATTTACTGACTTCTTTACTGGTGCCTCACAAAGATGAAAATGAGTACTTGTTAATTAATTCAAGAAAACATTTCTTTAGATACTTCTACATTTGTATAGCCCTTTTCTTTAGAATAGCTAAAAGAAGATATGAATGTTGCCTCCAGTAGTCCTGACAGCACTTCTGTGCAGCCCATCAGTATTACCATCCTGGAACTTAGCAGATCACCTGGATTAACATTCAGCCAACATTCAGCTGACCAAACTATCTTATGTCCAAACTTAGGAGGTATTAGAGGCATTAAATAAGATTAGTAATCAATACTGAATTGCTAAGTTTTGTTGGGAAAGAGGCAATGGACTATTAGAAGAAAAAAATGGAGGTAGAATGTTATAGACTGTAGACCGCCGGCCTTAGAACTGAACCTATGAATGTCAGGACTGACAGACCCAAGTCAGCGCATTCTGACATGTATGTCTGACTAAAGTCACCATTGTTGAAGCAAACCTGGTGTTTTCAAAGTAGATTATAGCCAACTCATTCGAGAGATGGGGTAGAAGGAGAGTGTGAGAATTCTTAGTGTACTCTACCAGCCACGCTGAGCAGCACCCCCAGCCCCTCACTACAGGACCTGAGAGTGGGGCTAATCATTCCACATTCTATCCTCTGTCTGGCCAGTCACTTCATTACATAGTAATTGTGATTAAGCACAAAGATAAATGATAATTACAATAATTACTTACGTGAGCCATGGGAGACCACATTAACTGGCAAACAGGTCCAGGAGTATTAATATAACCGATTGGTCTATAACCATTTTCCACTTCAAAGAAGAATACTGTTTGATCTTTACTCTAAGAAAAAGAGAAACAACCGCCAATGTATAATATGAAATCTATTCCTTAGATTTCAAAGAAGCATTTAATAATTATAGAAATTATATCTACAGTTTCATATATCACAGATTATCCTGGGAAAATTCTTTCAAACATTTGCTTCACTTTCCCCATGAGAACATTTGACAACTATGCATTCCAGTATGTGGTTTTGAAAAAACGAGCTCTATGCCTGTACGGAAGATTAATTCACAAAAAAAAAACCCCACAAAGCAAACGCTCACCTATTATGCACAAAGAATTTACATGATTATTCCCTTATTTATGACAATTTCATATAAGAGCATATCTATATATGACATCTTACATCATTCCCAATTGAAATTTTCTATCCATTTCAAATAAGCATTAGAAACCAATTTGTAAGAATATTTTTACATGTCATGCAGACTACACTGAAAAAATATGAAAAGAAAAAATTATGAATATATTTTTCACAAATAAATATCAGAAAATAAGGCATGTAAGAAGACTTACAAGGCAAAGTTAACAATGAAAGTTTAATAGGAAACAAAAGGAGACAGACTTACCCCTGTGGCCAGAATTTCTCCATCACGTTCATAAGCTAAAGCAGTGACCTGAGCAGTATGGGGTTTGAAAACTTGTTTCAAACTAATTTCTGCATCTGAAATTTTCTTCCGTCCTGCAAAAAGTGTGAGTCCTTTTGGATCATAAAGTTCAAGGATGCGAACAACCCCATCTTCAAATCCTACAATAATTTGTGCTCCACTGAAGTTTACCTTAGATAAAAATAAAAATTGAGGGAGTGAAAATTAAGAACATTAAGGTAAATAACTTAAGTCTAAAATACAGTTAGGGGCCTCCCTGGTGGCGTAGGCGATTGAGCGCAGCGCTATGAAGCTGTCCGCAGACTCTGCAGCGTGAGTTCGATCCTGCCCAGCTAGGGAGATGCCCACATGGTGTGGCAGACCTCTCCTGTCTCGCCCACTGCTCCCCTCAGCAGTGTGTTTCAGTGGATCTGCCTGTTCTGTTCCCCACTGTCTCTGGTGAATCCTCTCACCCTCCTGCACATCTGGCCTGTACCCCAATTCTCATATGCATGAATAAATAAAAAAAATCATCAGTTTAAAAAAAATAAATAAAATATAGTAAGCATTGACTTCTCACTAGTAATTCCTTATCCCACCTTCTAGTAACTTCCATCTAGTTTAAGATAGCTACTAATCACTGACCATGAGTTTAAACAATGGCAATTCAAATAATACAAACATGGCAGAGTACCCACCAAGTGCCAAATACCTATTATCAACAACCCAAGGGTAAACAGAAGGAGTGTTTCATGTCCCTGGCTTCATAAAATTTATGGTCTGGAGGAGAAGATAGAAATCACACAAATGAGAGTAGAATTACGAGTTTAAAGAACAGATGATAAGAAACATTCGCTGAGAGCACATAACCAAGAAAGCTGACCTGGACTGAGGGCTTCCTTAAGGAAGATATGGTAGCTAAAATCAAAAAGATACCCAGGTATTAACAAGATGCAGGAAGGTAGGAGAAGCACTCCTGACAGAGGATAGAACTTGTGCAAAGGTCATGTGGCAGGGAAAACTAACTCTGGAAAAGTTGTAGTTTGACTAGAGTAGACTGAACGAGGATCGAAAGGGAGATAATCAGGCACCAGATGCCAAAATGGCTTGCATTTCTCAATAAGGATAATCTTTATCTCAAGAGTAACAGAAAATCAAAAGATTTTAGTTGGAACTTGGGGGGGCAGAGGGGGGAAGTGACATAATCATATTCACCATTTCAGAAAAGTCATCCTAGCTGCAGGTTGGAAAATAGATCTGCGACATCCTAGATAGGATACAGGGAGACCTTCTGCATGATCTTAAGACTGCTAAAGTGCAGGACAGTGAGCGTGATCACTTGACCTGAGATGGTGGGATAGAGATAAGAGACGTGGAACATATTTTAAAGATGACTGAATCTGGGGAATGAAAAAGAAGGTTGTCAAGATCGACTGAGACATTTAATGAGACATGAAACATTGGAAGGGAGCCAGGTAAGTGGTTTGTTGCTGCTGTTGTTTTGGAGGGAGGGGTGGCTGGAAGTGAGAAGATCATAAACTTAGTCTTCAGCGTGTTGAATGCCAGGTCCCCTGAAGATCTCAAAATGGAGATGTCACATAGTCTTCAGATTAGAGGAGAAGTCTGCGAGGAATATAAATCTAACGGTACTAAATCTAAATGTACTGCTGTCATGCAGACATACAGAAAGGCAGGAGTCCTGGTTTTGTTTAGAGGAAGATGGATCAGACCTGAGGCCAAGTTATGAGAATCCTGGAAATAAGTGTATAATCCATTCAACTCAAGTTGCATATTATTTATTCAAGCATTTACTAAATGTCTAGACATCAGTAACTACAAAGGCACTGGAGGCACAAAGAAGAATAGGGAAGGTTGTTGCCACGCAGAACAGTCTGGTGGGAAAGACAATAAAGCAAAATTTAATAGATTGTGGTTAAGTACTGTAAGAGGCATATACACGATCCTTAAACAATCGGAGGAAAGAGTACCAGCTCAGCTTGAAGACAGGGTCAGAGAGCTATGCAGAGGAGATGGTGTTCGGCCTGAGCTTAGCTATAAATACTGATGCGCTTTCCAGAAAGGCAGGGCTGTGGAGAAACATCTGAAGTGTAGCATAATATCTTTATAATTACTTAGATGTAAGGCTAAAAAAGAAAACAAGTTTGTGTACAAATGATTCTACCACACGGGCTGTATTTTAAAGACTCCAGAAAAGAGTGTAATAGACCAGAAAAGAGTGTAATAGACCAGGAAAGAAATAGACCTGTAATAGAGCCAGGTTTGGTAACCCAAACACTGTGCCTTCTACTTATTTAGCTTCATCACTGTTCTGGCTCTATTCCATGGCCTGAGTCCTTCTAGCCTTAATCCCATCATAAATTTTCCCTCTAGTCCAATCATCTCCACATCTATTTGGGACTTGAAACAGTTTTTAATTTGACTTGCACCCTGAACAGTAAGCATAAAACATTCCCCAAATACTCCCATGATGTGTTAAAAACATGGCTGCAATTCTTTGACATGCCTCCCATGGAGAGATGGGGTTTTAGTCCTCCCCACCCCCACCCCGAATCTGAATGAGGCTGGCGACTGCTTTACCCCACCAAATATGGTAGAAATGACATGAGACTTCTGAGGCTAGATCAGAAAAGGCCAGCTGCCTGGCTTTTTGGAAAAACTAGACCTCAGAGGCCTTCTGCCATGTAAGATGAGCATGATAGGCCCTGAGGCCACCATGCTCTGGTAAAGCCCTAGCCACATGCAGAGGCTATGAGGAAAGCACTCCTGATAACATGCCAGCTTAGCTGAGCCCTCAACCAGGTGCCAGACTAGTAATAAAGAAGACTAGATGATTCCAAGCCCCAACCATTTAAGTCGTCCCAGATGAGACTCCAGACACTATGAAGCAGAAGTAGTCTATCTCTGCTGTGACCTCTCCAATTCCTGATTCAGAGTATGAGCAAAATAAAAATGATTATTGACATATAGGTCATTAAATTTGGGGGGTAGTTTATTATACAATAGGTTACTAGAACAACTCCCTATCTCTACCTAATTTTTCTCCATAGCTCTTATTACCTTACATATCACATATTATTTACTTTACTCATATTCCATCTATGCCTCCTACCAGTGTGTAAGGTGCATGAGGGCAAGTATTTTCTTTTTACTCATTGCTATATTCCCAGAATCTAGAACCAAGGTCCAGCACTTGTAGGTATGCTGCAAATATAAATAAAATGAATTAAAGTCAGGCAGAGAAAGGATATGTGAAGTTCTGCTGGGAAATTACTTTGTACCATGGAACTATTATTAACCTACAGGTGGTATAAAAATGGGTTTTCAGGAATGAATTAGCAATGGGAAGAATCACAATACTATTTCTGTCACTTTGAGTGAATAAACTATTAAAAAATTTTATTATTCTTTAAAATAGAGTTAGAAAATATGTATGCTTCAAAAAAAAAAAAATAGCACCGATACAACATATTTATGAATAGGTTCAGCAGAAGTTCACTGTAATAACAAACTTACCATTTGGGGTACCCAAGCAAGGGCTGTACCTCCTTGTTTGAATTTCATCTGTGTTAAAGGCGTTTTGCTAGCAAAATCATAGACTCGAACAGAGCCTATAGAAAAACAATTTTAAAAATTACATAACCTTTTGAAATAACCTTTGCTAACTTTACATGTTGAGCAAAACAAGAAATTTCATATATAACTAAACCAACAGATAATCTAATAGCCTTTCTTTAACCCAAAATAGCCACGTACACCTCAGTCAGGTAATTTGTAAATACAAATAAGACAACAGCTGATTCACTAATGGATCAGTTTCACCTTGCACAGTCCACATAGATTAGCTGTAAGTCAAGAAGGAAGAAGATGGAAAGAAAAGGAAAAATATGAACATGTGTAATATCAATATGAAGAGTATTTTCATGAGTAACTTACTACTTGTGTCCAAATTTTAATCTCTCACACTAACCGCGGCTGCTGTATTTTGGGTTCCCTCCCCCTCTGCAAAAACTCACCTCACTTGCATCAGGAGGCATCACTTTTGGGGGACATCTCCAATGCTTTTAATCAAACACATTTTTAAAATTGTATTGAACACCAAACAAAAAAGCCAGATTTATTTCTAAGCGTTTCCACTCACAGTCCAAGGCAGTAGTGGCCATGAGATAAGTGAGAGGAGAGACAGCCAAGGCTTCTACAGCTCCAGAATGGAAGGAGAAGAGGCATTCTGGATCTTGAGTCTGACGGTGAAAGGACAGAGAGCCTGTTAGAACTCAAATACAGGTAGATATAGAATTAAGGTCAAGTTTAAAGAAATATAAACAAAACCCTAAAAGACAGGTGTGATTTTATCTGAGTAGAAAAAAAACCATAATTGGTTAGAAAAAGCATTGGACTTTGGAATTAGAAACAGAGCGCTGACTGCACTTGAGAACTGATTTTATGCAAGTCACTTCAAATGCCAGGTTCCATTTCTATACCAGTAAAATGAGAGGAGGGCAACTGGCTAGTAAACAGGGGGGCTGTGAGGATCACGTGAGATAATGTGAATGCAAATGCCTTGTGCTTATGAAGATATAAAGCATTGTGTAATGTTAGGCAATAACCACTTTTCTGGTAACTTTTACTATGAGAAAAAGCCTTTTATACATGAAATCATAACTTTAGGATTCTCAGGAGTCGGACATGATGAGCAATTTTTTGATGGGAACAATGATAAAGTTGAGAGAAAATATCTTTTCAAGAAAACAATGAAGTCTTATTGTGAAAATTAGGAAAAAAGAAAAATAAGCAACTTACAATATTTGAAAAACTAAGGTCAAGCTTCCACATGGCTCCACTGGCATCCTAACAAAAATAAATATCTCATAATATTTTGTGTTATTTTGAATTTCAGAGGAAAAGAATTGACTTCTTATGATTTAAAGGACATACACTACTACCAAAAGCTTGCAAGTGAAAAGCACAAATGAAATTTAACACAACAACCTCTATATCTTAGAACATAACCACAAAATAAATGAAACAATCTCAAATACCTATGGTCAGTTTAATATATAAAAGTGTTCCTAAGTGATTTTCTGTGGATGAAATATAGGTCAATTAAGTAATAAAATTCAGAAACTCTTCACTGAAGTATCAATAGAACTTTTAATAATATGATGGACTTCCAGTGACAAATTATACTACTGATGGGGGCTAGGGAGGAAAGGAAGGGCACCACACCTAGGACAGGAATCTGCACATACACACTGTATGACGAATGATCTGTTTTCTTTATATTTCTTTATATTAAAACTCTTTATATTAAGATTTACACTGAGAATCCTGCCCCAATGATGCCCAAAGGAGTCTGGACACTGATGCCATCGGATGTACCAGTGTCAAGATAACCGAGAAGATAAGTCCTGGGGGCTGACCATGACAATTATCAGTAACACCAACTGTGATGGGCTCTTCTGATGGATTGTTTGCTCTGACTGCCTTTGTGGAACTCATTATAAAAAGGCCAGCTTGAGATGAGATGACAGAAAGAGCTGTTGAGGATGCTATGCCCACCATTCTCTCAGCTCAATGGCCAGCGATCTGAAAAATTAAACTGCTCATGGATTCTATTCCTGTCTCTGCTTATTGGCTTTCTGTAGTGACAGGCAGCAGAACCCAACCCTATTCTGCCCAGGTAACTAAGGAGCCAAGAGAGAACAGCACAACTTACCTGAGCCATCCAAAGGTTATTTCCAACTTCGTTCATCTTTATCATAGAGAAGAGTTGAACATTCTTGTCTACTTGAAGTTCATTAATGGGCTCAATCTCTAACAATCCAGTATCATCTACAGCATCAGCAGTATCTATTGTCTCAAAATCCCATATCTTATAAAATAAGAAAATATTTTAAATCAATCAGTACTTTCTGAATATGTTTTCTAATAAAAGGTTGCAATTTTTTCAAGTCATTTCTTGTTTCATGAAAATTAATAATGAATGGGTATAATTAGAATACAGCCAAGACGAGACCCATGGGCTTTTGTTCTAAAATGAGGAATGATAATTATAGTTCCCTTTTTGTTTAGAAATTAGTGAGAAAATACAGGCCTGAATAAGAAGTCTAGTTCACCCAACGTAAACTTTATTTCAAGGTTTCTGTCAAGATTTTCTGCAAATGTGATAGTGAAGGCAAAGATAAACAGCTGGGACTACATCAAATTAAAGAGCTTCTGCACAGCAAAAGAGACAATAACAAAAACAAAGAGAAACCCCACCGACTGGGAGAACATTTTTGCACACAACACTAACGATAAAGGACTGATCACAAAAATCTGCAAAGAGCTGATGAGACTCAACAACAACAAAGAAAATAATCCTGTCAAAAAAATGGGCAGAAGAGCTAAAAAGAAACTTCTCTGAAGAGGAAATGCATATGAAAAATTGTTCAACATCACTTGTAATCAGGAAAATGCAAATCAAAACTACCATGAGATATCATCTTACACCTATGAGAATGGCACATATTAAAAAAACTAGCAACAACAAATGTTGGCAAGGTTGTGGAGAAAAAGGAACTCTCCTGCATTGCTGGTGGGAGTGCAAACTGGTCCAATCACTATGGAGAGCTGTGTGGAGATTTCTGGACCTACTAAACATAGAGCTTCCATATGATCCAGCAATTCCACTCCTAGGTATTTACCCAAAGGACACAGAAACATCAATTCCAAAGAGCACCTGCACCCCTATGTTTATAGCAGCACTGTTTACAATAGCTAAGCTTTGGAAACAACCCAAATGCCCAGAAATAGATGACTGGATCAAGAAGATGTGGTACATATACACCATGGAATATTACTCAGCATTCAAAAAAGATAAACACATGCAATTTGCAGCAACATGGATGGCGCTGGAAGGGATCATGCTCAGCGAAATAAGCCAGAAAAAAAAGAAAAATACCAGATGGTCTCACTCATAGCAGGAATCTAGAAAACTTAAATAAGGGACCAGGAAAATGAATAACTATAAAAAAGAAAATATCAAAATCAACAAACAACTATGAACCAGAGACACTGTATGGGGGGTGGGGGGCGGGAAGGGGAGGAATTGGGGTCAAAATAAGGGTGTTGCAATTGTAAGGGGAATATAAAAATAAAATTTATTTTAAAAAATTTAAAAATTTAAAAAAAAATAAACACAGGGAAGTTTTACTAAATATATTTTGAATTACAAAAAACGCCAAACATAACTAAAATGTTACTCATTGTTAAAAAAAAAAAAAGATTTTCTGCAAATAAAGTGTCATAAAAAAGTGGTTTAGTTGTCCAACAAGATATTATAATGAATCCTGTTTTATACACACCAGCAGACCCTTGAAAAGGGGAAACACACCTTAATGATTCAATGGTAATCTTCATTATAACGAGAAAATAGATATAGATGCTGCCTTCAATAGAAAATATTTATATTTCTTACCACCAATTTAGAGGTATTTGTACTATTTGAATAAGCTCTATTGTTCTCAGGATAAGAAATCAGAGCAGTGAGGCAGGATGAGGGACAGACTTCCTCTGTGAAGTGCCAGAGCCTGCCCTGTATGGTCCTGTTGACACACCTGCCATGTTATCCCAGACTCAGTAACTCAAACCTTGGGAAAGTATCTTCAGAGAGCAATGGTGTTGCCTTGCAGAGTAGGTTGGTTGGTGAAAGGCCCAGATCATAAGGTTAACTAACTTATGGGAGTTGGGGGAGGTTTTGCCTAAAAAGTAAGGCAAAGATTTACAACATAAGGACTAAAGAGATTAAGACAAATTTTGAAAAGGGAAGCAAGTTTAGCAATTACTAATGTTTGTGAAAGGATCCTCTGTGCAGTATTTAACTTCTTTTCTGCTGAGGTTTCCACTTGGTATTCTAACATTTGTGGGCAACAGATCTTTAGAAGGATAGTGACTATGTTGTATGACAAAATAAAGAACATAAAAGATTGTCAGAAGAGAGGGTAAAATCTAACAAGATTAAATTTAACATGCTAATTGTAAAAATGTATACTTGGGTTCAAAAAGCCAATGGTAAATGACAGACTAAAGGAGACATGGCTTAAATAATATATTAGACATAGTAAGCACAATAGGTGTCAACAGTGACCAACTATTAAAAAAATACAATCTTAGTTACAATAACAATACTTTCAAAAGAATGTCCATAGTATACCACCACCATCTTATGGGAGGTACAGAAAGAATATGTACCAAGGGGACCACTAGGAAAATCACAAGACATCAGGTTTGCCAATGCAGTAAGGAACAAATACACAGGTGGGTGGGAGCAAGTTTGACAACAACCAAGGGAATCTAGAGGCTGGAACAATGTTCTAACATAAGCCACACGATGGGTAGAAGAGAGTCCCTACGAGAAGACATGTGAATTCACTGGTGTAACGAACAGTGAGAGGGGAACTCTTCTTGTCTTTGAGTATGGTGTTTCTAACTGGTAACCTCAGTAAAAAAAAAAAAAAGTAATTGGCACTTTGATCCCTAAATAATGACCCATTCACAGGAGGGCATCTTGAAAGAACGCCCGTGTCCATTGTTTACATTGGGCTAACAGGGATTTTCATTTTCTGAAGCTACTATTTTAACAGCGAAGTCAAAATAACTAGATACCCTCAGAAATTTTCAGTAATATAACACTGTAAATTAATTTTGACTGGAATTTAAATATGTACCACAAGAAAAACATTTAAAATGAATTGGCCGTGGGAGTGAATGACGTTCATGAAAAATAAAAACCTGCAATTGGATGAAATGCAAAGCTTAGATGTGGATGCTACTACCCACGTATGATGACAACTTACCCTAATCCATCCATCTGACCCAATAGTGATAACTTCACCCTCATCTAGCATTATCTGGTTAATGTGACCTTGGTGACAAGATTTCCTTGCAGATCGACAGAGCTCCACTTTGATGAGGCCAGCTTCCCAAACCAACATATTGCCCCATTCTGACCCTGAGAGCACCTGGCAGGTATGCAGAAAGACATACGCATTAAAACAAATACATATATTTATGCTTCAAGTGGCAGGTAAGAACTATTTGAAAGATTTTTCTTGATTATGAAAGCAAAAATTTTTAACAGAAAAATAAGAAAATACAGAAATCTTACTATCCAAGAACCAACCACCAATTATATATTGATGTATTCCTTCCAGTATAGTTTTATATTATTATGATTTTTTTTTCTTTACACATCACTTAAGAAAATAATCCATACGTGGAATTACTGGGTCAGAACTTAGAGACGTGTGCTTCATGGATAAGATTCTACCTTTTAAGTACAATATCAGATGTTTTATGAATTACATTATAAGGCCAGAACTGAACTCAGCAGATCACAGCATTAACATATCCAACTTCAAACAAGGGTAATCCTCTGGAACCACCTCATATTAATCTATTAATCCAGCACTTCCCAAAGTACATACCACAAAACTCTAGATATTAGGATGTTTAACAGGTATTACATAATAAGTAATAATTATTGAATGTTGACTCTGTGCCAAACACTGCTTGACACTTTACATACATCAAGTTAGTTAATCCTAAAAGGCTATATGAACCAGGTATATTTATTGAAATACCCTACACAGTTGTACACTTTGGGTACTTTGTTTTCCCAGGGAGTCTTTCTCAGTTACACAAAGGAACCACATGAATCAATGAAAGCCTTATTATTAGCCCCATTTTGCAAAGAAAAAAAAAAAAAAAAAAACACTGTTGCACAAAACAGGTAAGGAGCTTGCACAAAATTACCCAGGGAACTAAGGGTTCTAAACCCAGGCTCAAAAGTACCTATTCTAACACTGCCTCAGAAGACTAGATACTGGGATAATTAAAGTCAAACAGTTTCCCTTTTTTAGGACCTGTTGGAAGCTTTAATACAAAACTGCTCGCTAGGGATCACCATGAGGAATTTCTAGATATAAAGACATATGTCCAAAAAAGTCTTACTTTCATCAAGCTTCTGGGCAGACTAACATTGCACCAAATTCCCTTTGGGAAACTAACCCTTGGCCCATGTGTGCTATGTCTGCGCCTCCAGTTCCCTCTCATGTGGAGTAACTGATGACCCTTACTCAGTTTTTTCTACCTCTTGAACCTACCTATTCTTATCTACCTATTTTAACTATTACTAAACTTCAACTCACTTGCGGTACATTTCTTTAGACTTGATTTCTTTTGTCCAGTTACTAACACCACCAGAAGTCAGAGCCAAAAGGCATGCCTTGCTAACACATCACTCACACCCCACTTTGCTGCACCATTCCTGAGCAGTCCCAGCCTTCCTGCACATCTCGGAGATGTCAGCAACATCCTCCTTTCTAGTGCAGCTCCCTGACTCTGATTTCCCTTCTTTTGATTCATCTGGCACTTCATGGCCAAGATTATCTACAACTTCTTATACCTGCAACTGTGTTCTTCTAGTGTGTGAATAGTTCTGCCTGGCTATTAAACTCTTTACACACTAAGGCCCAATCCCAATTCTCACTCTAATTTCCTACTCTTTCCCAGGATGGACGCTTTATTCTAATTAGCACTCTCTTTCATGTCACATTTATTCCTAGCTGTAAACATTTCCTCTGGAGGGTCTCATTTTAAATGACTTTTCTTCTACACTTACATGAAATCTACTGAAACTTTTAAAGATATATCTTACATTTTTAAATGAGAGTTGTATTGATCTTTATTATAGCTTAATTCTTAAACTATTTAGAGCTGAAGCTGAAATAATTTATGATCATTTTGTATGTTTGAGTATATAGTTTAGCCAGGATCCAAGGCGTTTTATTTCTCCTATGCATCATGATTGCCAATTGAGACTATCCCAGTTGGTACATGACTAAACCATTTGATTTCTTAGAATAATATTTGTATACTGATTATTTATAATTGGGATGATCAAAAATAATACTCTATGACTCATCCTAATAAGAAACCAAATATACATTAATAGAAAGCTGATCCTATAGGCGATATGCTTATAAATCTTATAGCGGAAGCGAGGAAATAAACTAATAATGTTAGTAAGCTTATTAAAGTTACAGTGTTGCAAATGCCAATGTAAAAGAGCTCAATCTTCTTAAAATAATAGTAATAAAAACAAAAGGCATAAGACTTTATATAACCTTTGACCAGGAAAATCCTCTTTGAGTATTAAGCAAAGTAAAGAATGGGGAAAGAGGGCCTCCCTGGTGACACGAGGTTAAGCACCTCGATGTGAAGCAGCCCGCAGCTTCTGTAGCACAGAGTTTGATCCCTGCCCCCCACCTCTGGCCAGGGAGCTACCCACATGGTGCAGCAGACCTCTCCTGACTCACCTACTGCTCCCTTCAGCAGTGTATTTCAGTTAGTCTGCCTGTTCTGTTCCCTACTCTGTCTCTGGTGAATCCTCTCACCCACCCCCTAGCCCCACCCCCATCTCTCTGGCCTGTACCCCAGATCTTGTATGCATAAATAAAAAAAATTTAAAAATAGAAAAAAATGGGGAAAGAAACATGCATTGCAATTCCATGACAATTAAAAATGACACGTGTGTCACTGTGTTAAAATATGAAAATGATTGCTTACTGTGTAATATTTAGTAAAACAAACTAGAAAATGGTATATAGATTGTGACAATTTCATAGAAATACAAAATTACAATTGATAATGTGAAGTCAAAAGTGTTACTTCATATTTATAATTATCTATTACTGCTAATACAGACAGTGCTTTTAAAAATGTATAATATACTTTTATATATGTATGTCACTCAAATATATAACATCACTACTGTAGAACAGTGGCATACTTACCTTCCCATCCGGGAACTCCATGTAACCTTCTACATCAGTAGTGGCTGTTTTACCAAATCGACCTAATGAACCCTGAAGCTTGAGGCCTGTGAATGTGAAAACCATTTCCCAGAACCTGCAAACAAAAAGGAGACTGAACATACCTCAAAGACTTGTTTTCATTTTATCACCCAAGCATTTACATGTTTCAAAATTACATATATTTTTTCATTTATTTCTCTGATACTATCTGTTAAGTTTTTACCACCTGTCAGGCAAAGATTGATTTTCTTGATCACACTGTGCCTTCATTTTCTCAAAAATAAAACATGAATGTTAATAGCTCCTACTTTATAAAATTTTTAAAAACTCTTAAGATAGTTCTAATACATAAATGTTAGTTATTACAAATATTTTCTTATAATAGTCTAATTGAGTCAAGAGTCAAAATAATGAAAAACACATAGAAAAATGATCTGGCCTCTCTATGGGATATAAAATAGATAATGAAAAGTATCAGCAAATCATATGAAGCCAAGAGCCTAAATGACCGATATGTTTCCACATTCTATTATAGTACTTCACATGTGACATTAATAGTTCAATGTTTGTCTTTCCCTAAAGATACAGCACGTAGAAAATATGCACTTGGCTAAACAATGGGAAAATGTAAGGAATTAAACATTTGTAATCTATAGCTAGCAGGGATTTTATTTGAAAATTTCCCCCACAGTTACATTTTAAACTATGTTTAATGATTTAACATTTTTAATGACTGAATTAAGACAACTGCCAGGTTTAAATTAGACTAAGAAAATGAGGGTAAATAAAAATGTCTTTCTCATAAAGCGTCACTAGAAATCAAGTTAGGGGCAGCTCTAGAGTGATGGTGAAAGGTTATTAAATAAATGCATAAGTACTCCAAAAACTGGAGCAAAGGTACAGGAAGACAAAATCAGTCCACCCTGAGGGACCTCCGTGGTGGTGCAGGGGTTAAAGGCAGCACTATCAGCTAGCACCAGCCACTGTGGCATTAGCTTGATCCCCCCCCCCCCCCCCAACTGCTCCCTTCAGCAGGGTATTTCAGTGGCTCTGCCTGTTCTGTTCCCCACTCTGGGGTGAATCCTCTTGCCCCCACACTTCTGGCCTATACCCCAGTTCTTGTATGCATAAATAAAAATAAATCTTTTTTTAAAAAAATTATCCCATCTTGGGAAAGACCAGAGTGTGAGAGAGTGAAATGGGTGTGAAATTTAGAGCCACAGACCTGAAATCAAGATTAGGCGACAACAGCAAAAGTGAACAGGCAGTGCTGCATCAAGTTGAAAGCTTCCACACAGCAAAAGAAACCAATAAAATAAAGAGCAACATACCAGATGGAAGAAAACATTGCTAGATCATAGATCTGATAAGGGGTTTAAATAACCAAAATATAACAAGAAATCATACAACTTAAATAGCCAGAATAATCTGATTCAACAAATGGATATAGGATCTGAGTAGATGGCCCACAGGTACACTAAAGGGTAGTCAACATCACTGGTCACCAGGAAAATGCAAATCCAAGTCACAGTGAGACATCTCCTCTTAGCTGTTAGAGTGGTCATTATCAAAAAGATAAGAGGACAAGTGTTGGAGAGGAGAAAAGGGAACCATTATATCACTGTTGATCAGAACACAAATTAGTATAGCCACTATGGAAAACAATACGGTGTTTCCTCAAAAAAATTAAAAATAGAACAACCATATGATCCAGGAATTCTGTTTATATGTAATTATATGAAAAACAATCTCAAAAAGAAACATGTACCGCCATGTTCATTGCAGCATTATTTTCAATATCAAAGATATGGAAACAATTGTCCATTGATGAATAGGTAAAGAAAGCAAGGATCTATATATCTGTATAAATATCTCCCCCTCTCTCTGCGAGTGTGTGTGTGTATATATATATATATATATATATATATATATATATATTCTGTGTGTTTACACACATATACACACAGAGGATTACTCAAAACCATAAAAAGGGGAATCTTGACATTTGTGTCAGGATGGACCTTGAAGGCACAGTGCTATGTAAAATATGTCAGACAGGAAAAAAAAAAAAAAACACCACATGGTCTCACTTATAGGGGGGAATCTTAAACAAAATAAAAACCAAAAAACTCCGAGCTCATGCATACACTGAGACTAGATTATGGTAAACTGGATGTGGAAGGTGGGGTGAAATGGGAGAAGGCGATAAGAAAGCATAAGCAACAATCTATAAAATAAATCATAGGGATGTAATATATAGAATATATTGTGTATTTTAAAATTAATAAACCTTAAAAGAAAAAAATGTAAGCATGGTAATGGATGTTTATAGTCTTATTGTGGTCATTTTACAATATGTACAAAAATTCAATCACTATGCTGTGCACCTGAAACTAATGTCATATTAAAAGTCAACTATATCTAATTTTCTCTTTTAAAGAGAAGGCTCTGCTACCATCTAGTATTGAGGATCCTGTGTCAGGAATGGTCTGTATAAGTCTTCTTTTACAGATGAAGACTGAGTTCAGCAATATCAACATGACTTATCCACCATACAGTATTGCTATAATGACAAATAGTGGATCTGAAAGCTCAATGTGAACTTGCAAACACTATGCCAATGTTAGGAAGGCATTATACAAACTCTTGCAAGAAGGCAGGAGACTAAATTTATCTTCTTTTACATGTGCTGTCTTCAGAAACAAATCCCCATATCTAATTAGAAAAACTGCACTACTGGTTAGTTTTCAAAATAACACATTTTAAAATAATCTTAATGTTAACAACAAAGCAAGTGTTTCCAGCTGGCTGATCCTCTTAGCAAATGCCCTTAGGTTAGCCCACTAGCACCTGTGTTCCTCATGCTACCTACTTGATATGGCCTACTCCTGATGTGGTAAGCTGCTCGTCGTCTTCAGGATTGAAAGAAACCTTAAAAACTTCCTGGGAAAAAGCTTTTGTCCTCAGTATGGTCTGCTCCTCTTTCCAGTTCCAGATGGTCAGTGTGTGATCAGGGTTACCACCAACAGAAGCCAGCAAGGTACCACTGGAGTTAAAGTCCACGTATGCATATGCCAACTCAGTCCCATCTGAAAGGGTAAATGGGAATCTAATGAACAGCAGCAATATTAATCTCGTTTTTTGAAAGTATTGTTTTTAAAAAGCAGAGGTGGCATTATTGAAGGAAAAATGCCGAGAATTCCCTAAAGAAGCAATTCTAAAATCACTTTTCACCCTTCATTTTAGAATGAATTTCACATAAGGGGCAAGGGTGAAGAAATCTTAATCACATTTTGCATGAGAAAAACACTGAGAACATATTCTGTTAACAGGCAGAGTGAGGGGCACCCTGGGACTCAGCAAAACCTGCCGCCCTAAATGGGTTCTGCCATCTGCCATATAAACATAAAACATACTCTCAGTAAGACCTCCATTAAAAAAGAAATTTAAAACAATTAGACCAGTGCAATAGAAAGAAGAGAAAGGATATAGTTAAAATAATTTGCCCATGAAACACCCAAAGTTACCCATCTCTTCATGGGTAAATGTGCAGCCAAACAGGGTTGGCCCGAAGCAGAGCCACTGAGGCCCAAAAGCTTGCCACAAGTCTAAGGCACCTTCTGGTGGACACCCATATAGGAAAGGGGTGTCTAAAGGACACCCATATAGAAGGGGCCAAGCAAAATAAAAATACAAGTCAAGGTAAAGGCTGCCATTGTCAGTCTTCCCACAGGCCTCTCACCCACATCTGTCTCTTCCAAGTGTCTCCTTCTATGTCCCCCAAGTCCCTGGTATAAGTCCAAGGCCCAGAAGCAAGTGCAGCCTCTTCCCAGCCCCTTCCAGCTTCTCATTGCTCAGCTCCACCATTACTTGGGTGGAGCGGGGAGCCAGGAATATCCCCTTTCTATGGAGATTGCACTGTTACCATTCCATTTAATGAATGTGGGGAAAACAAATGTTAGAAAGCAGAAAAATTAATCTGCAATTTCAAATTTGCCACCGAAAATTTCACATACAAGAAACACTGACAATGACTTGAGGTTTCCAGTTGCACTTGGAAGGAACTTGGAAATCACCCTTCCAGGCTAACAACAAGGAAAAACTGAACAGACTGAAAAAATCAACAACTCTTCTTGGAGCCATAAGAGAGGGAAGGACAGAGGGCAAACCACTGCCCCCAGGACTGAAGAGGCCAACAGGGAAACAGGAGTTTGCTACTTACTGTGGCAGGGACTCAGCAGCTGTGGAAGCAGTGCTGGGTCATACAGCCTGAACACCACCTGAGGAAATGAGGCTCAGTGGGGACGGTCAGAGCTAAAACTCCAGGGGGACCTAGTCATAAGATGATCCCCCAAATATGAAGTTTAAGGGCCTCCCCAGTGGCGCAGCGGTTGAGCGCTGGGTTGCGAAGCTGCCCGCAGCCTCTGCAGCGCCAGTTCGATCCCCGGCTGCTCCCCGGCCACCGGAGGAGGGTCCCGCATGGCGCGCAGACCTCTCCTGCCGCCCGCTGCTCCCCTCAGCAGTGTACTTCGGTCCTTCTGCCTGCTCTGCTCCCCGCTCTGGCTCTGGTGAATTCTCTCACCCTCCTGCGCTTCTGACTGTACCCAATGCTTGTATGTATGTATGTATAAATCAATCAATCAATAAATAAATCTTTAAAAAAATATATGAAGTTTAACTTCAGGAGCTTGACCAGATTCCCACGGTAAATACCTAGAAAAGCCCCACTGGGCTTTGAGCAGGGGAAGGAAAAGGGAATGTTTTTGAAACCAGAGCAGGCAGCTCTTAGTACAGCTTGCCCTCAGGCAAAACTCATTCAGCAGAGCCTACCTCCACTAAGATTTTATCAGAGACTACCTGACCGGGAAAGGAAATCTCACTCCTGCCACTCTGGCCATCCTGTCTGACAAAGGAGGAGAGAAAAATACGCTTATGTACTTCACAGTCCAGAGAAAAAGGATCACTGAAAAATTGAGACCTAATCATAGGACTAGAGAACACTTCCCTTCCTTGCCCCACATTGCTGAAAGCCTATTTATATGAATTTGTTTGTTTGTTTGTTTTTTAACTTAGTTCATCATGTCTGGCTATCTAGGAAAAATTACAAGGCATACCAAAAGGCATAAAATACAATTTGAAGAGACAGAGCAAGTTTAGAAGTAGAATGGCATGAAGTTGAAATTACCAGATAGGGAATTTAAAACAACTATGATTAATATGCTGAGGGCCTGTAGGGTAAGGAAAAATGTCAGGCTTTTCTGTCCTCCCGCCATCAGGATAGATGATGGATCCTTGCGGTCCTGAATGCATGCCTGATGGCGGGCACCTGGAGTAGGGTGTGGGCATAGGTAGATGGGATTCACCTGGGCTAAGACTGGCGGCATCATGGGGATGCCAGCAGAAGCCGAAAGAGAAGGGGGGGGGAGGGAGAGGGAAGGAGGGAGAGAGAGAGAGAGAAAGAGAGAGAGAGAGAGACAGGGAGAGAGACAGAGAGAGAGACAGAGAGAGAGACAGAGAGAGAGACAGAGAGAGAGACAGAGAGAGAGACAGAGAGAGAGACAGAGAGAGAGACAGAGAGAGAGACAGAGAGAGAACGCTGGAGAGCCCAGAGAGACGGGTAAATCCCAATAAAAACCTGCAAAAACCACTGAGGACTCTGACTCCTCCTTTACCCAGTCTGCATGGGATCAGAAAACCTGCACAGTGTCCCATTCCTGCCCTTACAGGCCCTAATGAAGAAAGTAGACAATATGTAAGAACAGAAGGGCAATATAAACTATTAAAATTCTAAGGAAGAGCCAAAAGGAAATGCTAGAGATAAAACAACACTTAAGAAAAATGAAGAATGTTCTCTGATGGGCTTATTAGTAGAAAAGTCACAGCTGAGAAAAGAACCGCTACCCTATAGGATATCATCAATAGAATCTTCAAAAACAAAGCAAAGAAAAACACTGAATATCTAAGCATTGTGGGTATATGTGAAACGAGAATACCAGAAAAATAAAGAGAAAGAAACAATATTTGAAAAAATAGTGACTGAGAATTTCCACCAAATTAATGTCAACCACCAAACCACAACTCAAAAAATATTTGCAAAACACATTTCATAAAGGACTGTTATCTAAAATATACAAAGAATTCTTAAAACCCAGTAAGAAAACAATCCAATTGAAAAATGGTGCAAAGAGATACAGACAGCAAAAACAAGCATATAAAAAGATGCTCTACATCATATGTCATCAGAAAACACATCTATTAATGTGTTAAAACACATCTATTTTAAATGACCAAATTCCAGAACACTGACAACACCAAATGCTCCAAGGCTGCAGGGCAACAGGAATTCTCAAATGTTACAGGTGGGAAGGCAAAATGGTACAACCACATTGGAAGACAATTTGGCAGTTTCTTTCAAAACTAAACATACTCTTACCATAGGATCAAGGCATTATACTCCTTGTAATTTACCTGAAAGTACTTATGTCCACATGAAAACCTGAACTTGGATGTTTATAGAAACTTTATTCATAATGACCAAAATGTGGAAGCAACTACAATGCCCCTTAAGAGATGGGTAAACTGTGGTATCCACAATGAAATATTTTTCAACATTAAAAATAAGCCACCAAACCATGAAAAAAAATGACAGAATCATAACTGAATATTGCTAAGTGAAAGGCGGCTACATACTGCATGATTCCAACTATATGACATTCTGGAAAAGGTAAAATTATAGAAAATTTAAAAATCAGTGGTTGCCATACAAGGGGACTTACAAATTGAGAAGAACACAGATCATTTTTAGGACAGTGAAAATACCCTGTATGATAGAATGATGGCTATGTCATCACACATTGTCTAAACCCATAGACTATACACCAAGTATAACCCCAAAGGAAACTCTGAACTTTGGGTGATTATAATGCGCCAAGGTAGGTTCATCCTTGCTAAAAAATTTACATTGTGGCGAATAATGTTGATGTGTGTGGGGGTAGAGGGCATATGGGAAACCTCTGAACATTCCTCTCAATTTCATTGTAAACCTAAAGCTGGTCTGAAAAATAAAGTCCTTCAAAAATTAATAAAATTAATTATATGGAAAGAAGAATGATAATTGTGATGGTTAATTTTATGTGTCAACTTGGTTAGGTGATAGTACCCAGTTATTCCATGATACACAAGTCTAGAGGTTTTTGTAAAGGTATTTTATAGACATTTTCAACTCTATAATCAGTTGACTTTAAAGATTATACTTGATAATGGGGCGGGGAGGGGGGCGCTCACCAATCAGTTTAAAGTCCTTAAAAGCAAAACTGTTTCCCTGAAGAAGAACAAATTCTCCCTGAAGCAGCATCACCAACTCCTGTAAAGGGATTTCCAGCCTGCCAGCTGCCCTACAAACTGGAGACTTATCAGCACACACAAGTGTATAAGCCCATCTCTTTCAATAAATATCACCTTTATCTTAATAGTGAAACAGAACTATACAGGGGCTATCGCAGGGCTACAGTGTCAGAAGGACAGTGCCCAGCAAAGGGCAGGTTACTGTCTGTGGGTTCTTCACCCCACACAACTGCAAGACCACTGGGGCTCAGTGAACAATAATGCGGTTTATTTAACGAACAGGGAAAACAAGGAGTTCTCAAGGCCACAAGTAGCCAGCTATCTCACCCCAATGCCCAGAAGTCCTAAACAAACACCACTCATCAAGATGGCAGCATCCCGCCAACAAGGGCCTGGAGCTCGTGGCAGCTGGCACACAGCGAGCCAGGGTCCAACTCACCGCAGCTGGAGGTGCTCCCAGGTAGGGCTGAGGCGATGATGCCACAACAGCCCACAGTAACAGTCCAAAAGTTGGTAGGGACAGCACCAGACACTGGAGCAGATGGAACAGAGGCAGCAGAACCAGGAAGCAGTCTCAGACAATCAACAACTCTCAGAGGTGGCCCAGATGCACAGTGCTGGTCACCCATCAAGAGCACAGGGTTGTACTGGCCAGTAGTGCCTGTCACCTATCACTAGGAGGTGCCGGGGTCAGAAACACCATGTCAACAGCTCTGAGTTTTTGGGCCACACTAACAAACAGCTCTTTGAGACACCAGGCCTGGGCATTCAGTGGTCTATTCAGGCTGTGTCAGAATCAGGCCGGAGGCGGGTGCAGCAGCCTCCCTACCTCTGCAAAGCTCTCTAGCTTCTCTTCTTCCTTCATAGGTCAGCTGCTGGCTGCTGCTTATTTCATCTTCTTTGGAGGACAGGAACAGAGTGCTTCTCAAGCACAGAGAGTGTCCCAAGCTGGCTGCTTCGCTGCCATACGTCCGCTTTCAGGGTCCCCCACCTATAAGTCTGATTGGACCGTTTTCAATCCTATGGCTGATTGGACCATTTACCAATCAGCTTATAGCTCACACCTGATCTTTCAACACAATCCAGGCACCAGATCCACAGGCCTCTCTACAGCTGCAGCTAGAGGGAGCCACAGAGTTGGAGCTGGCCCTGTGGGGCCCCAAGTTCCTCCCAGCAGCTCTGAACTAGGGCTGCATGCTGTGGGGTGGCCTGGTAAGGGAACCACCATCACTGCAGGCCTCTGCCCGCAGCTTGAGCCCCAGTGGGGCCACTGGTGGTGGGCGGTAAAATACCCACCACCCGCTGCTGCTTGCCCTGCTCACAAGCAGCTTCTTGGGCCGAGCGCAAAACTTCCATGCTTGTCCAAAGGCTCCCGCCGCTTCAATGGCAGTGGAAAAAAGCCAGTGTTGACCCACAGCTTGTTTTGCGGGGCCCTCATTTCAATAGGAGTAAGATTTATTGAAAGAATCAGCTTATACAATGTGCCTTATACATTTCTGTCCCCTACTTGTTCTGTTTCTCTGGAGGGCCCTGAATTTCTACAGTAGCTTCTCCAAAATGCTGTTAACCTGGGCATGAAATATTTTAAAGATTCAACTCGACTCACCTCGAAGGATTCTGTAGGGCCTCAGGGAAGGGTATTCATAGATGATAATATCTGGAAAATTTCCTTTCTCAGCTACTATGAAATAAGTTTTCTGGGGGTGAACCTATAAAAAACAAAATCTCACTAAAATATTAAAAGACTTTCAGATCAATAAATCTATTAATCTGTATTTTATATCTGTTGTTTTAAATTGTTTAGTAAGATCCACTCCACCTGAAAACTCAAAAATGGTTTTCTGAAAGACTTGAAGAGGAGTATGACTTAAGAAAATCATTTAAATTTTAATTTGATCAATACAATCATATTTAACTCGTTATTTGAATTGCTATCAGAAGTGCTATAAGTGTGGGGGCTCAAGCTTTGGCATGCCTCAAAATCACAGGGGGAGGGGAACTTACTAAAGCCTAGATTGAAAGCCTGACACCTGAGCCTCTGAGGCAGTAAGTCAGGGTTGGGATCAGAGAGTTTGTATTTACAATTCTGACAAGTTCCTAGATGCTATTGATGCTGCTGGTCTGGAGCCTACTCTTTTAGAACCAATTTAGATGAGTTATTCACCCTGCATACAACTTAACCTACTCTTTGTATGGGAGGCTGTACAGAAGAAATCATGTTTCTAGAGTCGATTACATGTCGATTTTAAAATTTTCACTTGGACAAATTAACACTAGTGAATATAAACTGACTAAAAATGAGTATTTCCAAGAAGCCAGATGTAGAGCAAAATACAACAAATATACCCAGGATAAATTATTTGTTACAGCATTTCAAATAAGAACCTTGTAAATTGGGTAGAATTGTATGTTATTTTTGTTCATTGGTAGCCAATGTAAAGAAAGAAAAAATGGACAAATAATAAAAAAAACCAGACTGTTATACATTATTTAAAACACAAAATGTCCTTATAAAATTTTATTTTTAGTAACTGTTTTTCAACTACTGATAATATACCTAACGCAGCAGCTTGGTTCTGATAGAGATTATAATGGAAGTCCTGGACCTAAGTCATTGTTGTAACTCCCACACACAAGTGACAATCAGACCTGTGAGTGGCAAGTTGCCTCATATTACTTCATTCAAGTAAATACCCTTCACTTCACCTTGAACAAGGTCTGAGTTTATAGAATGAACACATGATATGATTACACTAAAAACAACTAACATTTACTGAGCGCTTACCATGTGCCAGACCCATATCAAGGTTTTTATGTGAATTAATTCCCCAAATTTTACATCATCCTTGTGAGCGAAGATACTATTAATCCCATCTTATTGACAAGAACACAGAGGCACAGAGAGGTTAAGCAATTTGCTTGAACTTATACAGCTGGTAAGCAAGAGAACTAGAATTCAAGCCAGGTGTTGGAGCTAAGAAGCAAATGGAAGTTAAAAAACAGTAGATCCCAAGGACTTAAAGGGACATAGGTTAAGATTTTGACTTTCTAGATCCCCATTCACAAACCAATACAGTGTATTGGAGGTCACAGAAATCCGAATGGTGATTTCAGTAAATTTTTACCCTTCTAGGTCTTACCCACAGTACAGTGAAAATGTTTTTAATTTTTCCACTCAAAGATCAGAAGCTGTTTGTGGGGTTAAGTTGTAGTGTTTTACTTCATTTTTAGTGCAGACCAGAACTAGAAAGTCATTTATTTTATTTCCAACATAAAGATTAGCCCTTATCTGTCCCAGAAAATATTTTATATGCCCTCAAACACATTTTTCACATGTTTCTCACAGCCTTGCAAAGCACTTCTCATTCACAAACTCTTTCCAAAAAATGGAGGGACATGGGCAGTGGAGGCAACGACACTATCCAGCCACCGACAGCTCTAAAACACAGAGAAAAATCCCTGTGGAACTGTCCAGAGTCCTAGAGGATGACCATTAAGATCAGCATTTGTGTGCAATTTGCAGCAACATGGATGGCGCTGGAAGGGATCATGCTCAGCGAAATAAGCCAGAAAGAAAAAGAAAAATACCGGATGGTCTCACTCATAGCAGGAATCTAGAAAACTAAAATAAGGGACCAGGAAAATGAATAACTATAAGAAAGTGAAAATCAAAATCAACAAAAAACTATGAACCAGAGACACTTTTGGGGGTGGGGGGTGGGAGGGGAGGGATTGGGGTCAGAATGGGGGGGTTGCAATTGTATGGGGAATATAAAAATAAAATTTATTATTAAAAAAAAAGATCAGCATTTGTGATCACACTATACATCTAATATGGACCTCAAACCAAATTAATGTAAAACAAAATAGAAAAAATAGAAACTATTATTGTTCATAAAGTGACAGGAAAATATTGATAGTGTTCAGTGGGGTAGTCCTCACAGCTCTAGACCACATGTCCCTGACGTTAGGCCAGCCGATTTTTGCATACAACTGGTGCCACAATATCAGGTATCTAGTTTTTTGTTGTTGTTCTTGCTGTTTAACATTAGTTTGTCTCTTTAGAGGATTTTAAAAAATTTAAATTCATAGAGGTCATGGACCCTTCTTCTCTTAATCCCCTTACTTAATGTTCTGTGTAGTGCTGGGCACAGAGTGCCATAATATAAATTCTTCCTGAATTCATTCGTTAGTCTTATAACAAACTCCCTCAAGACAGGGACTTTATCATGTACAGGTACTGTCTATAGATAGAAAATCACCCTGGTAAGGGCAATTTCAGGTGTTGATGGTCAAAAAGATAGAAGCTTGACAGAGAAGGAAAGAACAAAGTCAGAGGGTAAAGAATACATGCTGAGGGCCTCCCTGGTGGCATAGGGGTTAAGCCGCAGCGCTATCGCTATCATCGCTGTGGTCTGACCCACAGCAGACCTCTCATGTCTTGCCAGCTGTTCCTCTTAGCAGTGTATTTTACTAAATCCCCCTGTTCTGCTCCCCACTCTGTCTCTGGTGAATCACCCCCTGCACCTCTGGCCTATACCCCAGTTCTTCTACACATATACACACAAAAAAGAATGCATGCTAGGGAGGGACATTTTAAAACAAGAACAAGTTCACTTTGCGTGATTTTATGCTGAAGATGAAAGGCCAAATGTAGTAATAGCCAAAGATACAAGATGGAGACAGAAACCTGAGGAGGGGGTGAGACAGAATCTAATCAGACAAATCCTTTCGTCAGCCGCTCAAAATTATTAAATGTATAATCTCCTAATGTACTTCACCTATTAAATGTACTTCATCTCCTAATGTTCAGTTATACACTTATAACTTATCTGGCATTTGTCTCTATTTGAGGCATTCATCTAATTTTTTTTTTTTTTGCAGAACAGCAACAGAGCGGTCAATGAGAAAAGACAGTGCCATGCTGCACCCCTGTGGGGAATCACTTACCCTCCATAATCAGTTTCCTGCTCTGCAAAATGGGATGAAGTAGTTAATATTATAGCATCGCACAGAGACATGTCAGTAAAGGTAGTGGCTGTAATTACTGAATTGCAAACAGTCCCTTTGAATTGGGACCACCATGCCTCTCCTATGACTCATGATACCGGAGCCTGGTATCAGCTCCTTGCAGACTGGCTGGTCCACAGAATCAACTATCAAAGAGATTTTGATTTTTTTAAGTGACTAAATGCATACCCCAATGACACCAATCCCTCTACCACTGCTGCTTCGCAGGTAGGTCTGCTCCTTGGTTTTGTAGTTCAGCAAGATCAGCTGGTTCCCGGCTACGTACAAAAGGGTGTTGCTGTCCAGAAGCTGGAGGTTGGCCCTCTTTCTGCAGTCATAGCCAAAGGAATGTCTGTGAGCAGTTGTTAAGGACTGAAGTGAAACAGAATAACCACCCTTGAGATAGGAAAAGTAATGAAGTAAACATATTTTTAGAATCCATACTCTTACATAAACATACAGGTTTGAAGTAGTTGAATTTTACTCTGACACTCAGTTTTTTGGTGTCAACATATTTTGTTGTTAAATTAGGTGAAAATCCTCATGTCTTAGTTAATATTTTCATGTTTCTAGGGATATCCTGAAAGCACATTAATTTTGTGTGCAGTGAAAAAATAAAGGTAATGTTTTGATTTGGAAACTCTTGAAAGCAAAGTTTTTGCCTAAATAATTTCATTTTCCTCTCTCTTGGTAAAATGAAATCAGATTATAATGTAGAAGTCTGTGTCTTTGTAATCACAATGCTGGTTCAGTTTGTTGACTGCACACAGTAAAAGTATTATATGGGCCTCTTCTTTGGTGTTGAAAGACCAGATGTTTAAAATCTGGCATGTTTGTGAAATTCTGACACATCAATGATAAAGTGACTACTATAATAAATTCACATATTACTGAAATTTAATTTATACAAATTGTGAAAACTGACTAGGTAACATATAATACATAAATATATATTAAAAAAAGGCTAACATTTCCTTTCCGGCTCATTAATATGTACGGATGTGTAAATGAGTGTGTATGTCTGTGTGCTCCTTTATCCTACAAAGTACACTAATTCAAAATAGAGGTTTAAAAAATCTGAGTTATAAAATATCTTTTCAATGTAAGGAATGTAATGTATATTCCCATTCAAATTAATAAAACCTAAGATATAAATGTGACAAGTAAATTTAATGAGCTCATTTAAAATTGTGCTTATGACACCATGTTTGGTGTGTCATTATTGTATATGAATAGCTGAAATGAATGACAGTAATGTTTAAGGTACAGAAGGACAAACTGAGAATACTATTAGGAGATTCCAGCACTACCCACTAAGTGATATAGTATTATCTGAAATAGACTTAAATCAGTGGGAAATTTATACTGCAAACTCTACAGCAACCACTTAAAGAAACTAAAAAGGGAAAATGATATGCCTCTATCCAGACTTTCCTCAAAGTCCAGCTTCTTAGAATTACCTTAGACAGGGGTTGGCAAACATTTTCTTTCTTTTTTTTTTTTCCAGCTTAAATTATTTATTTTTTTTAATTTTAATTTTTTTATTTTTATATTCCCCAAACAATTGCAACCCCTTTATTTTGACCCCAATCCCTCCCCCCCCCCCCCCTCCCCTCATTAGGGGCCAGGTAGCACATATTGTAGGCTGTGGGCCAGAAGGTCTCCATTGTGACTACTACTTAACTCTGCCCTGTTAGTGTGATGGCAGTCACAGACAAAATGTAAATGAATGAGCATCGCTGTATTCTAATAAAAGTATTTGGAAAAACAGGCTGGAGGCCAGATTGGTACACGGGCTGCAGTTGGCCAACCCCTGACCTAAGAAGCTGAACTCCCAAAATTACACATCTGTAACTAGAACGGATACTCCAGTACGAGAAGATCCAGTGGTACGGTCGAATCTGAAGTCACAAAAGGCATAGAAGCTAGCGCCGTATAATCATAGAAGAAACTCTCAGATATTTTCTTCTGAACTTCCTCCTCTGCCTCTTCCTCAGCTGGGGCTGGAGTCTCCACATACTGAGATTCTAAAAAATTAAAATATTTTAACTAAGAGGAGCATCTGGTGAATCCTAAGTTTGTATTTTACAAAGACAACGTACCCAGCCACAGCTCTCCAGCAGGAGACACTACTTCAGTGCTGTACCCCAGCCGCCACCCACCAATTAGCTCAGGGGATGAGCCAACCCACCTGTGGACCGAGGGCTGCCTGCTGAGCTTTGGTGGTGCTCTCAGAGAGCAACTCCCAACCAATTCCAAGAGAATAATTCTCACCAGTCTGGACTAGAGCTCTCCTCAGGCCACCTACTCCCCAGAAGACCGAGAGTGTGAGTTCTGTCTGTGACCCCAGATAGAATACACAATTCCAGAGCCACTACAACAGCCTACTAGAACATGTTTGATGCTTTCCCTCTCATCACCCTCACACATCCTACATTATTTTCCTGAGGAATTACAACTGTTCAATTTGACATTAAATCAGTGACTGTTACTAAGAGAAAGCTAACAGCACTTACCTCCGAGGTTTTCCACAAAATCATATTGAAATGAAATTGTACTTCCTTCCATATCTGACAGCATATCTGAGTCATTATCCTCTAAATCTGATTCTTCCCCTTCAGTTAATGGTTCATCTGTAGTATCTTTTAGAGTAGCTATTAAAAAATAATTTGTTTTAATGATTTCTAAATTTTGAATTAGATATTTTCTTATTTCCAAAGCAGCTAGTACTTTCAATTTGTTTGTGTTCTACATTGAATGAATTTTAATACTGAAATCATCTTAGAAGTATCATTTTATTTGGTTATTTTTATAATTTTACATGCAAAAAAATGCCTTTCCAGTGACTTATATCTCCATTTTTACTTCATTTCCTGTTTATTTCCTATCACTACACATTTACAAGAAATTTTAAAAATAAAGAAAAAATCATTGCAAAGAAAAAAGGATATCTTGCTACCTTTATTCCAATTCAATTTTACTGACATTTGTTATTTAAGGACCTTTTATCTCCAGAGACAACGCATATCAAGAATAATCTTCTCTGAGTATGACTATCTCTGAATGATATCTGAGGAATAAGTTTAGACTATTACTTCAGGACAAGCTAACCGGGCAAGAGGATTGGAATGGAAGTAGAATTACCTTAGAAATAAGCCAATGTTCAGATCAAATCTAATCATGAGTATGCCTAAAATATACAAATAAGTTAACACTATGTCAAGCCAGTGAAAGGCTGGGTGAAGTTCAGAACAAGGCAGAAATGGCAAGCAAGAACTGAGTAGAGCCACCTAATAGATAAAGCTGAGATGAGGCTAAAAGATTTAAAACAAGGCAGGAAAATTGAACCAACCCAATAAACTGGACAAAGGGACAAAGATTCTGTAGGATTCAAACACTTACATGGAAAGAAAGTAATCCTGGCTATTTAAATGCATCACACATCTTGAATTCCCCCTAGGGAGGATCCTGGGTAACTACTCTCCAATAATAATAATTTTAGCTATTTCTTTCTTTGGGCTGTAGCAATCAGACTGTTTTCTCAAAACTAGGGTGTTAAAAGATTAACATTCTACCTGCTGGCCTCTCCCTAGGAAAAGAGTTAAAGTTTCCATTTGATGAATTAAGTCTGCCATCTAGGTTGAGGTAATCACTGATAAGGAACTGGGGGTCAATATAGAAGGAGAGTAAATTATTATAAAGAATAGAGCCTCCCCTGGTGGCGCAGCGGTTGAGCACTGGGCTGTGAAGCTGCCCGCAGCCTCTGCAGCGCTGGTTCCATCCCGGGCTGCCGGCTGCGGGGAGGGTCCCACATGGCGCGCAGACCTCTCCTGCCAAGCCCACTGCTCCCCTCAGCTGTGTATTTCATCAGTCTGCCTGTTCTCCACTCTGGCTCTGGTGAATTCTCTCGCCCTCCCACGCTTCTGACTGTACCCAGTGCTTGAATAAATGAATAAATAAATAAACATTTAAAATAATAATAATAATAATAAGGAATAGTGGATATTCTGAACCTGGTAGAAGGACTGTCCAACTAATGGATGGATGGTTTGGCTGGTACACTGGCCTAAATGTATTAATAGGACTCGGTTATAGCAGAAACCCCTTGTTGATCATGGGGAAGAGTCCCCTTTCACCTCTCCAGGGAGGTGGGAAACCAGGAAATTTACTCATGATGAATTATAAGACCAAAAGACAGAGATCCCTTCTTACAGAAGGTTTCTGGATATCAGAAAATTATTTTACATTATCATTTGGAATCCTAAGATCCAGATGTATGAACTAATTTATGAGCTGAGTACAGAACCAGCCCACTCTTGATAACGCTCTCCACTAAGAGCATCTCACTTATCAATAAGTAAGGGAGGTCTTATGGCAGAGCTAAACACTCCATCCATCCAGGAACATGTACAAGACAGGAAACCAAAAAGCAGACACCCATGTGTCACAAATGTAGAGAGTGGAGAAAAGTAGAAATAGAAAAAACAAGAAAGAAGAAAGCTTTTGAGGAGTGATTTAATCATATTTTTTACAAACGGCTGTATTTGTAGTATGGAAGAAGACCCAAAAAGGAAGACTTGAGTGGAAATATTTGTTGCTAGAGTCCAAGCAAGAGGAGATAAACATTTAAAATAAAATTTGAACACCTGAGAAAAGCAAAAATTGCTAAAAAATGAACAATGATGTAAAATATATATAAAAAAATAAAATTTGATGTGAGAAATCATGGATTTAATGAGACATATCTCATGTATCTTGATAGAATTTAAACATCATACACGAATTGATTTCCCCGGGACTTGATCTTCTCTTGGTGAACACTCTGAATTAAATTTCTGAAACTATATTTAAGATTAGAATCTAAAAAAATGTCAAGATTCCACTATACCCTGCTGCCCAGTCAGAAAGAGTCAGTCGTGTTCTTAAAATCCTGTTACAAACTCCTCACTTTCCCTTTCATCTTTGGTCTGTGATATCCATCCACAGGTGTTATCCAATTTAATCCTCAAATAGTTCACAATTATCATTTCAATCAGTGAGAAAATGGAGGCTTAGAGAGGTGAAATTATCTAAGATTTATCTAAGATCAATATCTCTAAATGGTAGATCCAGGTCTCAAAACCAAAGTCCAGCTCTTTTTCTACTATGCTGTTTTAGAAAAATCCATTAAAACCTTGGTAGATCTCACAGCAGAAAACAAGTCCAGACATGCAGGTAGGTCATTATCAACACAGAAACCTTTATGTGCCAGGAGGTGAAGATAAAATGACTGAAACACTCTACTCTTAAAGAACTAGAATTTAGTAAAAGGAATCAAACAAGTGAAACATTTTTGTTGTATAAACTTAGATATGCACTCTTTAAAAATTATTTTACCTAAATATATTAATAACATATTATAATCTTTACTTACACCTTGGTACAGATTTAGAGGACTCTTGAGATTGGTGTGCATCACTCTTTGACTTATCTGATTTCCCCTCATCAGCATCCTGATCATCTGGTTCCTTCATTTCCTCTCTAAGTGCAAAATTGAGACAGAAAGAGAAAGAGCTGTTAAGTAGAAATCATGAACAGATTTTTCCCCCTTAACAAGTTCTACAAGTACCAAACACACCACATGTGTTGATGACTGTATGTTTGCAGTAACCAAGTAAACTTTGCCAGCAGGAAGGTAACAGCCATGATCACAGACCAAGGCAGAATCGTAAAGCACAGCCATGTCTTCCCCTTGCCCAGGCAACTCCTCATCACAGTGCCCTCTAGTTTTGCAGTGAGACACACCATTCAGGTCCATCTTTGCCCTACATGTACCATCATTAAAATTAATCCTCTGTTATCCTTCCTTTGTTTCCTCCCCCCTAATCCTCTCTCCATGACCAAATCCCCTTGGTGTCACTAACCAATTTTAAAATATTTGTTAAAATGGTGCTGGGAAAGCTGGAAAGACACATGCATAAAAACCAAAAGTAGATTATTAGTTAATACCATGCACGAAAAATTAGTTCAATGGATTAAAGACTTGGATAGAAGGCCTGGGACCATAAAGTGCATAGTAGAAAGCATAGAAGATACATTCCTGAACATCAACTTCAGAAACATATTTAGGGACTCAATTTTAACAGCAAGGCAAACAAAAGCAAAATTAGCACTACATCAAACTATAAAGCTTTTGTACGGTCAAATAGGGTCAACCCAAAGTTGGGCCACTGAGGCCTAAATGCTTACCACAAGTTTAAAGCACCATCTGGTGGGGAATAGCAAGAAAATGTTAAGACAGGTCTAGGACAAAAGGTGCAAAATATTAATAAAAGTACAAATCAGATAATGTCTGCCATTGTCTCTCAAGGACAGCCTCCCTACATGTTTCTCACCCAAGGATTTTCTCCATGTGTCTTTTCTAAACATCCCACATGTGTTTCTGTGTCTCTGTGTCTCTGTCTCTCTCTCTGTCTCTCTCTCTCTCATCTCCTTCAATTTTCCCCAAGTCCCTAGGTGCAAGTTAAAGCTGGAGAAGCCAGAGTGTGCCGCGAGGTGGCATTACTAAAGTTAGTAACTGGATCCAGGGTCAGTCCTCACTCTTCACAAGCTCAAATGTTCTCTCTCACCAGTGTGGCAAGCTGCTCGTGTTAACATGCATAGAAGTGTGTTGTATAAAAACAGACTCTCAGTTTTTACTTTCCATTGTGATGTACAACTATGGAGAAAAAAACAGCCCCTGTGTTTTGAATGTCTACCATGTGACAAGCAGTTTGAAGAGTTCTCCACATATTATTTCATGTATTTCTCAGAAGTGCTCCATGCATCAGGTGCATTTTACAGATGAGAAAGCAGAGCAATTAATCTTTGAATCAATCATGATGCAACTCACTCAGTTTCCGGTCCTGTTGCCAAGTGCCCAGGTACTAAGCCTTCTGAATTCATCCCTTCCCTTTTATTCCCACTATCACCAGCCTAGCCCTGGTCCTCGTTATGTGTTATCTCTATGGTTGCCACAGCCTCACTCACGCCTGACTCTGCCTTCTCTGACCTCTTTTCTATATTGTCTCTTGCATTTCTAAAACAGTTTTTAATGGGCAGCTCTTCTTGTTTACAACCGCGCATGACTCCTCTTTGCCCTAGACTAAGGCGATCGCTTGGCATGGCACAGAAAGTCCTTCACCCAAAGTCTGTTGCTCCTCTCCTGCTATTTTCTCCTTTCTTAGTCCTTCCCTAGCCCCTTCTCAAAAGTTTTCTTTCATCAGTAACTACCAAGGACAATTCATGACTGACCAGACACACACTGAGTTTTTGTGTGCTATTGTTCTCTACTTGGATGCAACAAATAGTTATTGTACACCTACTGTGTGCCACTTATGTGTTAGGCACTTGTAGGGTAAGGTAAAACGTATCAGGCTTTTCTGCCCTCCCGCCATTAGGATAGATGACGGAACCCTGTGGTCCTGAATGCATGCCTGATGGCGGGCACCTGGAATAGGGTGTGGGCATAGGTAGATGGGATTCACCTGGGCTGAGACTGGGCCTATAAGGGAGGCGTCACCGGGACGCCAGCAAAAGCAGAACCATGACACGAGAGAAGCAGAGACCACCAGCACCTCTACCTGCCGTGTACCTGGTAATCCCAATAAAAACCTGAAAAGCCACTGAGGGCTCCAGGACTCCTCCTTTACCGGGTCAGGTCTGCTGGATCATAGAAAACCTGCTCAGTGTCCTGTCCTGCCGTTTACCTCACATTATCCTATTTAATTTTAACAAGAACCCAAAGAGGGAAGCATTAGCACCTTTCTTAGAGATGAGGAAGCTGAAGTGTTAGAGGGGTCCATTTGCCAAGTAACACACAGCTAAGTGTGGGGCTGGGTGACTTGTTTGACCCCAGATCCCAGGTCCTTTCCTGCCAGCCGCCCTCCTTCTGGCTTAGCCCTGCCGACCTCCGGCTGTCCACTGCCTGGCGTGCCAGGCCAGATTAGGAGCTCCAAGCAGGCAGGAAGTGTGTCCCCCTTGTGTCCACAGCATCAAGCCCCTCCACCCCCTCCTACCCCCCACCCACTACGAATGCTAGTCACTTCCTATGTTTGTTGCTTGGTAGGATGAAGGGATATTTCAGCAGATTGAAGAGCTGTTTCAGCCTAAGAGAAGTCCAAGTGGGATTTGCTTCTCTCTGACTTGCTAACAGATTTGAATGGGAGGGTGTGTGATCCACCGAGGGGGTCCAGACTTACCAAAGGGGCGACTCCGCAGCGTGCTCCCAGTCACAGCTTCTTCCCAAGGCCTGGTTTACTGCGGTTACCACGGCAACGCCCCCACCTCCCGCAGGCAAGATGGCACAAGAAGACGCCTGCGCGTTCCCAGCATTGGCTGGAACGGGGGAGGGGTTGGAAAGACGGGGCGAGCTGTGGTGTTGCCCTAGGGAACATCTGGCTGAATTGTTCTTTGCCGCTGGCTACTTACTGCCCGGTTCAAAGTAAATCTGAAAAGCTCAGCTTTCTGCAATTACCCATTCCCTAAAGATGTTTCTTTGACTGTAAAGTGAAATGACTTTTGAAACTTTTAAAGGCACCTGCACCAAAATACAAAATAGTCCCAGAGGTGCCCAGGGAGGCACTTATTCAGCAAAGACGTTGCTGGGCTTTTCTGGTTTATTTTAGGTCACGTACTCTCTGCAGGCCTGTAAGAGTTAGTAAGATTTAACGTTGTAGGTTCCTTGGTGGCAGGATATGGAAGCACAGAGCACAGGCCTAGTTTGACAAAGTTTCTTGTGCTTACCTCTAGTAGAGCAAGCGCTCATACTGATTTTCCAATACTTAATATATTGGTTACAAAATATTACTTTTAATTGGTTACAAGGTCTTATTTAATATGTGACATTTCTCAGTAATTTCCAAAAATCTTTATACCATACATTCATTGGTAATCAAAATGTTCTTAGTTTTTTCCAGGACTTAACAACAAAACTTTGCCATTAATCTTTAAAAGGTATTTCCAGGTTGCTTGAAAAGTCAGAAAACATAGAACAAACTTAAGTTGCATGTTAGTGACATTTTCAAGTAATATGCGCAATGTTTTCTTTCATCCTCCAAACATTTTTCAGATGAAATATCTCAATTTCAAGCACTGAGTTCTATTGTTAATTTGAGGGAGAAAATATTTACTCCACAATGTCTAAAACTTGGGAGCACTGAAAAGCAGTGTACTTATTTGTGTACAAAAATGTGAGCAGTTAACATTACTGAGTGCTTACTGAGAGGCCCTTCCTGTGAGTCTGCACATTCGCATATTTACCTCACTTCATCCTCACAACCTCACCTGACTTTCAAATAGGAAAGATATAAATTCACACAAGGGGCACAATCCAAGTAAGTGGCAGAGTTGTGTGCTCACCTTGAGAGGACTTACCTCCTATGTCTACCTCAGTTTCTGCATCTGCACAGATATTTCATGCCTCATAAATATGTCGTAAGTTAAAACAGTGCACTTAATAAACAGCATTAAATTCTGCTAAACCAGATGATTTCACTGAAGTGTAGAAATGATAATATAACTGTGGCCTTAATTATTAATCATAGTTTCATGCACTTACAGTCAGAAGTTGATTTCAAGTTGAAATTTGGACAACTTTAAATCATTAGTTTAGTAAATGATTAGCAACTTTCTAGGACATAATGGAGAAGTCCTGTATTTTCAAAACACTTGGTCTAAATACAAAAAACAACCTGAGTTTGGATTAACACAAATGTAGTTCATCACAGTTAAATAAAGCTCAGAGTTACAGCTCATTGGTTCCCTGCAGGGGGCAGGAAGACATAGTGCAGGTTTTCTGATTCAACAGACTGGGTAAAGGAGGAGAGTCCTCAGTGGCTTTTGCAGGCTTTTATTGGGATTTACCAGGCACACAGAAGGCAGGGGGGCAGGGGGCAGGGGGGAAGGATGGGGGAGTGTTTGGGAGGCTGGCAGGCCTCCCAAGCCCCCAGTAAGTCTTCACTCTGGGCTCTCCAGCCTTCTCTCAAGTTCTGCTTTTCTCATGGCCCTGCTTCTCTCTCGGCTTCTGCTGGCGTCCCCGCGCCGTCACCCTTGAAAGCCCAGTCTTAGCCCAGGTGAATCCCATCTATGCATGCCCACAACCTACTCCAGGTGCCCGCCATCAGGCATGCATTCGGGACCTCAGGGTTCCATTATCTATCCTAATGGCGGGAGGGCAGAAAAGTCTGATACTTTTTACCTTACCCTACATTCCCAAACTTGAGAATGCTCCAGAAACACCTGGAAGAATTTATTTTAAAAAGTGTTTCTGGTGGTAGACTATGGGTGCTTGGTGGTAACATCACCAGAAGTGGGGGATCCTATACTTCCAAAATGCAATCAATATAAATCAACACTACCTCAATTAAAAAAAAATAAAGTGTTGCTAATCAGATTAGAGCCCAAGAATTTTCAATTCTAGTAAGTATCCCAGATGATGCTGATGCTACTGATTGGGGTTCATACTTTGAGACCCACTGATGCAAATGGCTCTGAAAGCTGATAATGAGGTCCCAGGGTAGTTTAGCTGAAACCAAACATGCATCAATTTATGATTTGGGGGTGAAAAGTTTCTTTATAAAATTGTTCCCCCAAGCTTGGCTGCACACTTGTAGGGTAAAGAAAATGTCAGGCTTTTCTGCCCTCCCACCATCAGGATAGATGATGGATCCTTGCCCTGAATGCATGCCTGATGGCGGACACCTGGAATTGGGTGTGGGCATAGGTAGATGAGATTCACCTGGGCTAAGACTGTGCTTTTTAAGGGTGGCGTCACGGGGACGCCAGGAGCAGCAGCAGCAGAAGCCAAAGAAGAAGCCGAAAGAGAAGCCGAGAAGCAGCAGAGAACGCCAGAGAGCCCAGATAGAGTAAAGACTTGCTGGGGGCTGGGAGGCCTGCCAGCCACCCGTGCCTGCCATATGCCTGGTGAACCCCAATAAAAGACCTGCAAAAAACCACTGAGGACTCTGACTCCTCCTTTACCCGGTCTGCATGGGATCAGAAAACCTGCACTGTGTCCGTCCTGCTCTACAACACTGAAATCACCTGAGGAGATTTTTAAAAATCTTTGTTTCCCATCCCCACAGGTTCTAATTTAATTGGTCTGTGGTGAGCCTTGGTCATCCGGGGGTTTTAGGTCCCAGATGACTCTAATGGCAGCCAAAATTAAGTACAGTTTTAGAAGGCAAGAAAGGCTCTTTTCTCTACACCTGTTGTTCTTGGAGTTCTTTGCAACCTATTGTAGTGCAAGCAGGCAGGCAAGGCAGGGAGGCCAGAGTGGGCAAGAGGCTGACATGCCTCCCAGTTCCCGGAGAATCTTTACTCTTTCTCTCATGGTCTCTTCCTCTCATAGCTGTGGCTCATCCTCGTGTAGCCGTCCCGCTGTCGCTATTTTTTTGCTTCTGAATGACGTCACCCTTATAGCCTCAGCCTCCAGGCTCAGGTGTGCCCACTTACGCATGCCCATATCATACTCCAGGCACGTGTGCCCGCGCCCACACTCCCAGTGCCTTCTGCATTCAAGGCTGCAGGTGATAGCCACAGCAGCCAATGGCATGAAAGTCTGACCATTTCACTCACCCTACACCTACCTTTGTATTCTATCAGAGAAAATGATCACTAATAGGATGTATGCTTAAATGTCAGTCCCACAGATTGCAAGTGAGTTACAGTAAGTTTTTTTGCATTGATTCCTAACTCTAACACATTAAATTCCTAATTCTAACACATTAAATCACTTTAAGCAGCTTCTAAAAAGATCATGCCAAGGGTTCACCCCCCAGACACAGTTTAGTATTTTTCAAATGCACCCAACATTGAGAATCAGTTTTTGAGGTGTAAAAGAATATAAAAGAGAAAATAAGTGGCAACAAGTTGTTAAACCAGAATGTCAAAAGAAGACATTCACAAACCAAGCAGATAACTTGACATTTTAATGATATAAGGAATAACACTAAAATAGTTTTATCTTCCAGATGGGGATATTATTCATTAAAAACCAAGTTTCAAAAATATAATATAGATGGAAGAATCTGCAATAATGCAAATGAAGACAAATGACCACATAAACAAAATCAATAATACCAGAATTTTATTTTTGCCACAAGGAAGAAGCCTAATCAAAGTTGTATAGGACACCTTCTACACAGTGACTTACAACTAGAGGAGGAGGAAGGCATTATCTGAGAATGTTTTCCAGATAGTTTCAATGTGCTTCTCCCTACCCCACTCCTCCCTCACTTAGGTAGAGAAATCCTATCATGTGTCCCTTGGCAGGTAATTCCCACAGCAAGCTGAAAACAGAAGCCAGGGTCTGAAAGCCAAACAGGTGTCCTGAACGCTGAGTAAATTCAGGGCTGGGAAAATTGACAACATCCTTTTATATTTTATTCTGTTTCAAGCATTAAATTTACCAATTAATCAATGTTAGTGTATTTGAACATCTGAGCTCTATGATCAGTATTTGTCTGATGTACATTACCAATATTGATGGCATCTTCACTTCTAAAGACTACATAAGATTTTTATAATATATACAATCATTCTCACCTGCCTAAGCATATACAAACTCACCTTCCAGGCCTGCTTTTTAATGCCGTACATTCCACTTGATGGAAAAAGTGAGGGAATACAGTGACTTCCCTCAAAACAGAAACCTGCAGGGGGTGTTAAATTTTTCTGAAAGCCTGACTTTAATCACACAGAAGCATTTTATTTTAAGTTATATGCAGAGCAACTTGGTTCTTCAGAAAAACTAAAAATGAAATAGATTAACATTTAAGATAACACTAGATTAAAAACTGAATAGAGATGATAAAGGCAAATATATATTACTCAAACTTAAAATTACTTACAAAATTATTAAAATATAAACTTCAATTTCTCTATAGTCAAAAGTTTATGCACAGGAGGTTGTGAGTTGGTCATATGTTGGAAATCTATTTGAAAAGGTTTAAAAATTAAAGCAGTTGCTTTATTTCTTTGTCCCATTAGTACAAAATCACAATATTTTTATAGCTTTTATCTAAAAGAAGGACACACACACTTGCTAGCAAGAGCAGGAAAGTTCAAGAATACACTCCTGAGAACAAATGCTGTAAAACTCCATTTATGATACGTGTGTAGAAAGTGCAAACCAGCCTTCTTCATTTTGTTTCTCAATCTGTTGAATAAAGATGCAAAAATTAGCTAGAATGTAACCAGGAGCATGACACCATTCAAGATTTATAATTATTTAGACCAAAGACATAGAACCAAAGTTATGCCATTAAATGGTACTACAAATTAAACAGCCAGTGGAAAATTTTATTTTCTAACAGAGACAATCCCAAATGACTGATTCCCTGATAAACATAATTCTTTATTGATTTAGAACATGTAATTTTTTTAAAAAGGTTAAATTAAACCCTGCGTCTTATATAAATCATAGGTACAACTTTTTAAAATGATAAAAGGTCATTTGATATGAGTAAATTTAGTTTGTTACTTAATTCCAGACACTAAGGGCAAATTATATAATTTTCTTTAAAGACTTTCTAGCGTGGGGCCTCCCCCGTCGCGCAGCGGTTGAGCACTGGGCTGCGAAGCTGCCCGCAGACTCTGCAGTGCCGGTCGGATCCCCGGCTGCCGGTGAGGTTCCCACATGGCGCGCAAACCACTCCTCCTGCCGCTCCCGCTGCTCCCCTCAGCAGTGTGCTTTGGTCCTTCTGCCTGTTCTGCTCCCCGCTCTGGTGAATTCTCTCACCCTCCTGCACCTCTGACTGTACCCAGTGCTTGCATAAATAAATAAATAAATCTTAAAAAAATATAAAGATTTTCTAGCATGTAAGAAATAGCAAAGGACAAATCTTCTAGTGCTGGACAACTGGGATATCATCCGAGCCTATCAATTAATCTGGGCTATTAATACTCAGTGTCTACGGAAGTTAGTAATAAAAGTAATAAGTTAGTAATAAGAATCCCCCTCCCCCCACCAGACAACGGTTAGTTCGAGCTTGCACATATTAATGGTTATGAATTTAATGTTGTCCTCACAATTTGTTATGACCAAACACTGAAACTGTTTTGTTCTATTACCTACACAGAAAAATGGCTTTTGCAAAAAGTCTGCCTATATTGTAAGATTATTCATTTCTATACAGGAAACTTAGTTATCCTTTGTGTGATAACCTCTCTAACTGGAGCCACTGAGAAATGGCACACTGGGGTAAAGTGACAAGGAAAGTGACTGACCCCAGGCTCCAGCTGTCACAAACCCCACACAGATACAGCAAGGCTACTGTTCTCTACATGGAGAACCAATATCCCAGCCCCACAATTTGGGAAGTTCTGCCAGAAACTAGCAATTACCTGTGTTTGGGGACTATCCCTTTATTACTATAAATGTTCATGTCTTATTTTTTTTTTCTAATTAGGATGAATTAGTATTTCCCTTCTTCTGAGGATTTTATAACATCCTTAGTATTAATAAATTAGGAATGGAAATCATTAAAGCAGCTACCATTCATCCTCACCCTCCCGACCCCTACACACATTTCACAATTACATTTTATCATATACCTTTGCTCTTGGATTAAGAGGTGTGAGTCGCCCACTTCCTGAGGTAGTGTTTAATGGAGAACATGAATTACTTGCAGCCCCTGAAGATCTACTTAATGAGAAAGAACAAAGAGTAAGAGAGTGATCTATCACTACTAACCTTTAAAAATTATGTAGAAGCTTGAAAAGGCATGGCTAACTTAGGCCCAAGTGAGTATTTCAAACATGTTTTCCCTAAACTAAATCTTTTTTAAATTAACAGATTTCGCCCCCCAACTCAGCTCCCCCTATTATTAACACCTTGCATCAGTATGGCACATTTGTTACAACGGATAAAACAACATAGATATATTATTATTAATTAAGCCCAATGGTTACATTAGGGTTCAGGTTTTGTGTTTTACACATTCTGTGGGTTTTGACAAATGTATAATGACACATATCCCCTATTATAGGATCACACTGATAAGTTTTTAACATTAAAGGAGAAAATAGATGTGCAGAGGTGGCGAGAAGGACAAGGAAGCAAGAGTCAGGAGACTTGGAGCAGCACATTGCAGCAGCTAGCATGAGAGTAGAGACAGAGTAGCAACCTCCTGCTGTCACCATTTACCAACCACGTGCCCATCTAGGCAAACTGCCCAATTATGTCTAAAAGTTCGGTTTTATTTAACATAAGGAAGGAAAACACTACTGGTCAATGTCCTCACTCTGTCTTATATTACCTCCTTGTAACCCATAAAGCATTCTAGAGATGTGCTAGTATCCCATTTTTGTTTTCAATAGCCAACCCATGCCTTCTTACTTAAGGTTTTTTCCTCTACATAATTGAGTCTGTCTGAGCCTAAGTCAAATGACATCCACTTCTTCATAAAGAATGAAATGCAAATCATATTTCTGATTCTTCTTAAGGAAACCCTACCTTCTTGTATTAATCCCACTGGTAGGAGAGACAGTGCTGCATTTTGAGCTTTCTGATGAGGCTTCTGCTCCTGGAATAGATACCTCAATTGTCCTCTTTCCTCCTTCTAAAATATAAAAATATTGATTTTAATTGCCTTTCATTAAAATAAAAATTTAACAATTTCTATCTTATTGCAAATTCACATTATAAATTTGGTGGTTCTTTCTATATTTTTAATCATTATGGCCCACAAATACACTTGAAATCTTTTTAGAAATGAACTGTGAAACAATAAATTTTAGTTACGAGCATCAATTCAGTAGCATGCCAGTTCACAGAAAGGCAGCATCTTCAGATGCTGTCATGTCAGATCTGGAAGTGAAAAACAGAAATTAAGAGCTAGCCCCCCAAACTTGAGATTTTTGTCAAAAGTAGATTATCAAGGGTTTTCCCAAAAAAAAAAAAGGAAAAAGAAGGAAATTTTCTGAAGTCATTCAGTAAAACTTTAAGTCTTCTAAATTTATCCCACTACTACTCTTACTGAAGAAATCAAATTAGGAAAGTTTGCTGACAAGTTCATACAGTCAATGGCAAATATAATTATGTACATTTTCAGTATTTTGGAAGTAGGCAATCAATCAGCAAATATTTGCTCAACATCTGTTAATGAAAGAGTTCATGTCCATCCCAGGCAGTTTCACATTGGCTCCTAAGAATCGCCACTTAAAACTTGTGACTTCCAGATTTCAGGGGATAATGAAACCCTATTTAATTCTCTAACATATTCCTCAGTTACCTTAGAAAACAAAAGAGATTTTGTATGGCATGTGATTTATTTTTATTATTATAGCCCACAGAAGCTTCTGTGAACTTAACAAAAGAATACACTAAAGTTTAAATCACTGGAATTAAAAGAACAATCATAGATCTATCAATTTACTTTAGAATTTCAGACAAATCGCTTAAAACTCCGTGCCTCAATTTATTTATTAAATGGGTATGGTATCAGTGCTATCTACTCTCAGGATCTGAATGAGACTAAATGAGGTAACAGTAATCAATGTATTTTTAACCTTAAAGAACAACTGAAACAGCTGTCTCATTTAATCACAAATTTATTTTGAGAAGGTACCTTCTTTTATTTTTCTTTATCGCATTTAGCGCTGACATTATTTCATATATTTATTTGCTAAATTGTTTATTGTCTGCTCTCCAACTTGAATACTAGAGTGATCAAGCTGGGAGGGACTTGTCCTATTCTACATAGTAACCCCAGTGCTCAGACATGGCAGGTCACAGTAGGTGTTCATATGTTTTAAGTTATTTCATTTGTTCATTCTAATCAGAAGCTGCCTCCAGACTTTGTAACTATGAAGAACAGTGAACAAAGCTGTTCTTTGAAGAAGCCTAGAATAAAGAAAAATGAAGAGTCCCAGGAAAATGCATTATTTGTCATTTTCCAGTAATTTCCAAAAAAGTCTGCTTTCTGTGTTTGTACTTTTAAAAAAAAGAACTTCTAAGAGAAAAAGTATTATTGGCAGAAACCTTAAAAGTAACCCACTTTGGGGCCTCCACGGTGGCGCAGTGGTTGAGTGCTGGGCTGCGAAGCTGCCTGCAGCCTCTGCAGCGTGGGTTCGATCCCCAGCCACTGGGCGAGGGTCCCACATGGCACGCAGACCTCTCCTGCCGCCAGCTGCTCCCCTCAGCAGTGTCGTCAGTCTGCCTATTTTGCTCTCTGCTCTGTCTCTGGTGAATTCTCTCACCCTCCAGTGCTTCTGACTGTACCCCATGCTTGTATAAATAAATAAATAAATCTTTAAAAAAAAAAAAAAAACCCACTTCAGCGAGCTAGAGGACATATGAATCTAAAACACCAATGCTTGAATATCTCAAGGAAACATACCACTTATTGCTACAGAGCTTTTTCTATACCTAATAATTAGACTAAGCCAAAACTGTTCTCTCTATAGCCTTCATGCAGCTCTACCTGTTGAGGGTTAACAATTAATTTTGACTAAAAAGCAACTTGAGATCTACTTCATTTCATCGTACCTTTTGAATGTGAATACTATTTTAGCCAGTTTTTAGTTAATATTCTTAGAATCCCTTCATCCCTTCTAGCTTTTCACATTCCTAAATGTGTCTATAAAATGGAAAGTTTAGCTTACAAATGAAAACGTTTTAATGGTTTTAACAGAATAACTTGTAATTTGTTACTGATGAAATTCTAAATTATGATTTTGAATGTCTATATTATATAATTAGCCACAGCATATATCCTAAGCGAGTATTATACTGTCATGAATACCATTTACATGGAGGGCAACTTCAGAACCCAAACACCAAGATTAACTACAGGCATCCTCGGATCACTTTCTATCAGGAAACTGGCTTTCTGGTCCTATTTCTGTCACTTATTCTGTGTTTAGGTCTATTTCTTTCTGTATAAAATTGGCAACACTAAACTACACGCTGCCTGAGATTTCTTTTAACTCAAAATGTACTAAAAAAGTGAAAACATTCATACATCCGACTTTTAAAACATGAATTTGTGACCAACCAGTCCATGCTCTGAGAGGTGACTGAACAGGTGATGGTCGTGAACAGGGGGGATCCAAACCAATAAGTTTCTGCTGCTCTATTAACTGCAGGAGTTTTCCACGAGCCTCCATACTCTGCCGATTCAATTCTGCAATCCGTTCCTCCATGCTACTTGATGTTAGAGGTTGTGCTGCTGGAAATGTCTGTTTAAAAAAGGCATAAATTCCATATCAGAAACAATCCAAACAGTTTTGACTTTTTATAAAAGTAAACTCTTCCACTAAGAGCCGAAAACTTAATATTCATAGCCCTTGCAATGTCAACTTGAATAATGGACAAAGAAATTTACAAGTCACTTAATTAAAAAATAAGACATTAAGCAAAAGAATACTAATTGTTCTAATATTGATGCCTCTGTAGTCCCAAGGTCCATGGAGAGAATCCATAGAACAAAGCTTTCCTGCATCTGTGTTTGCTGAACTACATAAAAAGATTATATGAACTCCAAGTGACCTGGTTTCTAAGTAACACACCTATTAATGTGTTAGATCTAGGGTTTGAGTCACAATATACAAAAGAGGATCTGCGGGAGTACAAACAGATGTTCTAAAATTATAATCATCGGGCCTCTCTGGTGGTGCAAGGGGTTAAGACGCAACCTATAAAGCTATCTGCAGCCACTGCAGCACAAGTTCGATCCCTAGCCAGAGAGCTACCCACATGGCGCAGCAGACCTCTCCTGTCTTGCCCGCTACTCCCCTCAGCAGTTTATTTCACTCAGTCTGCCTGTTCTGCTCCCCACTCTGTCTCTGGTGAATCCTCCCCCACCCATGCCTTTGGCCTGTACCCCAGTTCTTATATCCATAAATAAATAAATCTTTTTTTAAAAATTTAAAAAATAAAAAATAAATAAAATTATAATCATCATACATGCACCATGAGTTAATTAACACAGATTTCTAGGAAACTTATCTAACCGTGTATCACCCTCCCCAAGGCATGTCGGTCTAAGATATCTGATTCAAGACAGTTGGTGGCTGGAAAGGAATATGAGCGATAAAGTTTAAAAAAAAAAAAAAGCCATCTAAAAAGTAGAACACAAAGTTTTTCATTTGACTGCTTTTGGCCAGGGTCATTTACAGGAATCTTTTGTTTCTCAAGTTTAGTGAAATATATAATCATTTTATATAAAAATAAAAATATCAAATTTGAAACCTCACCCAAACTAGGATTCTGATGTTATAGAAAAATCAATGAATTAGACATTAAGATAGCTAAAGCCAATGATCTCACATTACCTTATACCACCTCACTTCCCAGTCACCTGGAGGGCATGTAAAAATAGGGCTCAATGGGCTCCATCCTTAGTTTCTGATTCAGGAAGACTGGGATGGGCTGAGTCTCTGAGTTTCCAGCAAGTTCCCAGGGCTGATACTCTAGTCCAGGAATCAAGTTCCTGTAAGTTTACTGCCTAAAACACCTATAAAAACTTAGCACCAGCTCCATCACACTCAGTAGCAGAGAACACTGGTTCTGTCAACCACTACTATCATACAAGTATCCCTCATCAATTCTTAACAGGTACTCACAGCCGTCATACTGCTTGCATGACTTGTCTCCAGCTTGTTTAATTCCCGAAATCCATCCCCTTGGTCTCCCCCTGGTACAATAATATTATTCAGATGTGCCTTGATAGCTGAATTCTGTAGTGTCAACTCAGCAATTCGTGTCATGATGTCTTTTCTTTGTGTTAATGCCTCACTTGTAAGCTGTTGCCCATCTCCCAATACTGGGGGTTCTTCTGAGAATGCAGGGCTTCCCGAATGGGAATTACAGAGGGGCTGTGAGAGAGTAACGAAAGGAACCTGGATTTTGTTCTCCAAATCTTCTCCCATATGAGAGACCCTCCATCTCTGAGTGAAAAGAAGACTTTCTTCATTTGAAATCTGAATGTCTGTGGCAGTAGGTAAGGTCTTCTTTTCCCAATTTTGTTCTTTCTCAATTATTTCCACAGTTGGAGGAATTCGTGGGGCAGGACGAGTTTGAACAGTTCTCCTCAATACTGTAGATAAAATTAAAGCATAGTAAACATGTATCATTTAGCCATAGAATGATACTCATTAACCTCATTGGCCATCATAATAAAAGTTTGGTGATGACTTAGTTTACATTTCTTAAATGTTATGGGTAACCAGAAGGTCCAGGGAGGAAAGTGAAAAGAGCAGTAAGCAACTGTGGTAGTCTAGAAGAAAAATGATAGCAGCTTTGACTAAGATATGTTGGCTCTAGAGATGAAGAGAAGTAAAAAAATGGAGGCATATTTTGGCGATAGAACTGAAGAGTGATGAACTGGAAGTAGTGAGAGAGGAAGAAACACAGATCAAGATGACACACACAACTGAGTGGGCAGAGATGTCATTTACTGAGATGGAGAATATAAGGAAAAAAACAGATTTGGGGGAAGGGAGGTAATCAAGAATTCTATTTTGAATGTAAGTTTGTAAGTCTCTTATGATTCATCCACGTACCCATTCAAGCAGATGGGCAAATAGGCCAGAAACTCAAGAGAGACATGCAGTCACCAGCATATAGAAGGAATTGGAAGCCATAAGTTTATCTAGAAAGAATAGAGAATAGAGCACCTGAGGAACTCAACATTTAGAGACAGATTAATGAGGGAAGCTAGCAAAGCAGACTGAAATGGAGCAGCTGGAATGAGAAAAAGAAATATTACAAGGATGTGGTATCGAGGAAACAGCAATATGTACTTCTATAAGAACTAATGACACAAGGACAGATTTAGTACACTAGACTTAATAGGTTGGCCTCTGGAGCCCTCAGATGACCTGATCGGGAATAGTGGGAGGTAGATGCATATAGTTCAAGACTACAGACTGAACACACATTTATCTCACCTTTCACTGACAGCAAGAAACTATAAAAATAAATAAACTCGCTTCAGTTAAGATAATGGCCTGGAAATGAGGCAAATAAGACATGTAACATGTTCTGGAAGATTGAGAGTGGGTGGAAAGTATGTGGAAGAATGAAATAGAGCAGAAGTCACAGTCCAGAGTATGTATATGTTACAAGAAAGCAAAAGGCGGGCCTCCCTGGTGGCACAGGTGGTTGAGCGCAGCGCTGTGAAGCTGTCCGCAGCCTCTGCAGCGCCGGTTCGATCCCAGACAGCCGGTGAGAATTCCACATAGTGCAGCAGACCTCTCCTGTCTCACGCCCACTGCTCCCCTCAGCAGTGTTATTTTGTCAGTCTGCCTGTTCTGTTCCCCACTCTGTCTCTGGTGAATCCTCTCACCCTCCCGCATATCTGGCCTGTACCCTGGTTCTTGTATAAATAAATAAATCTTTAAAAAAAAAAAAAGGAAGCAAAAGGCGAAAGTCCGTCTTTCTGAGGAACAGGACTAAAAGGGAGAAAATGAGAAGCAAGACTAAAAACTAGAGAATTATTACTTCAAAGTCTGTCTATTATTCAGTTATGTCAGTAAAACTGTTGCTCACCCCTTCCCCCACCCATCCTCAAAAGGAAAAAACAGAGTTGGGAAGAGCAAATGTGAGTCGCAATAAATAGCTTGACCTGATATAAGCTCTGGAAAGAAGCTTGTGGTTAATAAAAAGCATGTCCACAAAGCAACTTCTTAAGGGAAAATCTACCAGGAAAACAGACCTAGACTTACACACATTACAGAAGAGAAAACTTGTGTCAGCTACATAGTCATTTATTCTTAAATAATAATGGACAATAAAGGATCACCAGACATATGAGGAAAACCACCAGTACAAAAGAGTAACACCAAACAGAAAATAAAATGAAAAGTTATAGCTCCAAAAAAAAAAGCATGTAGATATAATTTACAATGCATATAAATACAATTTTCCAAACAATGAAGCAGCCCAGATAACTTCTGAAAACCATCCATGAACCCCAAAGTTAAGAGTCTCTGAGTTAAGAATTAAAAATAAAAATTTTTTAAGTTACTCAAAACCATATATATATATATATATATATATATATATATATATACGCTACAAAAGTAACTCTAAAGCCTCTTTTTTAAATTGAGGTTTATTGGTTTACATTGTTGTTTGTGCTTTAGAGGTGTAGGATTTTCCCCTTTAGGTGCTGCTGCCACACTGCCCAGCCAACAAAGCACCCACAATCCTCCACCATGGCCCATTGTGCTCCCTCCTCATCCTGTTCACAACCTTTCACCTCTGGTAGCCTCAGCATTATAGTCAGTTTTCTAGGGTTTGGTCTTAGTTTGGCTTCTAAACCATTTTTAGTTGTTCATCAACTTTCATTATAAAATTTCCTTGAGTGAGCTTATAACCTTTGGTGAGAAGAGGTTAATAACCAGATCTGTCTTACCTTCTCCTGTCTCAACTTCCATTAGTGTCTGTAGTATATGGCTCCCCCTTGTTTCTTATCCCTTCCTATGCTCCTGAACCACTGCAAAGAAAGGAATGCCCCTTACTCTGCAATTCAGTGGTGAGGACTTTGATCCTTTGATCTGAATTTAATATTTACAATATCCAATGGATACATAATGAAATTCAATGTCACATTTCACCATAGGTACATAGCACATATAACATAAACTGCCCTGAAAAATCCTCTTTCAGTTTAAAGGTTTTCTATGATAATCAATAGCTTTCTAAATTCTGCTTAGTAACAATGAACACAATTCATTACATATGATGCATAAAAAACAAAGGCCACAAATTTGAGGAGAAGCCTGCTCACCATCCTGCAGCGGAGAGAATTCTGAGTTGCTCTTCTGCCTGGGAGGTGTCAGCAGCACCGCTGGCTCAAATAAATGTCCTGGGATATTGTTACCCAGATTCATACTCTCTGGAGGGTTTGGCACCTGGGGCAGTTTTATAGGCAAGTCTTCCTGTGGGAATTCAGCCATTTCCTCCCCTCTGAACATCAAAGGCACTGAGACATTAGCATTTACCACTGGGCCCTCTGAGGAAGAGAAGAGATAATAGTACTTGAAGGAATTATGAACATATTTCAGTTCTTTATTTAAATGCATTTTTGTAAAGGGCAAAGTCACACAGTATCCAGAGCCGTAACTGCCTAGATTATTCCCTCCTTTTGCAGTAACTCACAGGCAAGGCTCCTGTGGAACCAGCTCTGGGAAGAAGGTGGTATTTTTGAGAAAAGTCCTGATGACATGCCCTAGTCACTGAGTTTATTTCATGCAAGTTTAAGTTTAATTAGTTACTTCTTGGAATCCCTCATAAGAAAATACTCCTAAATATATAAAACACTTTACACAGAGACACTCATCAAAGTATTAGTTAGAAAAAATAAGAAAAGGGCAAAATGTTTATCTACATCTCTACAATCTATAGCATGTGCTGTGAAGAAAACTTTCAAAAACATCACCACAAAGGTATACATTTCTAAAACTCAGTATTTTCTTTTCTTTCTAAGACCATCTCTTCTACTTCTAAACCTGGATTCAAACTCTTAAAACCATGATTAAAATTCTGGTTCTCAGTTTTCACTAGCCTAGGAAACTAGTTCTGCTATTTTCTATTTTTGTTATCAACCCTCTCTAAGCCCTTAGTTTTCCTCATCTAAAAAAATAGGGATAACCAGTACCTATCTCAGAAGACTATTATGAAGATTACATGAGATAATACATATAAAACACTTACAAAGTACCTGACATAGAGCAAGTATCCAATAAAATTAGCTGAAAATTACAGTGACAATAGTAGTAATGAAAATGCTATACATGCCTAACAGCCAGTAACTCCACATAAGTTTAGGGTTGTGTTCATTCTGTTGATGCCACTCTGATAAAAATAAGACCACACTCACCGGGATTATCTACAGTTCTTCCATTCATGGCCCCTCTTTCTGATGTCTGACCTTCTGTGCTGTTATTTATCACAGGACAGTTCTTAATGGCATGCGTGAGAGATATAAGTTGCTCATCTGTTGTGACCATGTACTGCTGAAGTCTCACCTAGAGAAAAAAAGAATGAAAAAACATCCTATCAGACATCAATATCTATATCTAATCATATCATTATTTTAAATATTCTTGGAATTTCAGACCTTTATTCAAATATTAACATAATACATCCCCAGGAAACCATAATTATAAAAACTTTTAAAGTCCTAAGATAGAGGAATGGTTAAATTTATGTAATATTATTATTAATTAATAAATCCACTATTCCAATTATAAGAATTAGCCTTTTTATAGGGCTTCAATTTACAAAATCTCTTTACATAGATGAGAGCAACTGACTCTTCTCAAGATATTCCAAGACACAAATATATCAGGAAGAGGAATCTCAGCAGCATATTACATAAGCATTTACACTGATAAGCACAAACACTGTTTAGCATTCATGGTAATATACATAAAATAATATTAAGAGAAAAAAGAAAACTATATATGCAATATGATTACAACTTTGTTTTAAGTATTTGTGAGGACTATCACTTTATTTTATGTATAGTATATAAACATATTCTCATATCTACTTAACATACACAAATATGTATCTCCAAGATGTATAGACATTGACAAAAATCAGAAAATCAGATGTGTTGAGAAGTCAGAATTACTACTACTGAATGATTTCATTCTAAACATTTTTATATAAGCCCCAATTATTTCCCAAATTTTATACTCATATCTCCAGTGGCCTACTCAACATCTCCCTCTAGAACTCAAACGGGTTCCTCAAACATAAAAGGCACAAAACCAAACACCTCTGATCTAGTCTTAACATAGCAGCCCAGAGCAATCCTCTTAGAATAAGTCAGATCATGTGTCTTCTTTACTTAAAACCCTTCAGTGGTTTCCCATAAAAGCCCAAGTCCCTACCCAGTCTGCACGGCCCACATGATCTGGCTTATTTGCTCTTGTCTCCTACTACTCTCTGCTTCCCACATTCCACTCCTACCACACTGGTCCCCTAGATGTTTTGGAGTTCCAAAGCCACACAGCTACCTCAAGATCTGCACTTGCTGTCTGTCTGCTTAGAAAGCTCTTCTCTCAACTATCTTTATGCTCACTCCCTTACCTCTTCAGGCATTCTCTCAAATGTCACCTCCTCAGACAGCATAACCCATTCACAACTTTCCACAACCGTAGGCACTTCCCATGCCTTATCCCTGCTATATTTTTCTTTACAGCATGCACAACCATCTAACTTACAATATACATCACTTTTTATTAAGAATTTATTTAGAATGTAAGCAAAGATTTCTTTTTTATTCACTACTATATCCCCTGTCCTTAGAACAATGGCAGGTCCACAGCAGGTACTCAATAAAGATTTGTGGGACAAAACACTACATTTTAAAACTGTCCATCTTCCCAGAAGAACTGAAAATATATGTTTATGCATACTACCATATTGGAGTAGTTGAAGGTACATGAATGTTCAAAGCATTATTCATTCACAATACACAAAGAGGAATCAGTTGATGAATGAAGTATATCTATATAATGGAATGAAGCAAAATAAAGTATAGCTATATGATGGAATATTATATGGAAAGGAATGAACCAGCATGGATGATACTTGAAAAACTGCTAAGTGGAAGAAGTAACAAAAGACAACATGTTGCATGACTCCATATATAAAATATTAAGATTAGGCAAATCTATAGAAACATAAAGTAGAATTGTGGTTGCCAGGGCTAGGGTAGGAGACTAGGAAGTGATTACTAATGAGAATGGCATTTCTCTTCAACATGATGAAAATATTCAGATGGTAATGCTGATATACAACTCAAAGAATATATTAAAATCCACTAAGTTGGGTGGTTTTAAAAGAGAAATTGATATATAGCATGCTATTAATATATAGCATGTGAGCTATATATCAATAAACAAATTGCATATTTTACATCTAATGTCCACTGACACAAACACAAGTTGTCTACTAATTGTTCTTTTCCAGTCTCTTTTGAATGATGAATAAAAGGAATAACCATCATTTGAGGAAAAAATGATGAGTAAAACCTTCTTTGCCCTTAGCAGCTCAGTCTTGATGACAGGTACACATGAAAATCTAACAATTTGGTAAATGCAGTAAGAGCACTATCCAGACAGTATCAGACATGCATGAAGGAAAAATACTTAATGTAGCATGGAAGCAGCAAGGTTTTCTAGAAGAAAAACTGTTTAAGCGTGAAAAAAGAAAGAAACATGTCATTTGAATTGTCCAGGCAAGTGGCAAAGTGGACTTATCTAATAAGTAAGATGATACTGCAAATAAAATGTAATTACAGGACAGCATCTCAAAGGGTATTCTCCACTGACTTGAAATTAAAAGTAACTATCATAACACTGATGTCACGTTTTAGATAAACCATTTTAGAATAACTATGTAGTTATTTAAAAGTAGATTCTGTCTTCCTCACTCAATAGTAAATTAAAGACAGTAGACATATTCTATATACCATCTGTAGTCCAAATTTCTACTACTGTACTTCAATATAATAAATGCTCAATGTAGTTACCACTGCTGATAATAAAGAGCTAATAAGTAATCACATAAGCATAACTAAACTAAAGGCAGCTAGAAAGAAATTACACACATTCTTCAAGATTTTCTTACTACTAAACACAGTAAAGTTTGGATCTCATTGGAATACCTGGATAGCAGTATTTTCTTCTCTAAGAAGAATAATTTCAGCTGTCAGAGCATCAATGAGATCACGATGATCACCTAATACTTGTTCCAGTTGCTGTCTTGTCTCTACTTCTTTACGCAGCTGTACCTCACTCTGCAAAAAAAAAAAAAAAAAAAATTTAAAAACATCAAATGAACTCCCATCACTATAATTATAAGTTGAAAACCAAAAGTTTCTACTCAAGGCTGTCAAAGAAGGTAATACTTACAAAGAGTATATCTTACAGGACAGTAATGAAATTAAGTATTGTTATTAAAAGATTTATATTTACATTAAAAAATACTCCTTTATCTACTCCTTTTTTAAACAGAGTACAACAAACAAAATGGCATACAGAATTTAATAACTATAATTTTTGTAGAACAAAGTGGAGGGAAATACAATACATGCTTGAATATACACAGACCATGTCTTCAAGGGCACAATGGTATCTGAAAATGAGTGTTGGCTACAAGGAAGCAAAAAGATTAAATAGAAGTTAGAGGTATGGATTAGTTTTCATTTTACACCCCTCTGTATCTTTGAATCCATACCAGGTGAAGGTATCACCAATTCAAAAATTAAGTTTGTTAAAATATAATTAAAAACAAAAAGTATAAATGATTTAACTTTGGAAGGCAAGTGATAAGATTAAAAAGTACATGCTTCTATGTCTGTACTTCTTTCAGAGAGTCAGAAGTATACTCCTAGAGATTACTGATTTAAAGGAAGAAGAATGTTAAGATTGTCATTTAGTCTAATAACAACACAATAAATCTTTGCTGAAAAGCAATTTTAAGAAAACAACTCCAAAAAAAATGGAAACATCTAAATTAGGCTAGTGAATCAATTTTTTTAATGACAAATTTCCTTAAAAAACTTTTGTTTTGGGCTTCCCTGGTAACACAGGGGCTAAAGACACAGAGCTATCACCTCACTGCATCATGAGTTTGACCCTTATCCACGGAGATAATCCACATGGTGCAGCAGACCTCTCTATCCTGTCTCACCCACTGCTCCCCTGAGCAGTGTATTTCTACAGATCCACCTGTTCTGCTCCCCATTCAGTCTCTGGTGAATCCTCTCATCCCCCACACATCCAGTCTACACCCCAGGTCTTGAATACATAAATAAATAAATCTTAAAAAAATTTTTTTATTTGTTTACCAAATTTAAATACATAAAAATAAATAATAGCTCAAATAGATTTTATAAAAATAGATAACTAATTCCACAGCACTCTAAGAACTGATTATTATTCACAGATGAATTTTAAAAACAACTGCTTGTTTTATAAATTATTTTCAAAAAATATCTCCACTTGAGACACTGAAGCAAAGTCAAAGTTACCAATCATATAGAAAATATGAAGAAGTGAAATTAAGTGGGAGCAAGAGAGTACATATACTAGTTCTGCTTGATCCAGATAGAAATATTTAGTGTTAGGACAAGATTAATAACAGCTTTATCTTAGTATATTTTACTAAAACTCATTTATATCAACATCATTTACCTGAGTAGGTATTTAGGTTTCTCAACATGTAGAGGGTAATTAAGAGGAAAATCTTCACTGCAAATATCTACAACTGAAGTACTTTAAACAAAGCTATTCAAATTTGACTGTATTTGCTTTGGAGGTCAAATAAATTAAGTATAGATCACAAAAACCCCACACATTTCAGCCAGTACTGTGAAGAGAAGACCCTTAACAATCTCATGTTCTTACCTCTTTAAGGTACCGAACCAGACGACAGAGGGAGCTCACCAGTGACAAAGTGAAGCCTGTCAGACCCTTACTGCCCTGCAGTCCCTTGACCTCACGTCCAGTCCACCGCTCATATTCTTCCATTTCATGTTCCACTTCATGTATCATGTGTTTGAGGACATCCAGGCTGGGATTACTGTGACTTGGGTCTGTGGAGGCTGTGCTAGCTGCTAACATATTTTTCTTCTGCTTGGAAGGATCATGCAAATCCGGTTTTCTTTTCACTAATAACGACACAGTTACTGTATTTTAGGACCAGGGAGAATGATACAAGAAAACTACTAGAAAAACCTTTGACTGTTGTATACAATTTATAGATAGATGACTTTACAGAAGTTATAACTTTATAGAAGTCACCATTTTCTCATAAAAATCCTATACAGTGCAAATCAGCTTTTCACTACCTTTAATGAATGTATTAGAATCATCCTTCTACAGAGTTACATGGGCTAAAAGAAGGTATTTCTTAGTGACCATTCAACAAACTTTTATTGAGGTGGATTCAACTGGATGAATTTAAGGGAGAAAACATTTATTTACTAAGAGGGTTGACAGGTATGTAAAATTACATGTTTAACAATTCAGCTCTGTAATATAAAAGACTGCACCTTTACATAACAACTGTTTTTGTTTCCTTGAGTTCAGCACTTGTCCCACAACAAAGCTTGAGTCTAGAGTCTCAGAAGCTTCTTCAGACTGAAGCCTGGTGTGGACTCTCTTGACAGCATTGGTAGCATTCAGAGCAGCTAAAAGGAAAAATATTTCTAAATATATCTCAACAATATACACAAAAATATTTTAAAACCTATTAATTGAAAGATCAATCAGTATTTTACTAAATTTGGTGAAGACAGTCAAAACTCAAATAACATTTCTTTAAAAAATATCATGTTTAAGAAAGAACTTAATACAAGTTACTCCTTATGAAAGAAGATACAATGAGAGAATAAACCTTTTTGTTCCCCTGATGGAGAGGCAGATGATGGAGTTCCTGGAGAGGTTGTTACTTGTGACTGTGCTGCTATTTTCTGCTGTATATCAGTCCACAGCTTATTAATTAACTCAGAATTATCTTCCTTTAGTTGATGGAGAAATCTATAAGTTAGGAAACAACAAGCTATATTAGAATTCATAAATGATATCACTTAAATTGTTCAACTGCTTACATATTTGATCTGAAGGAAGCTCTAATAATTCGGTCAAAGAAAAAAAATACACTTTGCTTTAATACATAAAATAAAGAGCTAAAAAACAATCTTTTGGTGTCAAAAGGAATTATCCCATCTCCCTCCCTATACTGGCTCCTAAAGCAAAATCATTCTGCCCTTTCTACAGCTCTATGGCATGGGTTCCATTCTCCTTGCTTTCTCAAGGGAAAGTATATAGCTTGGTCCCTTGTTTTCTCTCTCCTAGAAAGGAGCCTATCTGCAGAACAGTCACTGCTCATCACGGAAGCCATTACTGGAACAGACTCTGCCTTGTGTATCAGGGAGGGAGGAGACAGAGAAGAAGAGCTGTAGTACAACTTAGAGAGCTAAGTCATTTGTTGTAATCATCTTTATTACTGACAAAGCTGATCTCTAGTTGTTTGACTCAATTGTCTATTTCTCAGTAAAACTGAAATTTAAAAAAGTGGAAAAACTTCAAATATTCACAAGCTGATGAATGGATATTCCACACAGTGGAATATTACTGAGCCATAAAAAAGACTGAGTATATGCTACAACATGTATGAATCTTCACATCATGCTAAGTGAAAGACACCAGACATAGATGGTGGCATATTACATGATTCTCTGTATATGAAATGTCCAAAATAGGCAAAGCTACAGATACAGAAAATAGATTAATTTAATAGCTTAGCTAGGACTGAAGGGTTTGGGAGGAAATGGGGGTCTCTGTTTATGAGTATGGGATTTCTTTTGAGGGTAATAGAAATTATAAAATTCATTTTAGGTTGTACAACTAAGTAAATTACAATGGATAAGTTTTATGGTATGTACCTCCCTGGAAAAAAATAAATAAAAAAAAAGAAGGGGAATTTTTTTTAATTTTTATTTTATATATTTTTTACATCATTTTTCACTTTTGTACAATGTATGTATTTTCATCTTGGTTATTGTCCCTGTAAAATTTTCACCCCTCCTTGTTTTGATCCTACTCCCTACCTCCCCCGCTGAATGTGTCTCTGGTTTATAGTTGCCTGTTGATTTTGATTTTTACTTTATTATAATTAGTCTTTTTCCTGATCCCTTATTTAGGTTTTCTAAATTCCTACTACAAGTGAGACCACCCAGTATTTTTCTTTTTCTTTCTGGCTTATTTCACTGAGCATGATCCAGAAGGCAAATTTTATTTAATGACTCTATGGCAGGCTTAAGAATGGCCCACAAAAAAAAAAAAAAAAATACACACAACCTACTCCTTGGAAACTTGAATGATACTTTAACTGATTAAAAGGGGACTTTGATGTGATCAAGTTAAGGGTCTGAAAATAGGGAGATGATCTTGGAATATAAGGGTGGACCCTAACTGCAATCACATATATTCTTATAAAAGGGAGCCAGAGCAAGATCTGACACACACACAGGAGAAGGCGATATGAAGACAGAAGCAATACTGGAATGATTTAGACACAAACCAAGAAACACCATCAACCACCAAGTGACAGAGGCAAAGAAAAGGATATCCAGAGGGAACGTTACCATGCTATTACAATGATTTTGGTCTAATGAAAGTGATTTCAGATTTCTGGATACCAAAACTGCGAGAGAATAAATTTCTATTGTTTTAAGCCACCAAGTTGGTGGCAGTATGTTAAAGCAGACCCAAAAAACGAATACAGATTTTGGTATCTGCACATGAGATATTTGTATAGCTAATGCCTAAAAGTGTAGATATAGCTTTAGAATGGGATAATGGGTAGAGGTTGGAAGAATTTTTAGGTGAGTGGCAGAGAAAGCCTACATTGCCTTAAACAGACTTGGCAGAAATATGAACGTTAAAGACATCCAGTAAGGTCTCAGAGGAAGTGAGGAGCATAGTAGAGAAATCATGTATCATCTTAAAGAATAACATCATTGTGCATGGTATGCTGATATAAATATGAATATTAAAGAAGCTTCGGTGAGGGCTCAGAAGGAAATGAAGAACATGTCATTAGAAAATGAAAGAAAGGGCGCCCTCTTATAAAGTGGTAGAAAACAGCCTCGTTGTGTGAAAAGCAGAACTTGCAAGCAATGAAGTAGGATATTTCCAAGCAAAACTGTTGAAAATGCAGTCAGCTTTCTTGCTGCTCCTTAGAGTGAAATACTAGAGGAAAGCAAAAAAATTGAGGAAAGAAAAGTGGAGAAAAAAAGTACCAAGACTGGGATATTTGAAAAAATATTAACCTTTCCAAACTGAAAAAGATGCTCAAATTAAGAGCCACTACTTTTATAGGAAAAGCAAACTCTATAGAGAGAAGGGCAGTGTATGGCTAATTTGAGAAGACTGGGCATCTAAACTCATGGATCCCCTTAGTGATCTCAGTAGAAGCCCGCAATGGAGTTGGGATTATCCAGGAAAGATTTGTGGAGGACCTCTTATCAAATGGCATGCATTCCCATAACATACACGGGAGACCCACAAAACCCTCTGGAAATGTTATATCAGCAAAAAAACCTGCCCTCTTGGAATGAAAGGAACAGAGATAGGATGAAATAAAGGAAAGATGTCAACACTCCCAAAATTCTACATACAGAAAAAAGAGACATAAAATTACTCAGTTGCAAACATGGGCTTCAAGGAAAAGAAAGAATGACTTCAAGACCAGAGCTGCAGGTACAGAGCCCAAATCTATAGGTGCAGAGGCCAAGATCAGGGCTACAGGTACAAAGGACAGAGTCAAAGATCCAGATGGTGGAACCCATAGCCACAAAGGATTATTACTGAAACCTAATATTTTCCCTTCAGTGTCAAAAATGAATGAAACTGGTAACCCTTTTTTTGTCCTTTTATTTTCTCACTTTTAAAAAGGGAATGTGTATAACTATTACTCTGTGCCTCTTCAATCAGCGTATTCTGATAACAGAAAACTTGCTTTCTAATTTCAGAGGAGAAGAATATTGGCCTAAGATGAATTATATCCAAAGCCTTACCTGTATCTGATTTAGATAATGAGATTTGACTAGAGCTAGTGATACTTAGGTAATAAGACACTGGGGAGTATTCAAAAAGGGCAGATGTGTTGCATGGGGGCCAGTGGTTGGACTATGGCAGATTAGTTTTCTCTGAACATATGTCCATATTCTAACCCCTGGAACCTCTAAATGGCCAAAAAAGAGTGTTTGCAGAAGTGATTAAGGAACTTGAGATAGTGAGGTTATCTTAGGTAGGCCCTAGTAGAAATAGTGTATATCCGCATAAAAGAGAGGAAGATTTTGGCACACACACGGAGGTGATATGAGTATGGAGGCAGAGATTAGAGTGACACAGCCAAGTCAAGAAAGACCAACAGCCTCTAGAAGCTGGATGAGGCAGAGGAACAGATTATTCTCAGAGCCTGTGGAGTGACTGTGGTGCTGCCAACACCTTGAACTTTAGTCCAGTGAAACTAATTTCATATTTCTGGTCTCCAGAACTGTGAGAGAATAAATGTCTGTTGTTTTAAGCTAACAAGTTTATAGTAATTTGTTACAGCAATTCCAGGAAACCAATATACCACTTTAACTTTTTTGGCAACATTCAGTTTAAAAGTTCAAAGCACTTTCTAAGTATTATTTTTGAAATATGAGGGGAAGAGAAAAGATTTACTGTAAAGTATCTCCATCTGAACAAAATAAACTCTCTTAAATCTGGAACTCTATTTTATTCATTTTGTTTACTTTGGGCAGTGATTCAAATCCAAACTTCTTTCATCTTCAATGAAGAACAAATATCAGTGCTGATTCTGATTTATGGCACCAACAACTGCAGCAGCATTCTAAGGACATTATTTCATAGGTAACTTAGGAATATCTGTATCTCTAATTTATATACTGACAGAAAAACTCCACCAGAAGTACTTTCTCACTGGGAATGCAATGACCCCCCAGAAATATCAGTGACCCAACCGAGTCTTTTGAGGATTGGGTTAAGAATATGTTCATCATGGGCCTCCCGTGGTGGCGCAGCGGTTGAGCTGCGAAGCTGCCTGCAGCCTCTGCAGCGCCGGTTTGGTCCCCGGCCACCTGCGAGGGTCCCACATGGCATGCAGACCTCTCCTGCAGCGCCTGCTGCTCCCCTCAGCAGTGTATTTCATCATTCTGCCTGTTCTGCTCTCTGCTCTGGCTCTGGTGAATTCTCTCACCCTCCTGCGCTTCTGACTGTACCCAGTGCTTGTATAAATAAATAAATAAATCTTTAAAAAAAAAAAAAATCACTCTTAAAAAAAAAGAATATATTCATCATGTATAATATTATCTCTATGAGATATCTGTTCAGTGTTCACAAGAACTCACAGACTCACAGAAATTTCAAACTAAAAGGCACCTTAAAAATAGTATGTTCTACTCTTCAAATTTTACAACTAAGGAAATAGAGGCACATGTGTTATCCAACTAGTAAATAAACAAGGGCTTGGTCTCCAGAGTCCAGTATAATGTAACTTCTAGAACTTCATGCCTCATAGTTAACAGGTAACATTTTGAGAAACAGGTACTCTAAAGTTAGAAACTGCCTGTTGGTATAACTAATGAGATAAAACTAACTTTAACCAAGCAAATAAATAAAAATGTGATTAAAGTGCAAAGAATAAAAGCAATGATGTACATGATTAATTATATTTAGGTTCTGAAAGAAAACATGCTTATGATACATACTTCCAGATATTCCTAAGAAAACTGTGACCAGCTAAACTTGAATCACTCTATGTAGCCTCTGAAACAGTATCAAGTAGTACAAAAAGGAGCAAGCTAAGACAGTACAAAACCTACATCTTACATATTACATTTTTGTAAGATAGTGAATATTATTACATTTCAAGCTACCCATAAATAGAAAAATAAACACTAAATTCCTGCAAAGATAATTTTGAGTTCCTATCAAGAGCCTTGGCAAAGAGGGGGAGTAGTTCAAAATGATTATGGAAAGGCAAGGAAAGCTAAGAGCCTCATGGTTACAAAAATCACCCAGTGGAAAAAAAAAGTTCACTTTAAGTATGCAAATGCTTACACATGCGCGCACTCACACGCACATGAAACCTGGGTGATAAGACTTCTCAAAAGCAACAGTCAGAGCAAACCAAGAGAGGAGGAGTGTTTTCAAGACAGATAAGGAAACAGTATGAACCAAAGATTTTATATGCAGCCAAGTTGTCCTTCAACTATAAATGCTGTAAAAAAAAAAAAAAACAAACTTTTAAACTTTCAAGAACTTGGGCAATACTATATTCACAACCTGCAGGGCATAAATTTTGTCTTATGGATAGATCCAATCAAGAGTTAAACAGAGAAACATAATAAAAGGACTGAAGATGAGCACTTAAAATATTTAATTGTAACTTTAATAAGACCAAAACAAAATTAGGGTTACACAAGGAAGAATAATCTGCAAATGTTTTATGCATTGTCAAAGCAAAGAAAAAATAGGGAGGAGGATGGAGAGAAAAGAAGGAAAAGAATGGGAAGGTAGGAATAACTCACTTGTTGCGTAGGCAATAGGTAGAAGTCAAAAGCAACATTTAAAGCCAACATACTAGAAAGTGAAAGGTTAAATAAGAAAACAGGACTAAAGGATCTACAAACGGTAGATATACAAAGGCAACCAATTAAATAAAATTTTAGAACTTCCTAAATACAAAAAGAAATTTTAAAACAGAACAGAGAAAACTTACCACAGAGAAGGGAAATTATAATTAAAGATTAATACACACAGTGCTATAAAACAATACCAAACATATAATTCATATCAACGAATATTACAAGCTTACCCAAAAAGATTCTCGAATTGGTTAATAAGACAAGTTCCCACTTTATGTTGAGTATAGGACATACATTTAGTACAAAATAATTCAGAAAAGTTAAAAATAAAAGGATAAGCAAAGATGAACCAAGCAATGAAAAACAAAAAAACAGAGGTTTTGTTTCTGATATCAAAGTAGAACTAAAATCAAAAGATAACAATGTGACATTTTATATATAACATTAAAAGCCATAATTCACAATGAAAATACAATACTTATAAATATCCATGTACCAAAAACATATCATCTTTATAAAAGATGTAAGTATTTAATTCCAATTAAATAAATATTGAATGCAAAGGAAAACAGGAACACACTAATACACTTTAATACACTTCTCTCAATACAAGATAGTGGCAAAAATAAAGATAGAGAAGAAGCAAGTAACATAATCAATGAGGTCGATCTTACAGATCTTTATACCTTCTTATAGAGAATATACCTTCTTCTCAAGCATACAGATAGCACATTCACAAAAATTTGATCGTACATTAGGTCACAAAGAAAACATTGAGTTCCACAAGTAGAAATACTATAAACCACACTTTGTAATTGAAAAACTAGAAATTTTTTTTAAAAAGGTCTTTTGTCTGGAAATTTTTAAAAAACAAATAACTCACATAAAAAGGAAAATACGAACTAAAATTACCTAATTTCTAAAATAAAGAAATGTTATATATCAGAATGTATGGTACATTTAAAGCAGTAATCAGAGAAAAATTCAGGACCTTAAACACATTTATCAATTAAATATGAAGAATAAAAATGAATGCACTAAATTCCAAACTCAAAAAGCTAGAATAAAAATAAACCAAAAGAAAGCACAAGGTAGGAAATAAAGATAAAGCCAGATGAAGTAAATAATTTAAGAAAATGTAATTTACCAAAATTGACTTGAATAGATGGAGAAAATTAAATAATATAATCTCCACAGAAGAAATTAAGTTATTTTGGCACTTCCTAACAAAAAAGCACTAGGCTCACAGTTTAACAGGGAAGTTTCCAAGCAAACCTCTGAAGTACACATAGTCCCAAAGCCACATGAATTGTTCCAGAACTTAAAAAATTAGAAAACTTTCCAGATAATTCATATAAAATGAAGTGAAACATCTCTACCTCAATCTGAGACTGTAAATTTTAGACAGTATCAATGAATATTAACACAAGAATACTAAATAAAATATTAACAAACATACAATAGCACAATAATGAAAATAACATATCATGTCCAAGTAGAATTTATTTCAGAAATGCAAGGACAGTAAATACTAGGAAATCTATGACAAGTACACTGTATTAACAGATCTAAGCAAGGAACTCCTATGATTATCTCTATAGATGCTGAAAAATCTTTGACAAAATTCAACAATTTATTCTTGATAAAAACACTCAAGAAACAAAAAGAATTGATACATATTTCCTTAGCATTGTAAAAATTTCTATTTCTACTTGCAGATGACATGATAGAAAACCAGGAAAACCTTGGGATAAAGGGAAATGCTGTAGATATTTATTCTATACATCCATACCTGTCTGTAGTCATGTTAGACTGAGAGTTTAGAGAGTTATCTAATTCATTCTCGCTGTCTTCTGACTGGCTGTGAACAGATCCTTCTTCATGACCATCTACTTCATTAAGAGCCTTTCTCAACATAATAAAAAAAAACACATAAGTTGGTTATATAAACACTACTCACCCTTTCTTTCTCTTTATCCTAACAAAAGGAAGGTCCCTCCTGTGACTAATCTCTCGACATGTATTTTGGAACCCAAACCTCTCATCTCCTTCCACTCCATCAATTGCCTCTGTTCGAGCCCAAGTCTCCAGGTTGGAGAAACCTATCCCTCAATAGTGACTTCAAATCATCCATACTGAAAGGTGAGCAAGTCTCTCCCATCTTACCCTGATCTTAAACTCCATCGAGCTACTACCTACCTATCTGGTCTCTGTTACCACCAAACTTCTTGAAATAGCTGTGCCCACTTCTAATTCACCATCTATGCCCTGCAACTTTGCTTGTGTTCTACCATTTCACTAAAACTGCTATTTACAAGGGACAGTATCAAATCGTGTGTTCCTAAACTAAATGGCTATTTCTCAATTTTTGCCTTTCTTTCTCTGAGTCATTAATATAAATGATGGCTCATTTCTTTCCTTCAAAATTTTCTGGGTACATCCTTTTAACTTCCATGATTGCATGTTTTCCTGAGATTTTTTTCCCTATTATTCTGGCCATACTTACCAATCTCCGTCGCTGATTCTTTTTTTCCTGCCCTTTCCTTATATGATGTGACTCAAGTTTCTCCCTCGGGACCTTTTCTCCTTTCAACTGACTCACTTCCTTAATGATTTATTCTAATTCCAAAGTTGCAATTACAAGTAAAATATTGTTAATTTCCAAATCTGTCTTCACCCAGATCTCTCTTGAGTCCTGGACATTTATATGCAAGTGCCAAAAAGATATCCCTGGCAAAACATCCTATACACGAATATCAACAGGTGCAAAAATCATTTTCCTAAGTTCTCCTACCATTCTTCCAAAACCCTATTCTGCCATATTATTTAAACTATCAATGGCATCACCAGCTACTCAAATGCTTAAGTCAGCAAACTTGGAGTTATCCTTCTTTCTCATTCATCACAACCAATCAGCCACCCAAACCTGTCAATTCTGTGCTTTTTAACCTCCCAACTCTATCTCCTCTGCCACAGCTTTGAGTCAGGTCTTCCCACCTCTCAGTAGGATTCCAACATTAGTCTTCTAGTCAGATCCTCTTATCAATCTTGTCCCTCCTCAAATCACTTCCACACTACAGTAAACTCTATCATAACTCTGTTCTCCTTAAAATTCTTAAGTGGTTCTACTCTAATCTCTTATTCCACTGTCTTTCAAGAACTGGTTCTTCCCCATCTATCTTACCTCATCTCTCATTTCTCACCTATATGAGAGAGACCAGGTCTATCTGAAATCTAACTTGTAAATAAATGCTATAAATGGGTTTTTAATAAACAGATTTTTGGCTAGAGACATGGCTAGTGGGTTTTAACTATTTAAAATATAAGCAACATTCTATTTAATTCACTTTGTATGCAGAAAACAGAATATTTAACATGTCTTTTATGATTTGGGATCTTGTAATTCTCTAGGACCATCCCTCTAATTGAAGATTCTTTTTTTTATAGCAGATATAAATAACTTAGGAAGTTGCTTTAAACAGGTATGGAGTCCTAGTTATTCAGCAGAAGTTTTTTTTTACATTAGTATTACACCTTTCAGGGGATTTTAAAAATGTTTACTATATCAAAATTTTAAACATTTTGATTAAGAGTTCCAATTAATGTTTTACTACTATAATGTAATTTTCCCATATAACAAATTAATAAATTCCAAGCTTCTGGATTAGCTATTTCTAAACACGTTAATACATTACCACTAACATTTAATAAAAACTATGGTCTGGTATCATACATAACCTATTTCAGGAGGTCTTCACAACAAACAGCAAGTATACTCTATTCCCATTTAACAACAACCAAAAAAAAGCATTCTCAATCAACTCAAATACCTTAAGAAATCAACTCAAGATCTTCAGCTGGTAAGTAACAGAACTGAACACAGAACCAGATGACTCCAAGGTGGGAAACAGGAAGAATCCCTGCTTTTCCATATTGGCAGGTGGTGGCATAGTCTTAGGGAGCCAGGTAGCCTAGATTTGCACATCATCTCCCACTCACTTTGTGGTGCTAGCTAGTAATGTGATCTTGGTAAAGTCACTTAATATTTCTGAAACTCAGTTTGTTCATCTGCTAAGTGTGGGTAATAACAGTACCTAACCTCCTAGGTAAGCACTGAGTAAATGTCAGCTACTATCCTCCAGTCCTATCTTGTTTAGCACAATCACTAGTCACAGAAGTGCAAGATGCTTTAGTAATAACAATTCTAGCAACCACAACTTGGTATTTGTTGATATTTAAGTTTCTGAAATGTTTACTACAATGTTGGCATCAATTTAAACTTCACTTCAGGGCCTCCCTGATGGCACAGGGGTTAAAGACAACGCTTTCAAGCTATTGCCATCACTACAGCACGAGTTCGATTCCCTGGCCAGGGAGGTGACCCAGATGACACAGCAGACCTCTGCTGTCTTGCCCACTGCTCCCCTCAGCAGTGTATTTCAGTAGATCCACCTGTTCTGCTCCCCACCCTGTCTCTGGTGAATCCTCTCACCTACCTCCACCTCTGGCCTACACCCCAGCTCTTGTATGCATAAATAAATCTTTAAAAATAAATAAATAAACAACTTCAGCAAGAGTAGTAAGGCTACAAGCAAACCATATTACCTGAGGCTCTGTGTCATATTCGTTAAGGATGGACTGAGTGACAGGGTCCTGATTTACCATGATGGGACCTTGTGAGGAATCGGGAGCCATGGTTACATTCGGAAACCCTGCAAAGGAAAGTAAGTCTTGATAATTTAGTTTCACGTAATAATATTGACTTTCACAAGTACAACACACTGCCATAGATTTGTATCATCATATGGAAATCTTAAATAATAATGATGACAGCAACAATAGTTATAATAGTAACTCAAACTTATATAGAGCATATTATATACCAGCCACGATTCTAAATGCTTTTACAAAATTCTAAGAAGTTATTACTACTGGTGTCTTACAGATCAGTAAACAAAAACTCAGCGACATTGAGCAATTGACCTGGAATCACACTAGTAAGTAGTCAAGCCAGGATGCACCATAAACTACAACTATTAATCTGTTTCTAGAGACTAAAATACACAATGGATTATATATACACTTCAGTGAAAAATGCAATGTATCTGACAAGAGGCAAAGTTCCTTTTAGAGAGAGACTGAAGTTGTTTTAGGTTTCAAATTAAGCTTAATTCTGTGTTACATCAGCATAGATACTTTATATGATATTAACCAACTGAAAACTAAGACATATTTTATATTACAAAATCTTATACACTGAGTCATAAAATATTTTAGTAAATAATAGCAATTTACCTTTCCTTAGCTGAGCAATTTGTAATTGTTAATACTCGAGTAAAAATGAAACAAATTATGATGAATCTTTGCTTACAACTCTTGTATGTTAACTACTTGAGACTACTTGTAATATAAAAAATGGCACCTGAAAAAATTTTAAATTCTTCCAAATAGCCATTTGTGAACTAAAATAAGTAAAAGAAGCTTTTGAATTGAATACCTGTGCGCCTACGAGGAAAATCAACAAATAGATCTTTTGTTGCAGCCATCAAATGATCAGATTTTTCCAATACATCCTGCATCTGGTATTGATCAGAAAGAATCTAGACACGTATTAATGATAAATATTATTATTGAGGAAAAAAGACATATATACTTAGCAAACCAAAATGGAAACATTCAGACAAAGACATGGGACATAAAAATAACCACATGCAACAGACTTCCTTCCTAAACTCCTTCAGTGGCAATATTCTTAGATACCAGGACATGGGACTGTTCTTAATTATTTATTATTATTATTATTATAGTGGATTTCAAAAGTTTGGCTGCAATCCAAAGCATTTTGTGACCCAGTAATCCAAAAATGTAAATATAAAACAAAAATGTAAATATACATCTTTACTCTTAAAGATCCACTTCAACGTTTTCTTTTTAGTTTCTATTCTATTTTTTTTAATGTTGGTTGCAACCCACTTACTTGATTTCACAATTCATTAACAAGTTGTGACCACAGTTTGAAAACATTGATTAAAAACATGAATCTTTGAGTCATAAACTTGAAGGTGTGAATCTTTGAGTCACCAACTCAGAAATGTTTCAAGCACTGAAGTGATTTCATTATCTACCTATGGGCTATGACCCACAACTTAAAAAACATAAGATACTGATTTGGGGGCATTAAACAAAAAAAAGTGACACATGTATTTATAAACAAATTGGATTTTTATCCAGAAAGATGAGAACATCAAAAAAAAAAAAAAAACCCACACCATCACAGCTGTGCTTGATTATGCACTTTCAACTGAGGAACTTTCATAATTACAAGCAAGGACGCAGACTAGAGAAAAAGCAAGCCAACTCTACCCACCACCACCAGATGGCAGTCTTAAATTAAAAGGAGTCTCAAAATAGGAAACTATGCCGTTTCCAGGACTAAATTAAAACAATAAAACATATGGTAAACAAACACTCTTACCAGAATTTCTCTAAACTATGGAAACAAGTATGTAATATGACCTCAATTATTGTTTAGGACATGGAGAAAAATAACAAGTGTTCATATTCTGACATTTTCCCCTTCTTTCCTTAGTACAGACAAGCAGGTTGGCTGGCTCAGTTGGTGAGAATAAAGTACTGAATTTGTTCCTTTCACAAAAAGTAAGTTTTAGAACAGTACAGGGCAGAGAGAACATTTGGAGATCCTAGGCCCAGTCAGAATAAGGAGATATTAAGCAAAATCCAACCTCTTTAGTTTCTTGATGTATAAAGACACGACTATCTCACTAACCCGATAGGGTTGTTATAAGGATGTGCACACTAAAAACCTCTATGCCAGTATGGAGATATTTGAGAATGTTACTCAAATTATATTATCCCATGAACCAAATTTCTATCATTGGTTAGTCATCTCATAAGTATATACACTAGTACTTAGGAAAAAACGTACATGCAGCACTGTATATCTATCACTGACACTAGAAAAATGACACAAAGAATATTTTCTATTTAAAAAATAACAAAAAGCATTGACACTCTATCAAAATAAAGAGATATAAATAACAAGTAGGTTGTGGAGGGAGTATTTTATCATATTAAAACCTGGTACAAATTATAAAGATGTCTCCAGGAAAGAAAATGCCCTGCTACTCTCCTGTGAGTCTCTGCCCAGGCTCCTTGGGAGAGATGGTTTGAGTGGCTACGTATCAGCTTAATGGCTTTCTTTTGCTCTTTCTAGATTTGGTACTCAGATAAAATGCATCCTCTTGATAGGTAAACCAATCTCTGCAAGCCCACCTAGAAACATTGTTTCCCCAGACTGGTTTGCAGAGCACAAAGCAAAATTTAGGTATGGCAGTACATCTTGGACTTTCAAAGGATCAGTCAAGTGCCCTCCAAAACCATTATCAGAAATTTCTTGTCCTAGCACTTTTGTTCCATGGTAACAAAACCTGGATGGAAATGGGAAATTTATGAAATCTTTATTGAAGGCCCCCGCCCCCCGAATTGAATTTGGACCCTTAGCTGCTTGATTCCCAGGATATGAGTTTATCACATAGCCAAAGAAACTTAGGATTATGCTGACCATAAATGGGAGTGGTCATGAGATGAATTTCAGGTCAGTGGGATATAAGCTAAAAATTCTGGGTGGTATTGAAAGAAGCAGCATACTCCCTCTCATTTATAGCTGGCTGGGCTACAGCTGAAGGAAGCTGGAACAGTCATCTGCAAAGATGAAGTCCTTTAATAAATGGTAGCTTGTAGAGGCTCTGACAAAGTCCTTGGCATACAGAGCCCCTGCCAACTACCATTCATTTATCACCACACTGTTTTCACAAAAGATAAATAGATTTCTATTTTGTTTGAACCACTATATTTTGGACTCTTTATTTTCTTTTTCTTTTTTTTAAAGATTTATTTATACACACAAGAACTGGGGTACAGGCCAGAGATGTGGGGGGTGAGAGGATTTACCAGTGACAGACTGGGGAGCAGAACAGGCAGAATGACTGAAACATACTGCTGAGGGGAGCAGGGTGTGAGTTAGGAGAGGTCTACTGCACCATGTGGGTAGCTCCTGGCCAGGGATCAAACTCGTGCTGCAGTGGCTGCAGACTGCTTCATAAGTTGTAAATCTTAACCCCTTACGCCACCAGAGAGACCCAGGACTCTTTTCCCAGAAGCTTAAGGTGTACTCAAATACACCTTCAAAATGTCTACTAATAAAGCACTAGATAAATAGTAACACATCTATATACTTAACTGATCATTAAAAAGACAAGGTAAATTTCTAAATACTAATATGTCACAACTGTCAAGATATACTGTTAAATGGAAACCCTGAATCCCTCTAATAGTAGTTTCCCAATCCTGGCAGCATATGTAAATTACACAGGAACAGCTTAAAAAGTTTTTAAGTAGGGCCATATCCCAGACCCACTAATTCAGGCTATCTGGATATAGATATACCTGGATAGAGAGATAGTTTTGCTTATTTGATGGAAATTCTCAACCTTGATTGATGCTATTATGCAGTTGAAAACCACTTTTACTAGAGTCTGAGGAAGCAACACCATACAAAGAAGGCAGAGGAATACCACTCATCTTCTTCACCACTCTTCTTTCAACCCCAACTTTTATATCTATTACTCAAAGATATTCAGGACATGAGCAAGAGTCACAGGGGAGAACAGAAGTCCAGAGTCACCTCAAAGGGGCTGCCTATTTCCTGGTAAGATCTGTGTTCTTAGGCCTTTTTCACTGAGAATTACCACACACGATATTCATCTATGAGAACTTTTCTCTTTCTGGCCACAGTTCTTTTTACAAGCTCAAGTACACATTTGAGAGACAAAATTCTTCCTGGTAATATTAATATCAAGACTTTCCTATTGCACTGAAAACCTAATAAATTCCTCAAAATACAATGTGACTTAAAGGTAGAGTGAAAGGTGACCCAGACAGCCACATGCCACAAGCTTCAATGGAACAAAAATCAACACTAAACACTAACCATTTGCTTTTACAATGATTTCAGCCCAAATAGTTTTCTTCTGTAGTTGCCTCTGTAGTTCTCCCATACTATTTATTCATACATACCTGATCACTTATCCAAATACCCTACATCTGGCAAAAGATTAAGCCAAAGACCAACAGCTTACTAACTAACTTGCTGGAGAAACACACAGCATTTTGCAAAGCTATCTTACAGCACAGCTGCTAAACTGAGAACAACAATCATAGCAGCTTATATATACATGTGTCACTAATTATGTGCCAAGGACTGTGATAATAATCACTTTATTGTACTATAGCACTGAAATAGCATAATACAAAGAAGCAATGATACTCCCATTACAAGATAAGAAAGCTCAGAATGAGATGCTAGTATTTTGTTTAAGTCACACAGCTTATAAATGTGGAGCAGGAATTCAAACCACCAAACTAGACTCTCATGGTTACTCTGCTGCTTTCTTGATCATTGCAGAAGGAGACATTAATACCTAGTCTCTTCAGTGTGAATCAAACCTGGTGGAAAACAGAAACCTATTTATTTTTTCTCTCTCTAACTCTACAGATAAAGCAGTTTAGCATTACCTCCTTCATGATAGCTAATCTTCTTTTCTCAAGATTAGAAATTTCTGGTTTCTGCTTCCTCCACTTTCTCTTCAATGCTTTTTCTTGGAGTTCCCAGTGCACTAATGCTCTATTCTTTGATTTGTGTATTTCATGACGTCGCACCTATATGGGAAAAAAAAAAAGAAGAAAAACAAAGAATGTGTCTTTTCAGATGGTAGGACCACCTAATCCATTTCATATTTTATTATTTTTTCCAGTTCAACATATGTATTTATATGTACTTAGAGCCAAAATTTTACACCTCTCTAAATTTTCAAGAATGACTTTTTAAAAAGTTGTCTAGAACTAGAACTAAAAGACAAAATGAAAAGGATATTAATTGCTATTTCCTTTGTATAAGACTACACAGTAAACTAGTATTTATTCAAACTAAAGTTTGGAACTTCTTTCAGGAGTAGTAAGATAAGTTAGTGAATCAAAATCATTTTTAAAATAAATAGAATACAGAACATAAAGTATTAACAAGTACATCCCACACAACAAAGGTAAACATTGTTTTGTTAAACTTTTAAATACACATGTACATGGACACTCACACACATACATACTGAGCACCATGCAAAAGCTACAAAACCCACTGAGTTATCTTTGGCAAAGACACACTCATTTCCTGATGCTCACATCACAACCAAAAACTAACAATGTTGTGTTTGTATAGCCCTGCCATGGCTGCATGTGGAAGTGGGTCACTGGAGATGCACACTCCAGGTTAGTAGAATTCCTGAAGCAGAGGCAGAGATAGGAGCCATTGCCAGATAGGAGCCATTGCCAGGACTTCACTGAGGTGGCTAGGGAATAAAAGCAGATATTGGCTTTACAAGCACTCTAGTATTCAGAATATGAGTATGTACAAAACCTATAGGGCATCTGATAAAATGTACTGCTGAGTTCTCACGATGTAAAAAAGCAACCAGCTGACTGAGATTAACAACCAAATACTATGTAAGAACTCTGATTCACAAAAAAAAAAAAAAGAAGATATTTTTGAGATAATCAGGGGAATTTGAATATGAATTCAAATTTGAATTTGAATTAGATAATACAAAAAAATATTGTTACTTTTGTTAGGTATGATAATGGTATTGAGGTTGTATCAGAAAATATCTATTATTTTTTTAAAGATTTATTTATTCATGCTTACAAGAACCAAGGTACAGGCCAGATGTGTGGGAGGATGAGAGGATTCACCAGAGACAGAGTGGGGAGCAGAACAGGCAGACTGAAATATGCTGCTGAGGGGAGCAGCGGGCGAGAGAGGAGACGTCTGCCGCACCATGTGGGATTCTTGCCGGCCGGGATAGAACCCACAGTGCAGAGGCTGCGGACAGCTTCACAGCGCTGCGTTCAACCGCCTGCACCACGAGGGGAAGGCCCTATATATTTTTTTTAAATGCACATTAAATATGTGGCACAAAATGACATGTTCCCTAGGATTTGCTTTAAAATGCTTCAGTAGGGCCTCTCCGGTGGCACAGCGGTTGAGCGCTGGGTTGCGAAGCTGCCCACAGCCTCTGCAGCGCTGGTTCGATCCCTGGCTATTCCCCGGCCCCTGGAGGAGGGTCTCACATGGCACGCAGACCTCTCCTGCCACCCGCTGCTCCTCTCAGCAGTGTACTTCGGTCCTTCTGCCTGCTCTGCTCCCCGCTCTGGCTCTGGTGAATTCTCTCACCCTCCCGCGCTTCTGACTGTACCCAGTGCTTGTATAAATAAATAAATAAATCTATAAAATAAAATAAAATAAAATGCTTCAGTAAAAGACGAAAAAAGATAAATGAAGCAACTATGGCAAAACTTTTATAACTATTATAGCTGAGTGAACAGTGTATGGGAGTTCCTTATACTTTTGTCCCACTTTTGCATGAGTTCGAAATTTTTCATAATAAATAAAGTTAAGTCAATAGGGCATTATTATTATCCTCAACAAGAAACTACTAGATTTAAGATTCCTAGTTCCACAAAAATGTACAAGCTCTGCAAAAACACCGACAATCTGCTGAGGGAAATTGGGCATATTCATATAAAGACAAATGGCATCCATTAGATGGTATATACTCTATGGAGTAGGTATTAAGTGCAGCAACAGTTCACAGGTGATAACAACTGTTGGGTATCATCTAAAAGTAAGACTTCAAACTTACTAAAAAGCTGTAATAATCTGGGGCTTCCCCTGGTGGCGCAGCGGTTGAGCGCTGGGCTGCGAAGCTGCCCGCAGCCTCTGCAGCGCCAGTTCGATCCCCAGCCACCAGCGAGGGCCCCACATGGCATGCAGACCTCTCCTGCTGCCCACTGCTCCCCCCAGCAGTGTTTTCAGTCCCTCTGCCTGTTCTCCCCACCCTGGCTCTGGTTAATTCTTTCACCCTCCCACAATTCTGACTGTACTCAGTGCTTGTATAAATAAATAAATAAATAAATAAATAAATAAATAAAAGTGTAATAATCAGAGTAGTGCTGGCATAAGGATAGACTTCATAGCTTAATGGAATAGAACCAAGAGTCCACATTAAACCCATATATTTTTCGACAATTTGAAGCAAAGATAACTCAATGGGAAAAGAAGTCTTTTTACAAATGGTGCATGGACAACTGACACCTAATTGCAAAAGAATGAAGAATGTATTTATGACCTCTATCTCACACCATATACAAAAATTAACTCAAAAATGGATGGAAGACCTAATATAAGAGTCATAGAAGAAAACACAGGAGTAAATGTTTGTGAACCTTGGGTTAAAATAAGCACAAATGACAAAAGATAAAAAAAGATAAATTGAACTTCATCAAAATTAAAGACTTTGGGCTTCAAAGTATACCATCAATAGGGCCTCCCTGGTGGCGCAGCGGTTGAGCGCTGGGTTGCGAAGCTGCCCGCGGCCTCAGCGGCGCCGGTTCGATCCCCGACTGCTCCCCAGCCACCGGAGAAGGGTCCCACATGGCGCGCAGACCTCTCCTGCCGCCCGCTGCTCCCCTCAGCAGTGTACTTCGGTCCTTCTGCCTGCTCTGCTCCCTGCTCTGGCTCTGGTGAATTCTCTCACCCTCCCGCGCTTCTGACTGTACCCAGTGCATGTACAAACAAACAAATAAATAAATATACATGCCTCTTTAAAAAAAAAAAAAAAAAAGTATACCATCAATAAAAGATTACCAAAAAAGGGAGAAAATATGTACCTATCATACATCTCATAAGGAACTTGTATCCAGAATATATAAGGAGCTCTTAGAACTCAACAATAAAAACACAAATGATCCCATTTTAAAATGACCAAGGGATTTGAATAGACTTTCTCCTAAGAAGATAATACAAATGGCAAATAAGCATACAAAAGGATGCTCATTATCATTAGTTATTAGGGACAAGTAAATCAAAACCACAATGAGATTCCACTTTATACCCACTAGGAGCACTAAGGTCAAAAAGATGATAATAAGAAGTGTTTACCAACAAGGGGTGGAGAAAAATTGGAACTCTCATCTATGCTGGTGAGAATGTAATTGGTACAGTCACCGTGGCAAAGAGTTTAGCAGTTCCTCAGAAAGATACATATATAGTGATGTCATATGACCCAGGAATTCTACTCTCAGGTATATACCAAAGAGAACTGAAGACTATGTCACATAAAAACCTGTACACGGAAGTTCATAGCATCATTATTTATAGGAGTCAAACTGAAAACAACCCAAAAGTGATAAATGGATAAACAAAACATAGTGTATCTATATAATGGAATAGTGTTCAGCAATAAGGAATGAATCTTGAAAGATGAATCTTGAAAATATTATGCTATGAGAAAGAAGATAAACATAAAGGGACACCTTATATTTCATTTATATGAATTGTCCAAAATAGGTAAATACATAAATACATAAAACAGATTAGTTATGCCAGAGACTGGGATGAAGGGGAAAGTATATATGGAGTGACTATTACTGAATACAAGATTTCTTTTAGGGAATAATGAAAATGTCCTAAAATTAGAAAGTGATAACTGCATAACTATGAATATACTAAAATCCAATGAATTGTATACTTTAAAAGGGTAGATTTCATGATATGTGAATATTTCAATAAAGCTTTTTTTTTAAAGATTATTTATTTATGCACACAAGAACTGGAGTACAGGCCAGAGGTGTGGGAGGTGAAAGGATTCACCAGACACAGAATGGGGAACAGAACAAGCAGACTGACCGAAATACACTGTTGAGGGAGCAGCGAGCAAGCCAGGAGAGGTCTGCTGCGCCATGTGGGTAGCTCCCTGGCTGGGAATAGAACTCGTGCTGCAGAGGCTGCGAATAGCTTCATAGGTTGCACCTTAACCCCTTGCGCCACCAGTGAGGTGCTGTTTATTTTTTAAAACAAAAATACTAAGACTTAAATTAGGGTAAGAAAGAAAAGATTTGCACAGGTGGAGAAGGCAGAGAAACTGTTCCATCTAAGAAAAACAGCATGAAGTAGAGCTCAAGTGTGGAAAAACACATGGATTGCTCAAGGAATAAGTGAATACATTGAACAGAACAGTATGTTTACATAGGAAAAATTAGCAAATAATGCAGGAGAGATCTCAAATAGGAAAAGATGACATGTGCTCAGGGTAATACTCAACTAAAGAGATTTGAACTATAAACCAAACTTATCTAATGAAATTCTAATACATGGTAATTGATATTCCTAGACAAAATCAGAATATCCTAGAAATCAAATATCAAATAAAAAATTCAATAACTTTTTATAGTAAACTTACCAGCTCTTCAGGAGTTGCCCGATGTACTGTTAGATCATTCACAGTATTCTGCCAAAAAAAAAAAAAAGAAACTTCTTTAAAAAAGAAAAGTTTCATATAAAACAAACTAAGGGTTAGATAATATCAAAAATAAAAACTAACCCTTCACAGTTGACCACAGAACTGAAGCATCCAGAGGGGAGAGAGAGTAGCAGGGGGGTAAGAATAAAGAGGGAAGGAAGCACAATGAACTATGTGGTGGACTATGGGTGATTTGGTGGTGGGTGCACGATGGAGCTTAAACCTGATGGGGAGGATCCCAATGTTACCTCAATTAAAAGAATAGATAACTTTTTTTTAAGTTATCTTTTTTTCTTTTAAAGATTTATTTATGCATACAAGAACTAGGGGGTAAGCCAGAGGTTTAGGGGGAGGTGAGAGGATTCACCAGAGACAGAGTGGGGAGCAGAAGAGGCAGATGTACCAAAATACACTGCTAAGGTGGGTAGCAGGCGAGACAGGAGAGTTCTGCTGCGCCATGTGGGTTAGCTCCCTGGCCTGGGATCAAACTCATGTTGCAGTGACTGGTGACAGCTTGATAGCACTGAGACTTAACCCCTGCACCACCAGGGAGGCCCTAAGTTTCTTATAAAATGTTAGTATAAAAATACAAAATCCTAGGAGTAAAAACTTTCCAGGAATCAATGCTCTCAATTTAAATACTAACATGGACTACTTTTAGGTACTTTAGAGTGATTTAGAATATTTGGCGGGATCTTACAGAAAATAAGCACTAAATTCACTAGCAAGCATACATTATATTAAAATGGCTAAAACGGGGTAGTATATAATTTAAAATAAATATGTTTAACTAATGCTGTGGTTTTCAAACTACATTCCATGGAATGAGCAACTCTAAAGATTCCTAACAGATAAAGTGCGAACACTACAGAGAGGTTCAGTTATGTCCATGCAAACCCCTTAAGCAAAGTACCTATCACAAAGAGAGATGAAGTTTGAGGGCAAGATATAATTTCGTAAAATGCAAAAATAGTCACTTAAATAACAAGGAGTTAAGTTAACCTGGCAGGACTATGATGCTGCACAGCTCTAGAAGGTACCAGTAACGTTCTCATCCATGTAAATAGGACCCACTGGAATTTCGCAATGCACAGCCTGCACAGGGCTAAGTTAATAGGCCTATACTTTGGCCCTTCCTAAAAGGACTTCAGCCATTTTGTTATATGGATTTGGCAAAGCAGGAAAAAACATGAAACAAGTTTTTACTTTTAAAAGAAATATAAAGAACTTACTCCAGGGAAATAGCTTCTTTAGTATTCAAAGACTAAGGTTTTTGGTCATAGTTTATAATACTTAGCTTAAGGCTTTTCTCTACCAAAACTACTATACCTTTCATATTGATTTAGAAAAGTAAAACTTTAAGAAAGTTATTTAAGAAATAACTATAAGATTATGAGATATATTCTTAATAATCATAATAAAATCCAGACATATAAATAAGTGATAACCTTGGAATTAGTTCTCATGGGAGAAAATACAATTTCACTAATACTTCTATTGCTTAAAACTATTTTCTTTTGAAAGTGTCTTCAAATCTAATTTACAAGTCATTTTGAAAATGTCACACCATTTTTATCAAAACAGTATTATTCAGTTTGTTCTCTTCTCCCTCATTTACCATTCATTCCAAGTGACTTATAACTATTTTCAAGTTTAGTCTACCTTCAAAACCAAAGATCTTTCCAGCACTGGGTAGAGATAATACAAAGTAAGTAAAGAAAAGGTTTGGAGTGCAATTTCAAATGATAGATTTCAATTGTGTTTTCAGCAACAGCAGCGTATCAGATTATTGTACTTCTCAGAGTAACCACTTTGAAAGGTGATGGGGGCAATATTTATAGTATCACCTTATTTTTTATTAGTTTTACTACCACAGAATCACACTTTTCAATATTTTACAGCCCCTGACTGATTATTCTCCATAAGAGAAAGAAAACACACCTAAGTTTCATGCTTTGCAGCATGAGGCTGCAAAAGGTAAAAATCTTTTTAAAACAAGCAGCAGTCAGGGCAGGGGCCAGAGATCAGATGTCCCTGGTGCTGGAGACTTGTCTTATATTTAAAAGAACCTTTGTACTGAAATAGGCCAGCCTCTGGAGGTGTGCAACAAACAACTCAAAGGGTAAGAAAGCAGCCCAAAAATATCACTCACATGATTATGGTCTCACTGTTGCTATGGGCAAATCTTAAAAAGTACCCCAAAAAGTCAGACTTTGGTAGCACAGATTTAGTTGCCATAAAGCAATGAGTTCTCAAAGCAGAGGTGAAGGGGACTTTTTTAAAAACTCACCTTCCACTTCCTTAAAATTCCAATTCTTCAAAGGAGGCAGAAGTTACAGATATGACATGTGTATTCTAGAAATCTATCCCAAAAGATTCTGCTCTTTCCACAAGGATATAACATGCCAAGAAAGTCAGTCCATCCTACTACACACTACGCCCCCTTCAGAGCATGACCCTGAATAACCAGGGCCAGGTCATCAGATCTACTCCTTCAGAGTAACGTCACACTGCTTATTATCCCACCTGGACTTACATCCCATTCTTGCTTCACTGATGTTTTCTTCTTCTTTACTTTCAATGTTTTCCTTCCTCCTGCCCGGGGACCGTAACGGTTCACTCTGACAAATGACATCTAGAAGTAATAATTATTTCAAATATTTAAAATACAAGAAAAAAGAATGACTAAGCATCACCAAAAGGGATAAAAACATATAGAAATACAAATTCTGAAACATGAGAAGAAAAATTTAAGCATAATGAAAGGAAAAGGCTACCAAAATACTTGGGTCTTTCACTGCACAATAAACAGAAAGTTAATACTCATAACTATGATGACAGGTTTCAAGTAAATAATTTATGTATATTTGCTTATTGAAAAACTTCAGGAATTCAGAAATTATAACTTAAAGCAGACAGCTAGGACAGTAGTTATAGCACTCTAATAGCTGCATAAATAAAATAGTGTTGGGCCTCCCCAATGGCACAGCAGATTGAGCAAAGTGCTGTGAAGCTGTCCGCACCCTCTGCAGCACGGGTTTGATTCCCGGCTGGCCAGGGAGATACCCACATAGCACAGCAGACCTCTCCTGTCTCGCCCGCTGCTCCCCTCAGCAGTGTTTTCAGTTTGTCTGCCTGTTCTGCTCCCCGCTCTGTCTTTGGTGAATTCTCTCACCCTCCCGCACCTCTGGCCTGTACGCAAGTTCTTGTATAAATAAATAAATCTTAAAAAAAAAAAAAGTATCAGTCACATGCTAGCATTATTAATATAAGAGAAGTGCAAAGAGTCAAGGTTCTTTTATAAGCACTCTACCACTCAAAATAGCTAAAAGTACACATATGCTTACCTTAAAATAAAGGTGCCAAGAATTTAGAGAACACATGAGTTATAGGCTTACCAATATTTTTTTTCCACATAACACTAAATAGGGGTGATTACTGATATTAAGCTAAGAGTTTGGAAATTTCTACTATTTGCTTGGTAGTCTTAAAATAGCAATGCTAAATTTACAGGACTAAATATCATACTAAAATAGAAAAAGACTCAGTCCTGAATACTATATACTATTTTATACAACATATAAAACTTTTGAAAAGCAACACATACATGCAACTCCTAGTCCAGAACTTCTTTCCACACTTAAATATTACCAATCTTTTGAACCTGTTACCCCAAATTATCCTAAAACAAAGACTCAAGCATTTTCCTTAAGTAAATTTAAAAAATTAACTTACTCTACTTTAATAAAAATGCTTACATGCAAATGCTTCGCAAGAATTTACCCTCAATTTTCTTTTCTCTGTGTCAATCACATTTACTCTATAAAGATGGCATTTAATTTCAGAGTTCACAGTTTAGCAAAGGAGATAAATCACACACAAGTTAGAGATTAACATTTTTTTTATGGTGATGGTGATGATGGTGTTAAAAACCTCAATGGTGGTGGTAGTGGTGATGAAGGCACTAGTTAACAGATATTGAGTGATTTCTACAAGCCACGAATTAGTCTGAACTTTCCCCACATATTATCTTCTTTAACCCTCACAATAATTCTATGAAGTCTTCACTACATATTACACATTTTAAAGATAAGAAAACTAAGGGACAAGTTAACCAACTGTGAGCCGTTTAGTGACAGAGACACAAGTATCATTAAAAAACATATGGACATGGAAATCAGGACTAACAATCCAAAACAAACCCATACATTTACAGTTAGTTTACTTTCAACAGTGTGCCAAGAAAAAATTCAAGCACAGTCTTTTCAATTTATGATGCTAGAACAACTGGATCTCCATGTGAAAAAAATGAAGTAGGACTCATACTTTACAACATATATAAAAATTAAGATGTATCACTTACTTAAATATAAGAGGTAAAAGTACAAAACTCCTATAAAAATATCTTCTTGAACCTCAAGTTAAGCAAGGGTTTCTTAAATATGCACTAAAAGCACAAGCAACCAAAGGTTAAATAGACTCCATCAAAGTGAAAAATGTTTCTGCTTCAAAGGATACCATCAATAAAGTGGAAAGACAACCAAAAGAATGGGAGAAAATATGTGCAATTATATTCCATATTCATAAGTATCTAGATGATTAAAAAAAAATCTTACAACTCAGCAAAAACACAAATAATCCAATTAAATGGCTATTTAATTAGGACTTTTCTCAAACAAAGATAATTCAAATGGTCGATACGCACATGAAAAAATGCTCAACATCATCAGTCACTGGGGGAATACACATCTAAGACAATGAAATACCTCTTCACACCCAGTGGATGGTTTTAACCAAAAATAACAAGGGAATAACAAGGACTGGTAAGAATGTGTAGAAACTGAAATCCTCATATATTGCTAGTGGGAATGTAAAAGGGCTTAGCTATTTCTGAAAACAGTTGCTGAAAAAGTTAAACAGAGTTACTACAGGACCCAGAATTTCTAGTCCAAGGTATATTCCCCAGATAATTGAAAACAAATGTCCAATATTCATGTACAAAACTTGTACTCGAAAGTTCATAGTAGCATTATTCTTAGTAAACGAAAGTGGTAACATCCCAAATCTCCACCAGTTGAACGGATAAATAAAATAGGATAGATCCACGCACGGTTAGTTTACGTAAAGAAAGACTGTGTCCAGTGGAAAGGCAAGAGGACTGGGATAGAACTCAGTAAAGATCCTTGATTATGTGGTATGTGATGAGGGGCCAACAGAGCCTACAAAGTAAAGATGAAAAGAAATGTAGGAATAAAAGGAATGAATTACTGATACGTCATAACATAGATAAACCTGAGAATATTATGCTAATAGACGTCACACACCAAATGCCATCTATTACATGACTCCATTTATATGAAATGCTCAGGATTAGACATAAAGCAGGAGGGAACGGAGAGTGACTGCTAATGGACATTGAGCTTCTTTATGGAGTGATGAAAATGTAATGGAATTAGACAGAAATGGCAGTTGCACAACTATGTGGATGTGCCAAAAATCTCTGAATTGTACGTTTAAAGGGGTAAATTTTATATGTGAGTTATATCTCAGTAAATTTGTTATAAAAACTATGGAAAAATTGGGCCTCCCCGGTGGCGCAGCGGTTGAACGCTGGGTTGCGAAGCTGCCCGCGGCCTCTGCGGGGCCGGTTCAATCCCCGGCTGCTCCCCGGCCACCGGAGGAGGGTCCCACATGGCGCGCAGACCTCTCCTGCCGCCCGCTGCTCCCCTCAGCAGTGTACTTCGGTCCTTCTGCCCGCTCTGCACCCCGCTCTGGCTCTGGTGAATTCTCTCACCCTCCGACGCTTCTGACTGTACCCAGTGCATGTATAAACAAAACAAACAAACAAATAAATAAATAAAACATGCCTCTATAAAAAAATTAAAAAAAAAAAAAATAAAATAAAATAAAAACTATGGAAAAATAGTTTAAAAAAAAGGTTTCCAGTGTAAAGAAATTCCTCTTTAACCACTTAGATTTCCAACTTACTCTGCAGAAATAAAGAGGAAATCATGACCAATGATGGCGATATTTTTCTTCAACAAGGATCAAGCTTTGTAGTCTAACAAAGGAATTTCATGCCACTTACACAAAACTCCTCATAAGCGAGGCATCATTCACATGCTAAAATGTGACACCATAGTGATAACCTAATGGTTTATAGTGCTAAGAAAGCAAATAACAAAAACAGTTCCATGCAAATAATCTAGGCCTGTTGTTCAGAGAAAATCTAAAATACCTATAGTTTCCTAATTGCTAAAATGATGGGTACCTTCTTATTTCTCAGACCCTTTCTAGCCCTACAGATTACCACTCCTGGAAGCACTCCCTTCCTCTGACCTCCATGACACTCTTTCTTCCTGGCTTCTCTCCATTTCTTTTCTTTTTCTTTGTAGGCTCTGTGGTCCCTCATCACATACCACATAATCAAGGACCTTTACTGACTTCTATCCCAGTCCTCTTGCCTTTCCACTGGACACAGTCTTTCTTCATCCAATAATTGTTTTTGAAAGTCTACCACAGAGTGGGCAACACAGGCACTGCAGCACAAGAGTAAACAGGTCTAATGAGGTACCAGATCTCATGAAGCTTACTTTCTAGATCACCAACAGAGTTCACAGTGATCTCACCCACTCCTTTATGCAAAGCAAGAATGCACTGGGCAGGCAAACACACTAAAAATGATTCACACCTTTCTTCAAAACACCAAATGCTCGTTTCTAACTGCCTCTGTGAACACCGCCCAAGTATCTCACTTACAGTGCAGTCAAAATACAATTTATCGCCTCCATTCCCTCCCCACTAACCTCTAATTCTTTTTTTTTTAAGAGTTATTTATTTATTTATACATGCACTGGGTACAGTCAGAAGCACGGGAAGGTGAGAGAATTCACCAGAGCCAGAGTGGGGAGCAGAACAGGCAGAAGGACCGAGGTACACTGCTGAGGGGAGCAGCGGGCGGCAGGAGAGGTCTGTCGTGCCATGAGGGACCCTCACCGGTGGCCAGCCAGGGATTGAACCGTGGCTGCAGAGGCTGCAGGCAATCCCCCAACCCCCACACTTCCCCCCCTCCCCACAGTTTCGCAGTCCAGCGCTCAACCCTGCGCCACCAGGGGAGGCCCCTTACTTCTAATTCTTATGCACAATTGCTTTGCTCAGTAACTATCTGCTTAATTAAGCTGAATGTACAGAATTACTATCTCCCTAGAGGCTCCATAATCAACTTCTGTTCCTTCTTGCTTCAAATACAATCAGATATCAGAATCTATTTATTCTTTCCCTGAAATCGCTCTCTCATCTGTCCCCTTTCTTAATCTTACTACAAATGTTTTTGTCCAGGCTCCCATATTTCTCCTAATTTATCTCCGTTTGACTCATTTGCTCTTTCATTTTGTCATCCATCTATTATTTCACCAAATATTTTGAAAGCATCTGCCAACAGTCAGGTACCAGATACAGCAAGAAAGTAGAACTGCACTCTCACAGAGCTTAGAAATTATGGAAAGATCAAGATTAAATAACTACAATAAAAGGGTAATGTAAGAAGTAAATTCAGTGTGTCATGGAAGTACTAATTTACTCTACACAGTAAGAAAAGGTCACTTCTCTCCCCATAAACTTCCCCCCAAATGTTTA